TGTCAAGACCATGCCCTACCCGGTTGGGTCCAGCGGCTTTCTCGATAAGGACTTGAAGAACTTCACGGACTGGAGCAGCTTCTATGGCCCCGAGAAGATCGGCGAGGATGAATACACCAACATCATCCAGCCCCAGGAGGTGTCCTATGCTTCCGATGGACTCCCGGGCATTTTCACCATCCCCGAGCCCTGGTTCAAGCCCGAGGATACCATAATTGTGACTGACGGTCACTGCGCATCCGCCTGCGCCTATATCGTTGGTATAATGACCCGTGAGCTCGGTGTTCAGGTCGTTGCTATGGGTGGTCGTCCTATTGATGCACCCATGCAGGCGGTTGGCGGCACGAAGGGCGGCCCCGTCATCGCGCTGGGAAGCTACCAGAAGCTCTGGCCGGCCCTCGGCCCCGTCAAGCCGCCCGAGGGTATCGAAGTAACGCCCTTCGCTGAGGCAGACCCGCCGCTCGCTGGCATGCCCACAGATGGATGGACTGTCAACTCCGCAAACGTCTATCCCAACGACGACCTAGGCGCGCCCCTGCAGTTCCACTACGAGGCGGCCAACTGCAAGCTATTCTATACCTGGGACACGTTGACCAATATGACTAGCCTGTGGTCTGCGGTGGCGGACGTGAAGTGGAACGGGGCCAAGTGTGTCAAGGGCTCGACGGCCAACGACGACGGCACGATGGACACGTCAACCCCTGGCTACTCCGAGAAGGTCTTGTCGGGCTTCGCATGGGCTGCCGGCCCCGGCGACGTAACCGAGGGACCGCCGTCTGGTGGGAGCAGCAACGACAGTGCAGGGACGGGTGACAAAGACAAAAACGCTGCTGGCTCTCTACGGGCTTCTTGGGACGTGTTGTCTATCGCAGCTATCTCGACGACGGTTTTGGTGTCTGTCATGTAGATTGGGTGAGACGGGTCGAAAGATATTCAACCTGCTTTGACGACGTCCTCCGGCTTGGAATCATACCACACGCCCCTCCTTCACTGGACTTGCCTTTCCATAGTGCCGGCCTCGGAAGCCTCTGCGCCAAACTGACAGCCCATATCATTATCCCCATCGACTTCAGAATTCACTGGCCTGCAAAGAAAGGGCTGGTTCGAAGGTCCAACAATAACTAGGCAGTGCAATGGCGATATATCTGTTTCTAGAAACTCTGATTGTATCTTGAATCCAGAACTCCGTACCCGCTAACTCAAAATGCCCCTGACGCTCCTCCGGGTCCCACTGAACACTTTGTTAATGGATTGATACTGGCCGGCGCAGATGAATGGCAGGCAACTTACTGGTTGAGCGACTCATGCCAAACTCCCTTGCCAGCCGCATCTTTCTCTTCACTAAAAACACAGATGACAAGTCAGCAACCAAACGACGTGTTGGAATGTACATATCTAACTGAATTACTCACCTCCGTCGATCCCCTCGTGCACCTTTTCGGCATTGGCAACTCCAGACTCCCATACCTTGCAGCACCACAGTGCTACGAGCATGTCAAACTGGGCGCGCGGCAGGGCCGCCGTGACGACCAGGCTGTGTTCGGTATTATCATGCATGGAGGCAATCAAAGCCCCTTGCGCATCCGCCCACCTATTTTTGTTGATACCGAACACGGGGGCGCTGTCTTTGACAAAATTGGGTATGCTGTACTTGCTGGTCTTGCCTCTGATGTCAACAGGTAGAACAGTCGTACATGCCTTTCCCGGCAAGCGGCTTTTCTTGAGGCCAACATCTTGAAGGCCCGGGACGCGACGGCTTGCACGCTCGATAAAGTAGTGAGGCGAGTCGGACGGCAGCTTCACGTAGCCACCAGGACCCGAGCGCATATATCGCAAGTCATATATATGGCGTCGGCGTCCCGAGCCATCTTGCTTTGGCTCAACGCGCGAGAGCTCTACCTCCGTGGTGATATCCGAAAGGCTTGAGACACCAAGACTGAGATGATACAGTGGCGGGGAATCTGCCGCTAGAGCGTGGATCGACTGGCCTTCTATTACGAGAGTTGTGGGGGGGCACACCTCCTGATACGGCTGCGAGACCGCGTCGTAGGGTGGCAGAGACGTCTCGGTCGAGTCACGGGGTTCGGTCATGGTGCTTTCGGGAGATCCGACAATTTTGCAATCGGTTGATATGTGCAGCTCTGGTGGCTTCACAGGATTGTGCAATCTCGGAAGTGAAAGTAAATAAAGTGACCGAGGAGAGTTACGGTTACAGCCCTCCTTGGTGTGTTGAAGAAAAAGAATGGAGCGGGGTATTCATGGGAAACGATGAGATTAACACGACCGAGTAGCACCCGCCATAGAGCATGTGCCAGAACAGCAATGATAGTATTATGCAAGACGGGGACCTGCGTAGGATAGCTAGGAAAGAGACTCATGATGCCCACATCAGGACCTATCATAAACTCCAGGATACTGCCACGCCGGTACGGTACAAAAGAAGAACAGCCATACGGAGAAGAGACCGGCGATTCGCCTAGCCGTCGACGGCGGCTTACTGGCGAGTCTGCCAGGCATCCTCCCGCCATCCACGCCAAGAACATGTTCGCACAAGCACACGGCCCAATTTAGGACGAAAAACGAGAACTCGGATGCTGCATACCCCCTGCGATACATGACCCAGTTCACCAGCGCGTGACCAGCCGCAGAAAGCAAGAAGACCCACAGAGCGCGAAGCGCCTTGGGCAGAGGCGGCGTGTAAGCCGCGAACGGAACGACATGCAGCCGGTGCCAGAAAACGCCCCAGAAGCGGCGGAGAGTGTAAGCATCCCAGATGGAGCCGAAAAGCGGTGGTCCCGCCCAGTTGCTGGGAGATTCCCAATTCAACACCGAGACGAAGAGTGCGGCTGACAAATGGTGCATCATCGTCAAGCCGCAGTATGTGATCCATATCCAGTGCATGCTCGTGATGGCTCGGAGAACATAGTCCGAGTATGCGAGCCCTGGAGAAGTCCAGGGACTCGGAAAGACGGTCCGCTTGTCGGGCGCAAAGCTGTGGATCCCGAGAGGGAGGGAGCGCAGTGTCCGGGGGAGTAGAATCTCGGATATCGACCAGTCAACAAGCCAGAAGACCAGGGTTCTCGAGATGCGACCTAGACCGAACGAGATGCGGCGCTGGCATCCCAGCGTTGATCCCGTGGCGGACCGGGAGCCGCAGGGCTCCAGCCTCCGGATATTGCACCAGAGAAGGGTCGTTGCCTTTAGCTGTGCAGAGAGGGAAAGACCAGCCGTACTAGTTCCCTTGTCCAGGAGCAGGATAGAAGTCGTGTGCGCCGTCACTCCGATGACAAAAGGCACAGCAAGCAGGGGCAGCTTGCGCAAGGCCTCGCCACTGGCCCCCAGGCTTGCAGCAACTGCAAGTACGTGAAGGGCGGCTAGAATTATTCTTGGTCGTCTAGATTCATGTCGTAGGCCGAGGAAAAAGAAAAGGAGGGACGAGAAGAACCAGCCAATTGGCCACGCAAAGATGATAGCCGCCATATTGCAGCAAGAAGACCAGGCAGCAGCCGTCACTTCACACAGTCAACCGTGATGGAATTTATAAAACGTTGCCCGAGAGTGGAGAGACTGAGAAGAGCCATCGCCATGCATAGAACCTACGATTACCTAAAGTACCCCAGCAACATCGCTCGTAAAGGAAGGTGAGAGCCGGGTTGGTCCAACACCATACTGTATTGCGATGCAATACATGGTCTCACCGGCCAAAAGCTCCAACTTCCAACACGATTACACACTGACTCATAATGCTTGGCGGGAGGGCACTGCACTGTGCGCAGTCAAGGTAGTAAATCAACGTAATAGCAGAGCGGCGCCAGGCCGGGTCTGTAATTAGTCGGCTCATTTCTCCGTGCCGTATTTGTAACTCCTGTCCGTGATCATGCTTAGGTACGGGTACAGCGTTGGCCCAAAGTGGAACCCCAACATGATGGCCAGGGTCCTAGGAACTTACATGGGTGAAGTTCGTGTTGGTCCAACATGAGCTACAGACCACCGTCAGCGTAGCATTAAGGATCTCGCTCTGCGACTTGGCATGCTTAACCTTGAGTCTTCCAAACAATACAGCTAAGCCAGTTAGCAGTTTATCATAATGCCGTTAAGCATCTATGGCGGCCTCGCGCCTAAAGGAATGTGCAATTACACTAACCTACCTCTAACCTGGGCTACTTATCTAAACTAATGTTAGCTTAGTATATCAGTCTCTATATTGAAAAACGACCCTTTGATTTAGATTTCAACTTAGGAGAATGGAAGCCGTTTGATTTAGATGTATGCAATCCGTACGCTATAGTCAGTTTACAACATAGTTGTAACTTGCGAGACTTAACTCAACAAGGGCGGGGTTGGACGAACACTGCGTCAAGACAGCAGCAGCATCAGATCGAAATAAGATTTTCCCGTCATAGCTATACAGTCGGGCACTCGCCATGCACAGCTGCGGCGTTGAGTCAATATTTCCATTGTTGTTGGCGCAGGCCTCAAATCCATGTCATGGCGGCAGGGGCGAAGCTCTTTCCGTGGAGTTGGCCCGAACGGGCTCGTAGTGTTTCTCTCTGTCTGACTGGCGGCCGGCTGGCCGGTTTGTCTTTTCTTTGACTCTCATTCGGGCCCCGTGGTATTTCGATATCGCACAGCCGGGCGGTCGCCTGAGTCGCCAGAAAGGGCACTTGCGTGAGAACGTGGTACGTCTCGTCTCGTGGCTGTCGAATGGCGCCAGCTCTGTCAATGCATGTAGATGTGTGTGAGCCGGCCCTGGGAGATGAGGAGGGCCCGTCAGAGCGCCGAATCAACCAATCAACCAACATAGAAACAGACCTCGAGATCGAATCGACGACGCAAGCAGACCGAGGTCTCGTTCTCGTTGTGGCAGGCTGCGGCAACAGATATCATGATAAATAGCCGTTAGGTCCCCGGATGAAAGCGTCCAACATCTGTTCCAACCACACACACCATCGACACGAAAAGTTTTCTATAACTACCCAATAACACCACCAGCAGCCACGATGCCTCTCGCCGCTCTTCCGACGCTCTTCCTTTCCATCTTTTCCATAACGGTCCCCGCCGTTGGTCCCATCGTTGACTGCTATGTTCGTCGCGCATGCAAGATCGCCCCTTCGAACGAGCCCTTCTCGACCGAAGACCTCGCAAGCTCCATCATCCCGGGCCTGAACGAGACCGTTCAGATCCGTGCCGCGAGCGAGGGCTTGCTGGAGACGGCCGCTGCCACGGGCTACTGTGGCGTTCCCCAGTACAACTTCGACATGTGTAACACCGACTTGGGCAGAGTCACTATCTACACCTCCATTCCCGGAGCCGGCGGTTCGTACAATCACCTACGTCCCTGATACTCCGAGATACTCTGAATGAATATTCGCTAACTTTCCGCGTGCTCTTCCAGTTGCCCGGTTTGATAACGTGCCTCCCACCTGCATGGTTCTCTCCACCGTTCTTACCGGCGGCTGCGGCGTGGCTCCCCCCTATCCGACCGTTTGCGGCTCGGCCTGCTTGCAGTACTCCGGTCTCAGCGAAGCCCAGTTCAGACAGTTGGGCGATGCCCTCAGGCGTTAAATCTAGTATCTATCACAGGGCGGACAAGGTTATAGTTACAGCTCCCAGGCAGCAAGAGCTACACGCTTGGAGGCGGGGGTTTTCGGTACATATACTTTATACGCTATAGTTAGAGCCTAGAGGGAAGATTTAGGGTCATAGCAGTGTTAAGTCTCTTAGCAGAGTAGTACGCTGGGAACAGACTGTTAAACTTCTTAAGTGTAAATAAGTCGCTGGAGATCAGTGTATAATGAGAAATTGGCTTAATTCCCTGTGCCACCCTTTATCAACTCGTGCCTCGTTTGTAGTCAGAACGAAGCTCTCGACCGTTTCTTAGCAGAACATGACGTATTCCCCGCCATTTATCTTAGACAATCTCATCTCACGCTAATCAACCTCGCCCTATTGATTCCGCCTTTTGGAGTCTCCTTGGAAAAGGTAGAGCTCCTGATATTTAAAGCAACTACGGGAGTTGCGCCGAAAGAGATCTGTTCAGCTGAAGCCGACCCTCCATCAAACTTTCTCAGTGGTATAAATACTCGCCCCTGATCATGGGTGAGAGAGGTTATCTGCCTCTTAATTGTCCGCACCAACTGCATAATGCGTTGTAGATGTTGCTTCATAAGCTATTTGATAGACTTCTGCTATTGGGACTTGAGGCAGGGCTTGTAGTTGGAGCTGTTGATCCTCTTGGGAATATTGCATCAGCGCTTCCCCATGGTTTCAAGCTTCCTAACGCCCGCCGTGTCGTATATGTAATGCAACTGATGCTGGAACGATGTTGAATGCTGGAGATCAAGTGAATTAAGAAAACCTACCGCAGCTTATGAATCCAAACTACTTAGCTATTTAAAAACCTGGAAGGGGACGATTCCATTGGAGGCCAGTGACGCCAATCATTGTACCGAAGTAGTGAGAATGATATCAGCAGAGATCATTTGTTCTACAGCTCATGTCGGAACGGAGTCCACTGATACATTCATTCCATTCACCTGACGTTGACGAGGTCTTTTTCGTGCCTGTCATGATAGTGGAGGAGGCAGTACACTATATGTACTCTTCCGTTGCTCTTCTCCTCCACAAAACAACGACTTTGGAGCCCCCGTCGGTAATTTATACAACCCAAGACTAGATTGACACTCTGCAAGGCAGCAGATAGTCGTGCTTCTCCTTTGTACAAGGCAACAGCAATGTCCCAACGCTCTCTCTCAACAGCGTCCTCAAAAATGGTCGTGAGCTGGCGATTCGCTTCAAACTGTGCTCGCATATCGCTAGGTATAATGAACCTAGGCTTTTCCAGCTTCTCTCCATAGATAAAATCGTCAATCAACCTTCTTCTGCTTACTGAACTCATGTCCGTAAATGACAATGCGCTTCGGACAATTTCGTAATCCAACTCATCGTATTTCGCCCACTTGACGGATTTTGGTGCCAGCAACATGTCTACTGAAAGAAAATCTTGCGCTTTTGAAGCAAGCAAGAGGCTGTGTCTCATCAGAGTACCAATCAGATTCGTGTCCTGACACCTTGAGATCGCGGCGCTTATGGTCTCCCACCATTCTTCACCTCGCTCAATGCTGAGATTCAGAAGTGTCTTTTCATGCAACGTCTAGTCCCACACGTGGATCAAGTCAGCAAAGAAATCGGATATGTTCTTGCGAAGATCGTCGTCAAGTTCGCGGTCCCAGATTCGTGCGGAAAACTGCATCTGCTCGTGCTGTACTGGTGTACGCCAACCCTTGCACAGTATTGTGCACATCTTGATCTACGCCAAATACGTGGGGTTCATTTGGCTTGAAGGTCTGAGGATAATCTGGTATGCGCGCGCGTCTAGGGAAGTTCCTGCTGTGAACTGGATGATTCCGGCGCAGAGTCGGACGGCGATGGAAGGCGGAGTGGGCGAGGGCAAATACAAGGGATCGACGCTGGAAGATGAAGTAGGGACGGAACAATTAGGGTTGGTTCCATTGATAAGGAGGATGATGACGAAAGAAAGTATGGGACAGTTATGCGACCAGCGTGCTTCTTCTCAAGCCAGAAACAGGGCATTGATTGGTAACATGTTCAAGTAAACTCTAATTGAAAAGTTAGCAGGTCCTGGGTGAAATACTCACGATTCTCAACAGACAAAGAGCTAGTGAGCATCGTTTAAGAAATTTCTAGTTCGCTTTCAATGAACAAGGACATGTTTAGAGCATCTGAGTTCTAGAGTTAGGTACACAGGGCGATGTTTCGACCTGAGGCGCCTGGATAGAACGCCTTAACAGGATATTGGTCTGCTCTAACGTAGACACTAGACGTCCATTCGCAATTTAGGATGAATTATGGGACCAAACCACAAGAAATTCTATTTGAATCCATGAGTAAAGCGTAGCCAAGTATATAAACAGTATTCTCTCTATCGGCTTTTTTGATCGAGATACTGGCAATCCAGGGTGTCTTGGGACGTAAGACAGATGATAGTGAGAGTGGAGCCCGTGCTGTGGCCCAAGCTTTTCTCGAACCCCGCACCAATCAACTGGGCTCCGTATTTTTAGTCACAAAAACAAACGCGACCTCCATCGACCGCCCACCATCATTGGCTTCCCCATCACCAGCTGGCGGCATGGCGTTCTGGAAGTTTGGAGCTTGCTTTCTCCTGGGCGCGGCCCGGGCCGTTGACGGACTGCGTCCGCAGCATGTCGCGAACCAAGAGGGCTGGAATACCCTGCAGCAGCAATTGAGCTTGAAGTCGCAGTCCGCCTCTGTCGCGGCTATCGCGGACTACCCGGAGTACAACCTGTCCGTACCTATTGATCACTTCCACAACGATTCGCGGTACGAGCCTCACTCGGACGACTCCTTCAACCTCCGCTACTGGTTTGATGCGAAGCACTACCGCAAGGGAGGCCCGGTCATCATCCTCGCGGCCGGAGAGACTGATGCTAGGGAGCGTCTCCCGTTCCTCGACCACGGTATCCTGTCCATCCTCGCCAAGGCCACCGGAGGCGTCGGAGTCGTCTTGGAGCACCGATACTATGGCAAGAGCTTCCCTGTTCCCGACCTTACCACGGAGAACCTCCGCTTCCTGAGTACCGACCAGGCTCTCGCCGATACGGCGTACTTTGCCAAGCACATCAGCTTCCCCGGCCACGAGGACTTGAACCTGACTGCGCCCGGCACTCCGTACATCGCCTACGGAGGCTCATATGCTGGCGCTTTCGCCGCATTTCTCCGCAAGCTCTACCCCGAGGTCTTCTGGGGCGGCATCTCTTCGTCCGGCGTCACGGCCGCTATCATCGACTACTGGGAGTACTTTGAAGGCGCCCGCCTGTTCGCGCCTGGAGAATGCGCTGAAACAACCCAAAAGCTTACTCAGGTCGTCGACAATATCCTCCTTGGCAACGGGAAGAAGGTCAACTCTGACGACGTCGCTCAACTGAAGGAGCTCTTTGGCCTCAAGCCTCTTGAAGATGCCGACTTTGCCAACACCCTGAGCTTCGGCATTACCGGCTTGCAGTCGACGAACTGGGACCCTGCCCTTGACGATGCTTCGTTCGGAAAGTACTGTGCGACGGTCTCTTCCGACAGTGTGATCTTTGGCAGCACCCGCCATCTCAAGTCATCAGTTGAGAAGCTGCTTGAAATCAGCGGCGCTGACAAGAAGCTGACGAATCGCTTGCTCAACTACGTTGGTTATGTCAAGGACTACGTCAAGCAGGGTTGCCCCGATGGTGACCTGCTGAGGTGCTTTTCTAGCAGAAACGAGGCCAACTATAACAACACCTCAATCCGCCAGGGCGCGGGCCGAAGCTGGACCTATCAAGTTTGCACCGAGTAAGTTGAATGTCTCCTCTTGGAAACTCCTGAGTCCTACCTGCTGACAAGTATGACAGATGGGGCTACTTCCAAACCGGTTCTGGCGTGCCGAAGGACCAGCTCCCACTCATCTCTCGCGCTATCGATGTCGAATACAGCTCTCAGTATTGCCGCAGGGCTTTCAACATCACTAAGGATCCCGACGTTGAGGCGATCAACAAGCACGGCGGCTTCAACTTCAGCTATCCCCGTGTTGCCATCGTTGACGGAGAGGCTGACCCTTGGAGAGCTGCCACGCCTCACAAGATCGGACTCGACCGCAAGTCGACGACCAGCGAGCCTTTCCTTTTGATCCCCCTTGGCGTTCATCACTGGGATGAGAACAGTGTCAAGGATGACGATGTCACTCCTGACTTCCCGCCTACCTCCATCAAGGAGGTTCACGCCCAGGAAGTCAAGTTTGTGGAGGCTTGGATGAAGGAGTGGGAGAAGGCGCACAGCAATGGCGCCCAAGAGAGTACGCGTCAAGGAGCCAATCATATTAGTGGCATGCTGACGAGGACAGGCATGGTTTCTGAGGAGCTTTAGAGTGCTGTTACAGAATAGACATTCAGGTCGCTGGCTGCCACTGCCTCTGGCAGATTTGCACATAACCTACCGCATGTGTTATTTTTCGGTACCTACGTTACCCCCAGAGTAGACATACAAGTAAACTTGCTAGCCTGCTTCGGGATATGATGTGTGGAGAGGTGATGAGCATGTTGCTGGTGACATCTTCTACAGGCGACGCTTATTCTTCGTGGGTCACTAACAAAGCCAGGAGTTGAAAAAGAGTGTTGTATCAACCACGCACTTGCACGTAAATGAGTTACATGTTACTAATGAAGCCAAAGTCCGCAGCTTCCAAATCAACGTCACATTCCTTATTTGAGATGTATGCCCTACTGAGTCTGGGCCTTGATCATGTCGGCAGCCTGGCATGATGTCAGTGACTTTCAACAAGTCTCTTATATCTCGGAAACCGCTCACCTTTTCGGCCACAGCATACACTGTCATGGACGTCGTCGCACCGACAGTGGTAGGCATCATGGAAGCATCAATGACCCTGAGCTTCTTGACACCATACACCAACAAGTTCTCATCGAGCACACCACCCCACTCACGAGGCATTTTGGCAGTGGTCCCTACAGGATGGTACACGGACGGGATGATCTGACCCCTGGCCCAGCTGACAAGCTGAGCATCCGTCGAGACACCAGTTCCGGGCGACAACTCGCGGGCTTGATACTGCGCAAGGTCCCCAGTCGTCATGAACCGGCGCATGAACTTGATGATCTCCGCCATGACGTCTAGATCGATCGAGTTAGTCGCCGCGCGGTAGTCGACAATCATCTCGCTCTCGGGCTGGGCTGTATTGAGAAGGATAGTGCCGCGAGACATGGGGTGGAGGTTCTGCACGGAGCCACCGGGCCCGTACATCATCATCTCGGAGAAGACAGTGTTCTTGGAGCGCATGAGCCGGCCGTATACCTTCTGCTGCTGCTTGTACCCTTCGACTTGCTCGGAGGTGTAGGCGGACGGCAGATGGGACTTGGGATCCTGGGCCTCGTATGTCCTGGCAAGTGTCTCGTACCGATCGGGACTGACGACGGGCAAGCCGGTCATGGAAGCAAGAGACGGCGGGCCACCACCGCCCCAGCCTCCGCCACCGGAGTTGGGAGGCTGAACACCCCATTGGTATGAGATGCTGGGGATATAGCTATGGTCCTGGAAGTTGGACCCGACGCCCGGGAGGTCGACCTTCACAGCAATTCGGGCTTGTTCAAGGTGTGCGCGGGGACCGATGCCGCTGAGCATGAGGACCTGCGGGGTATGGACAGAGCCGGCAGCGAGAATGACCTCACGGCGAGCCTTGACCTGCACAGGGGCGGCACCGGTGTTGTTGCGTGAGACGAACTGGACGCCGGTAGCGGTGTCGCCGTCGAAGAGAATGCGGTTGACCTTTGCGCCGACGATCATCTCGTAGTTGGCGCGGTTGAGGCCGTCCCAGTGGCCGGTGCGGGCGTAGGAGCGCTGGAACTGGACGGGATCCTGGGACATTGGGTACCAGTAGAGTCCCGCCTCGCCGGCACCGCTGTCGACGGGAATGGTCATGCCGGGCATCTTGGCCATGGCGTTGTACAAGGTCTCTGCGAAAGGGTTAGAATCACAAGCAGTCATGAAAGAGGGTCTACGAACTCATGATAGAGGTGAGAGGCCCCTTCCCGAAGGCAGCATAGATCTTGGAGGTTGTGCCCCAGTAGCTCATGTCATATTTGATGTTGTATTCTTGTGCTTGGGCAGCATCGGGAGGCGCGAGGGTGATGCCCTGAATGTCGTCAGCCATCGCTTAAAGATAATGTCAAGTGGGATGCTTACCTTCTTGAAGTAAGGTAGAAGATTGTCCCAATCCCAAGTAGATCCAGATCCACCGAGCTCTTTCCAGGCATTGTACTCGTCCTTGGTGCCCCTCAAGAAGACCTGGCCGTTGACACTAGAGCTGCCGCCGACCACACATCCGATACCCACAGAGAAGCTTCGGCCGTTCAGGTTGGGGCACGGCTGAGAGGTGATGTTGAACATGCGTCTGGGGTTCATGCCGGTCTGGCTGTCGTAGTAGCCATATTCGACCACCAGAACAGTATCTGCCCCTATTGTCAGACACGCACTGTACGGGAGGATCATGCAATGCCTTTCACTTACACTTTCCATCTTCGGTAAGTCTGTCTCCGACTGTCAAGCCCGAGGTCCCTCCGCCAACGATGACATAGTCATACTCAGAAGCGATCTGCTCGGCGCGGGTGAGAATGTTGACATGCTCGGGGTATTGTGTGGGCCAGGCGTATGCCAGCTGCGAAGCAGCAGCCAGGCATGACAGAACCAAACCCTTCACAGAAGGCATCGTGGCGTAACTTGACGAGACTAGCGAAGCTCAATGGAGACTAAAGTTCGAAGGAAAGCTTCAAGCCGTCCGGGCACTTCAACTGAACACAGCTTCCCGACTTCACCTGATCATTAAATATCTTCTCATGGGTAGGTAGTCCCACCGAGAGAAGGTGATCTGCACAGGGGCTTGGCATTCGGAAGAAGCCTATTTCGTCTACCACTTCAGCCTCTTCCCTTGGGCCATAGCCGCATAGTAGATGCGCTCGGCACATGAATAACATCAACCATGTCAGCCCCCATTCGTCAAAAAATCACGATTCATCTCCCTTCTTACAGGCTCAACTCGACTCCATGCGGGGAACGACCCGGCATTCAACGCTCAATTTGCATGAGCCGCAGAAACCACGCGAGCGAGTGCGGGGTGATGCGCCGCTTTGGGGTTTGACAGCAGAGGTTGATTCTTCATTGGGTCAGTGAAGTGTCACGTTGCAGCCAAGAGCGTACATGTCTCGACCAATTCGTATTACCCCTAATATGAATGGGGGATTGAGCCGGAGTGGTGCACACTTTGTATGGGCTGGGCATTCATCTCTGCTTACGGCATTTGGAGCTGTCCTTTAGCCGGACTGTTTGCGTCTCTTGATCAGATGTTCACTTCAAGGCGTATTGATTTGATCGCACGGTATTCATGGCAGGACCATGTCATGGGTATTCGTGATCTAGACAACTTAATATCAAACCCCGCTCTAGTCTAGCCTCTTAGCCCATGGAGCCACGGAAATGCCATGCCTGCATGCGTTTCTCATTAGAGAGAGCCCCGATTACTCGCAATCCGCGCTTCGCACATTGCTTGTCTTATTAGGTGGAATAATAATTTGGCATTTCCCGTTAACGCAGGTGCCGGAGTTCAAGATTTGGTTGAGGTTCGTCTTGCACGCCTTGCCGTCCTTTGCTGCAGAGGCTGTACCTCCAGCCCTTCTGGCATCGATCGGGCTTTCTATGGCAAGGTGTCAGTGAATCGTTTCAATCGAGGTTTATGGGAAACTTACTGCCAGCAAAAGCTCCGCAAGCCAAAGCGGCGACAAGAACAGTAATGCTGAGCTGCATGATTCGGACTGTTTGAAAAGATGGGAAAGTAAATAAATGGAATCAGGTCGTCTGCGCAGCAGGAATCGTAGAACTCGGAGGATGAAAATTAAATTCTCTTTTAATTAGTTATTCAATTCTGAAGTGGTAAACTGTCCACCTTTATAGGCCTCACAGACGCCCTTAGTCTTGGCGTAGCCTGACGTGGCTATCATAAGACCTTGTTTGAATAGTGCATGTATTCTAGAAAGACCACAGTCATACAAAAGCAAGATAATTTTACAAGCGAACTTTCCCCCTAGTTTGAAATGGTTTCAGTTGAAGATCCTGTCTGGGATTCGTATGACTGTGGGATGCCGATGCCTGCATCCCCGTTTTGGGCCTTGTGAACTTTCTCTGAATGCTTCCAACCATTCATAACCATACGGCAAAGCCGAAATCTGAAGAACGGAATGGCGATAAATGAATCATGCGCCTAGAGAATGGCATGTTCGTCTTTACTCCCTTTCTTTTCCGCCAAAGAACCTTTTGACCATTGCCCCGTAGTTCGTCGAGTATACATCAAACTCGAACTCGTCGAAATGATCGTTCAATAGATTTGCATAAAGAGGTCGAATGAATAGCAAATTCTTGAAGACAGTCCTGGAGTCCTCAGTTTCGTTCACGCCCCGTGCAAATGGCCACGGTTCCTCCTCTAGCCAGACATCTAGCTCCGTGTCCATGTCCGTATCCATGAATGACGAGGATTGCTGCTGAAAAGACGGATCAAGAGGCATAGACAGCGGTCGAATTTCGGGATGAAGACGCCATAATTCGATGAATTTCTTCCATTGAAGGGGAGGAGTTCGGTCCGGCCGCTCAACGTCGAGCCATGGCGATCGTGAGCCAGCTTCGACCCGCATCTCTTTCCATTGCGGGGGTGTTTTCGGCGCCTCGCGTATGAGGTAACGTATCTGAAAACAGAGAGAATCTAAGACCGTTGCTCTTGTCGGATCGCATGGTCTTCGTAGGATCAGATGTCGGAGAGAGAGGAAGCTCTGACTTCTGTGCCAAAGCATCATTGCGATGTGGTGTATCTCCTCGGTGGAGTTATCGAATTTACCTAGACGCACGATCGTGTCGTCGATCACGAGGTTTTGTACTTTGGCAACCCACTCGAGGTCTGGCAAGACCCTGCATCTCTGACGCATGTCATCGTGCCATCTTATGTGAACAAAGTCTAATCTCCAGTTGATATTGACATGCTCAGCTTTCGCAGAGCCTTTCGAGACTTCGATGGCAATCTGTGGGCGTAATATTCTGGCAACATTGCTAGCCAGAGGGTCTATGTCTGTATCGATCGCGGTGTAGTATTTCTTTTTGTAAGGTCTGGGTTTCATGACCCATTCGACGGTATCATCAAACCGGCTGATTCCGCTACCATCGACCAAAAAGTATCTGGGCTCGAGGTAAAATTCCTCCCATATCATGAATTTGAGACAATTGGGAAGCTTCGGGAAGAGCTCGAAGCTGCTCAATGCCGGCTCGGGGTCGTTGCTGGTGGACATGACGCTTGCTGCTGTTCTCGAGTGGCTCCTCGCATGACCATACTTGAAGAAATGCGTGTTACTAAAGCCTTGAGACTGTTCGACTACGAAGTTTTATACATTCTATCACGCACCCTGATATTGAATTATGACTCAAGATGAAGACTCTACCGGCTTGTATGACTCGACCTGCTGCTAAACTTGATTGGCGCGACCCTTTCGAGTTTCCAAACTCTATGGCTAGCGTCAAGCTCATCACATCCGTACGACTTGGAGATTTGATAGATCAAACGAGGGTTTATGTTTTGGTCTCATATATCGTGTTTGGAAAATGTTGCTCTTGGTCCGATGATTGCCCTACCTGCTTGAAATGAAAGCCCGACGTACTAGCTCATCGTAATCGCAGATGAGCTGGCGATCTAGAGGCAAGACCGACAATCCAGGAGAGGGTAAATACAAGAAATGGCCTGTGTGGCGGAGAGAGAACAGTTCTGAAAACATTATTCTGGTGTCTGTGATTTCGTCTCCGGTGATCTTAAAACATGCATGCGGATCCTCTGGCTCCATAAAACGATCCCACTGAACCTCTTCTACTCCTCCGTGCCGTTCAATGTCAAGCCTCGGCGACTGTGAAATAACGCCCACTTTCAAGTCTTTCCACTGAGGTGGTGTCGCCGGTGCCTCACGCAGAAGGTATCGGATCTGGAAACACAGAAGCGGTGTGTCGGAGTCTTGGTTTCGATGCCAAGGAACCCTTTGCAGGGCCAAGTTCCGCAGAGAGCCAAGAAGTCTTTTGCTTTCCCAAAGACAGAAGGCAGTAAGTGTGATCATGTTCCTGAAGAATCCGCGGGAGATGTCCTTTTGAAACAGATCATGATCTAGGACCATATTTTGTATATTGCTAAACCACTCAACCTGTGGTATGAGGTTTCCCGAGCCCTCGGGGACTGCCTTGGTGACATGGACAAAATCAAAATCCCAGCTGATGTTTGCATGTGCCACCTTGGATTTTCCCTTCGCCCTGCGTGTCTTGATTCTGTGTTGTTGATGCTCGTCCACGGTCATGCGTGGTATTGTGATTGTGAATTTTGGGCGAATCCGGCTTGCAACGAAACTAGAAAGCTCATCTATCTGCGTGTCGATCGTCTTGTGGTAGGACGTTTGCGGCCCTTTGGGTCTGAGAGCCCATCCAAGCGGGACCTCGAACTCATCTTCCCGCGACCGGCCCCGGTAGACCGGGTATGTAATGAAATAGCGTGGCTGGCTGTAGAACTCTTTCCATATCATGGACTTGATACAATTTGGGAATTTCGCGAAGAGCTTGAAGTCGGAAAGAGCATGCGCCGTCTCGTTGGCGGCGTTGGGAGGCATGGTGTCTGTCCACCTCCCCAAGGGTGAAGTTGTTCGTGAAGAAACAAATGCACCTTGAAAGAGTGAAATAATCTCGGTCGTTCATTTAAAAAGCTTAACACATCTGGAGGCCGGCCCTGGAACCGTGATGGCTAATGTTGTGACTCAAGATCTGAAATTCGCGGTGGCGTCAAATTTTGTTGTTCAGTTGCTGCGTTTGGACCGGATGCCCAGTAAGGTTACCAGGTAGCAGCCATTCGCGTCTTTTTCGTCCTTCTGGATCAGTGGCACAGAGGCGGTGAACAACGCCGACTGCATGATGCAGATCCTCGGTGTTCCTTGTTTGCTCGGACCGCCTCCCCAGAGTCCTTGCTAGAATGTCGTAATTGAGTGTTCATGGCGACATTGTCGCATTTCGAGTGTCGTCCATATCCGCTTACCTGCTTAAATTACTTAACAGGCCAGCCCTCCTGCATGCCGAGCATACGTCCCGTACACAGCTGATCATGGTTAGCAGACGGATGAAGTTATTGAGCCTACTAGGATTGGGAAGTTAGCCGGTTAGAATCTAGATTTAGGATAGGTCTAAGGTACACAACTACATATGCTCAATGTAACTACGTGACAGTCAGGGCACAGTGGCGAGTCCCTTTTGACCCTAGACTTTTGCTCAGTGCTTAGTTGTCTACAACTCTACATCCGTGTCTGTACTGATCTTAACACAAATCGTGCGACTTTCACAGCTCGTCAGAGCCTCCCCTCCTAGCTCTATCCCCAACTTTATATGTTGCCTCATGCGCTTCAACAATTTCCTTGGCAATCTCAGTCCAGAAACCACACGCCGACTTTGCATTCTGGTCGTCGGGAACATCGAGCGTGAACGCAGAGTACACCAGTTCCGGCGGCCCGACTGTGAGCACATTGGTCAGCTCGTCCCCGCTACCATCTGCCACGGTCCAGGTCGGCGGCTCCCAAAACAGAACCTCTGGCATCATAAGTGTATTCGGGTTTCCACCCGAAAGCGCAAATGACGCGAAGTAGGTCTGGTATGCCTCGGCTAGGTCGCTATCGACAAGGAGGAAAGCATAGGCATCAGCCTCAAGGGTGCTAACATTGTTCTTCTCCAAGATGGCCTTAGCTTCGCTGTAGTAGTTGGAGAACAGGGGCACCAAGTCTGATGCGTGGCGGGCTAACGAGGCAGTCGGGAACCCGTATCGCATCATGTGCGATATGCTTGGGTATGCCGAGTACAGGTCACGGGTGTTGCAGGTGAAGCTGGCGTCGCGGATTACGGTCGCGATGCAGAGTCGATAGTCGCCGTCATAGGGGGCTTCGGTACAGGGGTATTGGGCGGCTATCTTTTGTCGTTGAGATACCAGCTCGGCCCCGGGGAGGAAGACATCGAGGAACTCGGTAAATGTGTCGGCTGAGGTCACAAAAGGCGGTGTGAACGAAGCAGTCTCGTTCAGGACGTGCGAGATGATCGTCGACTGAATCGAGGACTTCCAATATTTACCTGAGGATTCGGTGTCAGCTAACGTTTACCACCTTCAGTTGAGAATGTTGATAACTCACCATTCGCGAACGAAATAGTTGGAATCGTGGTGATCCATTTGTCGTCCACGGCTGGTCCAACAGGAAACAAACCAGTTTGCTTGACAGTGTCAAAAAGCGCCTGGTTCGCCGCTGTTAGGTTCGTAGACTCCTGTAAACAGGTAAGATTGAAGGCAAAGCCACAACCGGCAAGACTAGAGAAGTTCTGGTAGACCTGGTCCAACTTGCCCATCGGGCTATTGTCCCAGGCCCATTCAAACGCTGGGCTCTGAACAGCAAAGGTCTTGAACGTGGGATCGACAGCACCATCTTCGCGAATAAGATGATGGAGAATAGATCCACCACCAGCGGACTCGCCCCAGGCACTGACTTGAGACGCATCGCCGGACACCTTGTTAATATACTTCTGTACCCATTCGAACAGAAGAGCTTGGTCGTACAGTCCGGCGTTTGGCTGAGCATTCTTCTGCATAAAGTCTCCTGATAGCCAGCCATAAGCACCGAGACGATAATTACCAGCGACGAATATAGTCTGGTAGTTGCTCGCAGCGATGATTGACTGGCCGGTGTACAAAGGACCGATCTGGTTCTTGCTGCCGAATGCGAACGCGCCGCCATAGATCCATACGACCACCGGCAAAGGCTTCCGCGGGGGATTGTCAATCACGGTCTTGGGCACGTATAGGTCAAGGAATAGGCAGTCTTCGCCTTGCGGAGTGACCTGGTCATCAGGGTATCGACTGGGCTTTGACCACCTGGTGCGTTACGAAGACCATTTGGGTCAATCTGAATACAGTTGCGTCCGTTGCTGACAGGCTGAATGGCTGTGCTTGTTGACGTCGGGAAGGCTGGGGCGCCGAAACGCGGGGGGTTGGCACCAAAACGGACGTTCTCGAATAGATAAATCTGTGCAAACTGTCAGTAGAGGCTCTGACAATGGACCAAGCGTGTCCTTATCTGTCTGTCTGTTACCTACATCTGGATCATCTGCCATAGGTTGGCCTTCGTACACTCCCCAGGGCAGCTCCAGCGTCGGTGGCACTGTTGCCTCGGCGTGCAGAGCTGGGAGATGGGCAAAGCCCAGGCTGTATAATAGCAACTTTTTAAACATCGTGAGGGCGCAGATCGAGGCAAGACTGGGCCTTTGAGCACAGGTACACAGTATCTGGCGTGGGCATCATATCTGGGTCAAATTCAACTATTTATGGTCTTTGGAGCAGTGCTGATTTTTACAAAGTCGTCTGCAGCTGTCACCGTGTCATTCGCGGTGGCGTTGAGCTGAAATTAAGCGTGGGCAGGGAAACACCCTTCTCGACGGCTCCGAGGCTCGCAACGCGTGCAGGCTGGCATGGCCTCGACGGATATGGTCATGGTTGCCAGATATTCAGCCAGCCAGCCTTTTCCCAAGCCTGAAAACGTGTATATGGACCTACTACTCAACTGCCGATTGTGCCAACCCCGCACCTGTGTCCAGCGGGACGGCACGCAACTAGAGTCAGCGGCTGCAACCGGATGGTCCAGCCAAGCGCCGCCCATGTGGGTTTCAAGTTGGGGGAATCACGAGACATAGATTTATGAAGTCCTTCATCCATGACTAATCAAGCTGGCCATCGGAGAATATTCTCAATTAAGCCTCCGTGGCGTGAAGAATGTGTGGAAGTCGTGCTGTGGTGTAGTGGTCGCTATGTAAACATTGGCATGAGCATGAAGTGTTGCCCCAACGACGTGCAACCATTCATGCCTATCCATTCTTATATGTCGGAACATGAACACCTCAATTTCACGGTCTCTTTCGATTTGCTCTGCTGACAGGGCGGCCCTCGAATTATGGAGGGTTGCCTTCCGGCTTACGCGTTCTTGAAGTCGCCTACGTTCGGGAACAACTTTTAGGTAGTGAACGCCACTGAGGTCTCGAATGATCGATCAAGTGCATAGCACTAAGCTCTTCAGACTGTCGTCTGCTTCTCGCCATGTCGCGTGAGGGGCGAGGGCATTCGTCAAATTTGTAGGGGCTAACTAAAACCCAGCTACGTCGAGATGCTGTATAAGTAATAGTAGCAGCTAGCCGAGAGCAATCCATTCAATGTCGACAGACATCATGTCGTCGCTAAGTTTCCGTGCCATGTCAGCCTATTTGAGCTATGCTGATATTGCCCAAAAAGATCTCGGCAATCACATCATCTCCGCGACATTATTCACCTTTGGCGCACTCTAAGATAACCAAAGAAGGCCTTTGGCCACTTGCCGGAGCGCCTCCAGAAGTAACTCGATGGTGACCAGCAAGATAGTCTACTGAGGTTTTCCTACTGGTTTCCGCTATGTGTTTTATAATTTTGCCGTCTCTTCCCGCTCATCGTTCTAGAAGAAAGTTGACCAAGAAGCTCTCCGGTACCTCATCAGAGTCGCTATCAGAGCTTTCTGTATCTTCCAAGTTTGATACTTCATCAGGGGGCTGTGGAGGCTTTGGTATGACCTTGTAGCCCTGGAACGCACATTCCAGGTTCTCGACTTGGAACGTGTCTATCCAAGTGAGCCCCTTAAAGCCAGTGCAGGTGGCATTGAAGTCGAGGAAACCGTGGCTTTCCACCGGCTCTTCTCCGAGCTTCTCTTTACCCTTCCAGAGAAAATAAAGCCGTCGGCAGCCCTCAAACGTCTGTCGCGAATTCGGCTTGCGCTTCTTGCGCGTTTGCGGACGCCGCGCTTTGCTGCCAAGGGCAGCCGCGGAACGTTTTCTTGACTTGCCTGTTGGCTGCTCAGGTGCAGCATCATCATCGTCCCGTTCGAGCGGTCGTTCTACAATATATGGCTCGATATTTTCCAGAGGCGGGACATCAGAATATTCATCTTCGTCCAGAAATTCTTGCGCCCACCCATTTGAAGCCTTAATCAGAGTATCTTTGGAGAAAGAGAGGAGCATGATACCGCTCACAACGCCAAAGCTCATGCTGGCAGTAAGAAGTCCATCCCTTCCTTCCATCCCCGGATGGTCCTGGATGTTCAAATGAAACACAGCGCCATACATCGCATACTTCATCTGTAGTTGAGGGCACTTGACGACGTATGACCCGATGGCGTCTCCGAGAAGCATTTCCTTCGGCGTAAACTCCAGAATGTCCTCTTCCTTGAGTCTCGCCTCAGCAGCTTCAGCGGATTCTGAGAGGTATTTGCGGTGGTCGTCCATAGCTTGCTGCCATGGCTTCTTTGGAGGAACATACTTAGAAGAACTAGTAGGACCAGACTGAAACTTTGCGTTCTCTGCCAGACCTGTGTTCTTCACTTCCTCCCTGTCCCAGCCAATAACGGCGAAAGGCTTTCCGTTGAGGAGTCCCGGAGCTAGGTAAAGCCCGTCGATCTCCTCTACCATTGAGGGAATCTCAAACATCAGTTGAGGATCGATATCGCGAAGAACAATAGGCTCAGGCGTGACATTTGGATCTGGCTCCCCATCCTTTAAGAAAAAGTGTTCTTTGAAGAGATCGATGTCCCAAGCCGCCTTGATGGTAGGGTCACTAAATTCGAGGAATATTGACTCCTTTTCCCGACGCATCCGCTCGGCATCTTCGAATGCCGAATCGATCACATCTGCACGTTTGGCAAGTTTATCGCACTGCATGGAGTCAGTATCGCTCACGAGTGCCATCAATGCCCCTATCTTCCCGGTTCACTTACTAGGCCCGTCTTTACCATCTCACGGAGGTCGTAGCGCAAGCCGCTAAGTGTCTTCATCTTCATATGCGTGAGTCGCAGATCATAGAACATTGACTGCGCTTTGAACCACTCCTTCTTCTTAAAAAGCTTTCTGGCTTCAGCGACTGTTGATCTCCTCTTGTCGGGATCCTCAATGTCATCGGGGAAACAGAGCTCGCGCAGCCGGGCCCCATCGACGCGGGCGATCCCTTCGAACAACAGGGTACCGTCTACATACTCGAATCCTTCGACGCGACATTGCATCACAAAGTTGCGACGGTACTCGAGCTCGCTTCTCAATTCGGCCGCCATATCCGCATAGTTCTGGGTGTCTCAAGGGAGCTTATGTGCAACAGACTGTCGGCCGATGAAGATGTTGAGCGTTGATGACAAGGGTGTAGCGTCCAGACGCGCTCGCTAACCCCAGATCCAGCTGACGCGAATGCATGTTGGGCTGGGCGTCAGGGGCGGCACGTGACCGTGTCTCAAAGTCTCGCGATGGCTTGCGGAAATTACCTCATCATGAACTTCATATTATCGTTTATCCTCGTAACTTCATATCACATTTTCAACTTTCAAGAATTGTCTTTTGTTGATAGCTTGCACTTGTGGCTTTTCTCATCCAGCATCAGAGCTCGGCCGGCACCCTAACCCACTGTTGTCTATCGCCTCCACACCCCAGTACTTCAATGAGCTGCTATTAACAATATTCAAGACGAGCTTTCATGGAAACGAGTCAAATCAACTTGCCCAATACCTGGAAGCTGGTCGATTCAACAAGAAGAACTGATGCGAAGTCGACAAACAGTGAGGCCGCAAGAAATCGTCAGGCCAGTCACAGGACCCGCATGTCGCTGCCGGCAGTGATGGTCCTGTGGAGGTCGACGATCTGCATACCCACTCATGAGTGGATTACTCAACGCGGCGTTGTGGCAGAGTGGTCTAATGCGCAAGACTAGAAATCTTGTTCCTTCGGGAGCGTCTGTTCGAATCAGGCCAACGTCGATCTTTTGCTTTTTGGACGGCAGAAGTTGTTTTTGCAGTAGCAAACTGCAATGTATCGTGACATTATTTCATAAGCTCATCTATGCTAAAAGACTTCAATCTTTCTGCGAGTGACGCTGGCTTGGTTCCTGCTCATCTCGTTTTGCGACGCTCTAGTTTTAATCCACACGATCCCTTTCACAACAACTTTCCCGAGGGAGAGATTGAGGTAATCTCATCATACAAAAGACTATGGAAAAGCAATTAGCAATCGATTTTTGTTACGAGAATAACGAGGAACACTCACGTTGTGACGAAACTGGCATAATCCTCGCCTGTCACTTGCGGCCTCAAGTACTTGGCAGCGAGCTCAAACTTGTTGTTCGCAGGCGCAGAAGCAGCCAGCTCTTTCGTGAGTTGGTCGAGGGTGCCGAGCACGTAGGTCTTGTCGAGCTTGGTTCCTTCAGCGGTGCTCACGCCGTGCTTGACCCATTGCCACAATTGTGTTCGAGACACTTCGGCGGTAGCAGCGTCCTCCTGCGACATGATTAGCCACCCATCCATGAATCCCTCGAGTACAGAATTACTTACCATCAAGTAGTTGATGGCGCTGCAGCCAACACCGCGCAACCAACCCTCCATGTAAGCCAAGCAAATGTGCAAGTTCTTCTTCACACCGTCATCCGTGATCTTTCCAGGAACAACCGAGTTAAGTAAGTCGTCCCTCGTAACGTTCACCTCCGGCCTGATAAAGATCTGGTTGGCAGTGGGCATGTGCTCGTTGAAGACTTCGCTCGCGATGGACGCAAGCGCGGGGTGCGCAACCCAGGTGCCGTCGTGACCCGCCTTGACTTCGCGAAGCTTGTCCGCGCGGACGCTCTCCATGGCCTTCGCGTTAGCAGCGGGGTCGTCCTTGCGCGGGATGAGGGCAGCCATGCCGCCCATTGCGTGAACGCCGCGACGGTGACAGGTGCTAATCAGGAGCTTGACGTAGGCGTCCATAAAGGGGACGGTCATGGTGACGTCGGCGCGATCGGGGAGGATGAAGCCAGGGCGGTTACGGAAGCGCTTGATGAAGGTGAAGATGTAATCCCATCTACCGCAGTTGAGGCCGGAGCTGTGGTCTCTAAGCTCGTAGATGATCTTGAGAAACAAAGTTAGCAAAAAAGTCGAAAGCCACTCTTGGAGGACGACGAACCTCATCCATCTCAAAAGCCGCACTAATAGTCTCAATCAAAACAGTGGCTCTGATTGTTCCCCGGGGAATGCCAATGTAATCCTGAGCCATGTTGAAAACGTCGTTCCACAACCTCGCCTCGAGATGCGACTCCATTTTCGGCAAGTAAAAGTAAGGACCAGTTCCTCTTGAAATCAGCTCCTTGGCGTTGTGGAAGAAATACAAGCCGAAATCAAAGAGAGCTCCGGACATAGCGTCTCCGTCGACGGTGAAGTGCTTCTCATCCAGATGCCAACCACGCGTTCGGCAAATTAAAGTGGGCAAAGTACGGTCAGTTCTGAGCTTGTACTCTTTCTCGCCCAACTTGAAGTCCACCTGACGACGGATAGCATCGTACAAGTTTGCCTGGCCCTGAACCATGTTGTCCCAGGTAGGTCCGTTTGAGTCTGCGGGCGGTTAGTCACACATCTCAAACGCAAAGTTGTCTCAATTAACACACCTTCAAAATCCGCCATATAAGCCCAAACGTCAGAGTTGAGTGCGTTCACAACCATCTTGCGGTCTGTGGGTCCAGTAATCTCAACTCTGCGATCAACGAGACCAGGCGCTGGCGCAGCGCCCTTCCAGTTGTTGTCATCGCGGATGTGCTTGGTTTCGGGGAGGAAGTCGGGTAACCTGCCCTGGTCGGTCTCGATCTGTCGCTGTTCCCTCAACTTGAGGAGCTTCCTGCGGGTAGGCTCGAAACTGCGGTGGATAATTGCCAGAAACTTGACTGCCTCTTCAGTGAGAATAAGCTTGGTGGCTTCGCTACCAGCGCCAAGGATGGCGACGTTGCCCGTTGATTGAGTCATTGTGCGGAATGAAATTTTGCGATAATTGACCAGTGATCAATAAATGTTTTCTGTCTTTGAAAGGCCTCTAAATGATGTCAGATGCGATGTAGGTTATTCTTAAATATATTTGAAGCCGAATCGCGGTCTCCGATACCTGTTCGGCTCGTACCCGTTGGTGTTTAATTCTCGCACGCTCACCCGAGTGTAGCTCGGCATAGAGCCGAGCTATCTTTCATTGTGTGCGGATGTCATCCGATTGGCCCCACCCAATCTCTCCAGGTCGCCGGCGGTCGAACGGAAACCATCCATCTTGTAGGGCAGGCCAATCACACGTGGCAAATCGAACTTCGGAGGTTTGGAGTAAAGGAATTATCTCGGGAATATGCGGCAATCACTTCAATTAGATTCGGCTGACTGAGACGCATCATGATCCGTATCCACCAGGTGCCATCATCTTCTCCAGCTCGGCCCAGTCCAGCTGATCGACTCCGGTAAGCGGAAGCGTCGGGTCGTTGAAACTGGCGTAGATACCCTCGGCTTCCAAGCTGAACTCCTGCCCCAGACTTCCGTTCAAATCCAGACCGAAAAGCTGGTCGGGGTCATACGACTCGGCCGACTCGGTGCCAAACATCTCGCCATCCCACGACGGTTGCGTCGAAGGGCTCGGGTCGGGCGGCGATAAGACGACTTGCGAGCCCGACCCCTCGCCAGATTGCCCCGGAGTGCCCTGAGCCCCGGATCCTCCCGCGTGGGGTTCCCCGTGGGGTGTTCCAGAATCTTTCATCTGCACGTCACCATCCTTTTCGGGTGGGAAGTACCTCGATCCCCACACATGTGCTTCTAGCTGCTTGATCTCTTTCAGACGATGCGAAGCCGCATTATTACCCGCTGCAGAGAGATACTCGAGGACTTCCACAGCTTGATGTAATTCCTGAGGGGGTGGTTTTTGGCTGTCGTTCTTATGGGCGAACCCTCGCATGATGAGTACGAACGCTGCTGAGAAGGCTGCGTCTAAATCGAAGAATGCGAAAGGAGCTAAACCAAAGTTAGCGTCAAGATGAATTTATAATCGCAGCAATTTGTACTTACCAATCTCGTCTTGCTTCTTCATAGCATACAGAATGCGGATGGTCCTCAATGCTGCCTCGTTGCAAAGCAAACACAGCTGCGAGATTGCGGGTGTGACGATTTGCTTCTGGGTATCTTGCACCTTATCCTTGACTTTCTGAAGTAGTATCGGTCGAATGCAGAGGATGATTGCCTTTGATAAAGTTAGTGATTTGACGATGAGACTTATTTCCATGAGTGTAGTACCGAGAACAGCCTCAAATACAGCGAAGAGCCGGATCTTGTGACCTCAAGCTCCTTGCTCTTGAAGTCGATTGCGATATTTAGTGGAATAGAGCGCCCTGTGTCGTATAATGACTGAAGAACGTTGCGCATCTTCTTAATGAGATCACCCTGCGATAGGCCGCCATTGCTGTACAGTGCTGCAGACTAGTGTTAGTTGACACCTCCTAGCATGTGGGGCTCTTGTAACCGTGAGACTCACAAGTCATGATCTCTGAAGTGGCGCGAGCAATCCGAACGTTGATGTTCAGTGCCTCTGGTGACTCAAATCCGGGCGATGGTCCCGGCAGGTCGAACGTAATTTGGCGGTCATCAACAGATGCTGGCAATCCCAGACCTGCTGATATGCGTCTGCAAAAATGTCAGAATGAATTCCTAACCCCTTTTCTGGGAATGCATACTGGTCAAGCATATATGCAGTCCACCATATCCTTGTACGGTGGGCTCTTTCTGAAGGCAGACATTGCTGCTCGGCAAAAGGCAGGTTGCAGCCCAATGTCAGAGCAAGTCGTACAGCAGTGCCGACCTGCAGCTTGTTAGTCTTCATCCACAGGCTTGGAACGAGGCAGCGATCGTACAAAGAAGTATGAGTCCTTCTTCCTGTCACACCATTGCAGATACGTTGTCGCAAGACATAATATCTCGACTCCCACAATGCCGTACTCGCTGATACTGTGGAGAGGCGGAAACCTCTTCATAGCTTCCGCGAAATAAAACGCTCCTGGCGGGCCATCGTAGATCCTCCTGTCGGCCTCCATCAACTTGCCCATCGCCATCACCAGCAAGTAAAGCGTGAACCATGGCGTCTTCATCTGCTTCGCTCGGGTAGCCTGGTTCTGGAATAATAATGTCAGGTTGTCTGCAAAGGTCCTCTGGTCGATGAAATGTTGGTTGCCGCTCATGTAGTCATTAAACAGTCCCAGTAGACGATTCGACTCTGCCTCCCCCGGCATAATTTGAGGCGGGATGCCTCTGATCAACTCTTCTGTTGAAGTCCATTCTGGTGTGAAAGGTGCGTCTTGCTGCTCATCATGCGTTGTGCGCATCTCTGGTGAGTCTTGTTCTGGGGATCCTGTGTCTCTACCGGAGTTCTCATGGAACAAATTTCGGACGCGCTGCTCGAACAAGGGGCCAGGTGCGCGTTCTATTGAGGCTATTGCAATCGTGTAAGTTCTCTTTAGCATCGACACAAAGGGGAGACTTGTTCTAACAATAACTAGGTGGCGGTGGTACTTCGCCTGTTGGTTCTGTGGGTGCAATGCCCAGAGTGTTCTCCAAAGCCACTGAAACACCGCCCGGGGCTGGGGCCGGTGTTGATGACTTGAGCTCTATGATAAGACAAATGTTAGTCTTCCATTATCCAATCCCCTTCGAAGAGATGAAGCTTGCGCACCTCTTATTTGAGACTCATATCGTGTGACTGTTGCCCTCAATTCTTGGACATATCTAGCGGGACAGATTAGCTTATCGGCGATTCCCAAATCTGGCGTCAACCACTGAAAAAGTCAATTGGGCCCTTACGCTTCAGAGTATCGCTGTCGCCCCGCGCCAAATTCACAGTCAAGCTTGTTCCTGACGCAGTTGCGACACGGCTGCTCGCCTGAGCATTTCACCTTGCGACGCCGACAGGTGTTGCAGCTGTGCGTCGCCAAGTCAGCAGCACGTCTTGTGCGATGAGGTCATTGAAGACTGACGCGTTGGCCGATCGCTGTTTGCCCGGCGGCTGCTGAGGCATCATGGGCGCATTCAAAAAACGTATGTGGTGTATCGTTCGTTTCCCGCAGCCGTTTGACCGTTACAGAAGTCTCTTCTCACTCTCGTCGGAAATGCGACAAAAGAGTACTATTAAAATCGGTTCACGGGTCGTGTGTCCCCAATTGAGAGGCGCAAAAGTCTTCCGATGCCGTTGAGGTCGATCGGTGGGCGGCCAATGAGAACACTGTGGGAAACTGGGAAATGAGGGGTGGCACGGGTCTGTAGCCCGGGATACCGATCCCCGATAGTCGGCGTATCTTGATAGCCAGTGTAATCGCCCCGCATGTGAGACTCTTATCTATCTATCGCGAGTAATGCGCTGATACAATGTCCGATCACATGACGCTTAGGTCTTCCTTTCCAGCCATCTACGCTGTGATTTGTGAATGATAATGACGGCAGTCGTCAGGTCGAGCATTGTGTGATCCTGAAGGTGGATTTTGTACCACTCGATGCCCCAATCTGGGTGGGTGTCTCATAGCATTGACTTGCACAAGCCGTCGAAGACCCATGTTCGCGGGATGGACATGTGAGATATGGGGGGAAGAACTGGTATTTGTAGGTGTGCATCCCTTCAAAGCACAGGCCTTCGGGGACTGCCCGAATCTCGAGTTCGGTCGAAAGGGCCGAATCGCTTCCACGGGTCATTTTTGAGATGGTATTTGTGTCTTCAAACCAGGTCCAGAAACGTCATCATTCTTGCGTGTGTTATTCATGCTTGTAGCGGATATCTAAGATGGTGCGACGGATGGAGAGCCGAGGACGAAAAAGACTCGGCCGTCTTCCGAGGCGCCTCAGATAAGCCCTGCAGCACCTGCTATCCACATTGCCGACGGCGAAGCCAGCTGCGACGCCGAAGCCGCTCTGCTGGGACACGGGGTTGTTCCCTGGTTACTCCACAAATGAGGCGCACGACCCCAAGATCGTCTGCAACGCAATGTTACCCTCGCGATTTTATTTCCGATTTTGATCATCTTGGCGTCAAGACAGTGAACGTTGAATTAGTTGTATAGGGGCCATAGAGCTCAGCATTTAATTCCAAGGTTGATGAATCGTTTTCAAAAGTTCATGACCAGCATGCAATGCAACAGTGCTCTTATGTGTTAAGGGGCCATGCAGCAGCACATGATAGTTATGCACAGCAGATGTTAATTTGATGTCAGGAGTGACGAAGAATATTCCAATAATCTTTAGAGATTACGTGAGTTACTTCACGGCAACTATTTACTAGTGTTCAAAAAGCTAAATACTGAATCGTAGGTTATCGTCTTATGTGCATCCACTCTCAAGCATGCCCATTAGACAACAGGAGAAAATTGCCCCGCTCACAGTTGTCGCACACCCGAAGCAGTCATTGGTCAGTCCACCCTGTGAACTGTTTGAATAAGTCCACCTTAGTAGTTGTTGGGGCAGCGCAGAAGCTGGTTGGAAGCGAGGACCTTGCTGCCACAGCCGTGGTTGCCCATAGAGTAGCACATTCCGTGGGAGTCTATGACGAATGAGTCAGTCAATTGATCTTCGGAGAGGAGAAATATGAAGAATTATCTTCACGTACTGGAACCGCCAGCATCGCTGGACTCATGCATGATGTGAGCCTCGTAAGGAGTCACGGTGGGGTTCGAGCAGGCTCGCTTGGAGTTGACGTCGATGTGCTGGGTCTGTTCCCTTGTGATTAGCAATCCGTCATTTGTGTGGATGGTGCAGGGTCACTACGTACCACAATGACACCCTTGTCAACGCTGAAATGGGGTCTCTCCCACAGGAAGCAGACGTTGAAAGCACCGCAGGTGCCAGAGTAGCTGATACCGGTGGTCACACTACAAAAGATGTTAGCCACAATAAGACACCCTGGAGACGTCCAGGGGTTGCGTACCTGTCCGGAGTGTGGCCAATGCTCAGGCCAAAGGTGCTGAAGAACGTGGAGGCAGCCTTGGTCCAACCCTTGCCGAACTGGAAGCCGGTCAGTAAATTGAAATCTTGCGCATGGTGCTTACCAGACTTACTGAAGGGATCTGGCCAGTGCCTCCAATGGTAACGCCCGAGACGTGGGTGACGGAAACAGTCTTGGTGACGGAGCCCGTGCCGCACTGAGCATCCGAGACGTAGTGGTAGTTTCCGTAGACATTGCTGTTCAATGATTGTCTGACACCGCGAGAGATGTTGTCGATGCAGCTGCTCGAGCAACGAAGCCTGTTGTCGTAGAAGCACATGTCGGGGAAGGCCCGCTTGCTGACATGCTTGGTGGGGATGTCAATGGCTGCATTAGGATCGTCTGCGTGAGCAATGAGAGAATCTCTATTCAATAGGTTAGTAAAAGGCAATACAGAGGCAGAATGTGTGCGCAGTGGATAAACATACTGGAAAGCCTTGACCTCCGCGTCCGTGGGAATGAAGTTGCCATTTGAATCAAAGTACTCGGGGAGGTTCATGTAGTGGGTCTTGAACTGCTCCGTGGTGAGAGCAGAGACGTTGAAGTCCTGGTACGTCAATTGCTTGCCGTCAACCGTGACCTGCTTCTCCAGCATGGGAATGCCATCGTAGAGAGTGGCTTCGGGAGTCCAGTGGTTGTAGTCGAACGCATCGTAGGGCTTGTAGGTGGTCAAGTTGCCCTCGACCTCCTTGGTGAAGAGGGGGGTGCGGGTATCTTGGTTTGAGTCCTGGCGCGTCACCACGCGAGCTTGCACGTGGCTGATGGCCAAAGCGAGGGAAAGTAAACGAAGCATTGTGCAAGGAATGTCGTGGCTGCGCAGGGGAAAAACAAATCAAGCTTGCTTAGAGAATGCGGAGGGACTCGGATGACTTGGCGAGAAAAGCTTGATCGGAGCAAGCGACATTGTCATCTATTATAACTTCTGTCAAGCTCATCCATCTCAAGGAGTAATCCCGTCGGCACAATCCGTCCGGATAATGAGGGGTTGTGATAACGGAAATGCTCACATGAGTTATGCTGACTCGGTTTTGAGTTCAGTCTATCTTCAGCTGGGCAGTTCATCACGAACCTCTCTGAAATGAAGATCTTGAGCGCAACTACCAGTTCTAATGCTTATTTCTGCCCTAGTCTATTTCTCAGGAACCGTGTTTAGAGTTCCAGAAGCTTAGACGCCTCACTTACTGGGACAACCTGACTCGCAAATTAATTGACTTATCTTGTTCGCTCATTTTCTATACTTTCTAGACTATAGGCTAGTTGGGTTTTGCGGGGTCTCGGCATAATTTTCCCGAGCTACCTGACTCAACTCTACGAAAACCCATTGAATTTCAACGAGAGATGATATCAATGTGAGAGTTTCACCGATATTGAGCTGCCGGTTAGCCTCGTGATCAAGGAAATTGTGAGAGATAACAAGAGTTACGGTGACACATGGCTCATGAGGATGTTCCCAATGATTTACATTTCCCCCAGGAAGCACAGATCAACCCGTAAAGATAAATACCACGGGTGTAGATCATAACAGAGAACGAATGCACACACCCTCACCTTCGCCGCTTACATCGTTCAACTCTTCTCAAGATGGTTTCCTTCTCATTCTCCAAGGCTGCCTCAGCCCTCGTGCTCTTGGTCGGTCTTACTGACGTCTGCAACGCCGCCGTGCAGTGCGATGTCATTAGCAGCTCCCACTGCGGCACCAACAGCCACCGCCAAACCCACAAGCTGCCCACAAGCGTAGGATCGACATACTACATTGACGGCTTCCACGGCGGTGTCATGAATGCCAAGTTTCAGTCGAGGGTGCAGTCCGTTCCTGGGTGAGTCTTTTGCGCAGCCGAGTGCTCGTCCGTTGCTTGTACTGACACTTTTCCAGCAACTCCGAATTCACCGACATCACTTACAACTTCAACCTTGGTGCTTATGACGGCACATACTGGATCCTTCTCCCGACTTCATTTGGCGGTGCCAATGAGTGCTTCGCCGTTTACAAGAACTGCGATGTCACCATCAGGTTCTGGGACAACAAGGACCCTCTCCCCGGCACGTACACTCTAGTATAGATGGTCAGCGGGTAAGTGGCATGGCTGTGATCTGCTGTGACAGACGACTGACTGTTCCTGGAGGGCTTCTAGTCCGCCTTGTGGGGTATGAGACAACGATAGATCCTTGACACTTCAAGGGGGAAGTTGCCGTTACCCGGGCTAGTGATGGAGTGACGGGCCGGGAACCCTTGCTCAAGGATGGGGAAACGTTGCGGCGGCGTCGGTGGCAGTGGGGCCAAGGCGAACACGGGGACGGGTCGCTTTTCTTCTGCCCATGTCGGGAAATTAGGACTACCCTTTGGGCTTCAGTCACTTTATATGTTACCAGCGGGAGCCGGATAATGCTGGAGAATATTTGAGGCGGTAATATTGTACATATGATATAGGCTTGAAGATATGAGCAGACAAAGCTTCTGCATGATTCGTTCAGATTTGGTTGGCTGTGCAAAATATCATTCTACTCAAAATGACTCGGCATGATCAATCGTCCTCGCTGTACTTCCAAAGCCTGCGGGGATTGTCAATCCAAATTTTGTTGATCAGCTGCTGATCTCCTCCGCACCACTCGACGCACTGGTCGATGAAGCCGGGAATGTCAGGAGTCATGAACTCCTGCTGCTGAAGTCTGTCCCCGCCAGGGTTCCGATGAGGACCTCCGACATGCGGCCAGTCGCTCGCCCACACAATCTTGTCGGGCGCCGTCTTCAGTACCTCCTGTACGTACTCATCCAGCCCGGGCGTGGTGGGGAAGCGGTACGTGCCGCTCATCTTGATCCACGTACGACCGGATCGGAGCGCCTGCAACACAGCTTGCCTTCCGGCTGGGTCGAGAGCGGGGTTCTTCGGGTCCGGATACCCCAGATGGTCGACTACTACGTCTACGTCGAGGTCCGGGGTGATGGAGAGGATATCGGGGTACTGGTTCATCGTCCCAAATACTTGTAGCACCCAGCCCCGGCTGCGGATTTTGTTTGCGTATGCGGTGAGCGTGGCTCGTAGAGAGTCCTTATCGGGAGTCGCGCCGAAGCTCCACAGATTGAGACGGACGCCAACGACGCCTGCGCGGTTCAGTTCGTCCAGCTGCTCTTCGGTGACAGTGTCGGGGTTGATGCAAGCGATGCCCCTTCCCTTGCCCTTCATTCGATTCAAACCGTCGATGAGACTTCGGTTATCGTCGCCATAGACTGAGACGGGTACGATGACGGCATGGTCGATACCGAGGCTATCCTCGAATTTGAGAAGCTCATTCACAGTTGCCTGCTTTGGCGTGAACGGTCGGTTAGGGCTGAGTGGGAAGTTCTCCTGTGCGGTTCAGTCAAGATACTGTGATATTGCACACTGAGAGCTGACCTCGTCGATGACGTGAACGTGGGAGTCCCACGCGCCCCGCGGGAGTGTGTATTTCGGCATTCCGGATATCGGGTAATGCGAAGCTCAATGGGTGTGATATTGTCGTGAGTAAACCAACAGTAACGGTCACAAAACACAAAAGATCATCAATCTAGTGTAATGTTGTTTGTGCCAACCCCGCGCTTGGAGATTCGTAGTTGAGGTTGGATGATTTCAATCTCAGATGTAGTCCTCGGCACATCGGATGGCTTTCGTAATCAAATCTGCCTATCATGCAGCACGAACTATGAGCGGGGTAAGCCAAGCTCTTGGATCAGCATCGGATAACTTTACCTCGACCACCCATCTTTCCCAATGCAACCCAAAGAAGCAATTCCTCCTTTTTTAGAGACCGCCGAAATTCGCCGCGAATGTTTCTTTTACCCCGGCTAATAACCTATCTTAGCTTCCAATTCTGTGAACATTCTGTTAGCGAAAAGAGGACCATGGAAGTCCCAAATGAAGAAAAGACGATTTTCGAGTAACAGCGCTGTTATTCTCGGGTTTTGTTGCTATAATACAGATGCCCACATGAAAAATCTCACCAATATCTACAAATCCAGAAAAAAGGAAAAAGAGGCACAGCTCGCCCCCAGATGTTGTTGTTCCGCAAATCGTTCATCAACCTTCACAATGTTTCTCATCTCATCTCCCATTTTGTGTGTGTGTGATCCTTCTCTTCTCTTCAACTGGCCAAGGCCCAGCGTCTCCTGGTAAGACAACCCAGACTCGTTGTGGTATCAGATTCGCTGCTGTATGGGCAGGGCCGCCGGCTCAGTATCGATGATGAGAGAAAACGCTTAAGCGCTCTGGGTGGCGGCGGGAGGGGCGCCAGAGGGGGGAGGGCCAGAGGGCTGGGCGCCGGAGGGCTTGGGGGGAGGAGTGCCGGAGGGAGCAGCGCCGTTAGGAGCAGCACCGGTAGGGCGAGGGCCGCTGGGAGGGGTGCCGGAGGGGGGAGCGCCGGAAGGAGGAGTGCCGGAGGGCTTCTCGGCGGGGGCGGACTCGGCGCGGCGGGCGTTGCCGGTGGGAGCGGGAGCGTCGGAAGGAGGAGGGCCGGTAGGGGTGCCGGTGGGCTTAGGGGGAGGGGTGCCGGAAGGAGGAGCTCCAGAGGGGCGAACGCCAGAGGGAGGAGGTCCGGAAGGCTTGGGGCCGGAGGGAGCGGCGCCGGAGGGCTCAGCACGGCGGGCGTTGCCAGTAGCAGCGGGGGGAGCGCCGGAAGGAGGAGCACCAGAGGGAGGAGCACCAGAAGGAGGGGGGCCGGAAGGCTTAGCACCGGAAGGGCGAGGAGGGGGGGTGCCAGAGGGCTTCTCGGCGGGCGCAGACTCAGCACGACGGGCGTTGCCAGTAGGAGCAGGGGCACCAGAGGGAGGGGCGCCAGAAGGAGGAGCTCCAGAGGGAGGAGGTCCAGAAGGCTGGGCTCCAGAAGGTCTGGGGGGAGGAGTGCCAGAAGGAGGAGGGCCGGAAGGCTTCACACCAGAGGGCTCGGCGCGGCGAGCGTTGCCAGTGGCAGCAGGAGGAGCGCCAGAGGGAGGAGCACCGGAAGGAGGAGCGCCGGACGGGGGAGGTCCGGAAGGCTGAGCATCGCCGCTGGGGCGAGGAGGGGGAGTGCCGGAGGGAGGGGGACCGGACGGCTTAGCGCCGGAAGGCTGGGCACGGCGAGCGTTGCCGGTGGGAGCGGGGGCACCGGAAGGAGGAGCTCCAGAGGGGGGAGCGCCCGAGGGGGGAGGACCGCTGGGGCGAACACCAGAAGGCGGGGGGCCGCTAGGGGCACCAGAGGGAGGAGGGCCAGAAGGCTTGACTCCAGAGGGCTCAGCGCGACGAGCGTTGCCGGTAGGGGCAGGAGCATCAGAGGGGGGAGCTCCAGAAGGAGGAACACCGGTGGGAGCACCAGACGGGGGAGGGCCGCTGTGGTGGCCGCCGCCGTGAGGGCCACCGGAAGGCTTAGCAACACCAGATGGCTGGGCCTGGGCGTCAAAGTTGCCCTGGCCACCGCCGGGGAAGCCGGTAGGGCGGGCTACACCGCTGGGGAAGTCGGTCGGGGCACCGCTAGGGCGAGGAGGAGGAGTGCCGGAAGGAGGCGCGCCGGAGGGGGGAGCACCGCTCTGCTGGCGACGGTTGAACATGCCGCGGCGGCGAGCGGCCGGGGTACCGGAAGGTGGGGCACCGCTAGGGGGCGGGCCGGAGGGCTTGAAAGTTCCGGTGGGGCGAGGGGGAGGGGTGCCGCTCGGGGGAGCGCCGGTGCCGTGGGGCGGGGGCGGGAGGCCGGTGCCGGAGGGGGCCGGGGGCGCAGAGCCACCAGAAACCTGGGGCGCCGGCGCCGCTTGGCTGATGGCCGCGATGGCGGTGACAAGAGCGAAAATCAAGTTGGAACGCATCCTGGCGACCGAATGAAGGTGTTTTTGAAAAGTTGGAAAAAAGGCGGTCGAAAAGCTGCGCGAGCGAGGTCGTTCAAGGAAAGAAAGGAGGTGTTGTTGAAGTGAGTCGTTTGGTGAAGAGAAGGAAAAGAGATGATGATGAGATGAGTGTGGTGAGGATGAGAGGGAAAAAGAAGCTGGATATGCCGGACATCTCGAGCGTTTATATCTTCTTTCTTCGCCTTATGATGTTCTCTCCCTCTTTGGTTGTTGCAAAGTAAGGTATGACGCCTTTCCACATTGCACAAAGCCTACTCCGTGAATAGATTGGCACGCCTCGCCTTGGAGAGACCTCCTCCCAGGAGCACAGCTGGAGACAACGCGGCGCGGCTCCGCAATCAACCCCGTGGCTCCACGATGTTCTGGGCCCGTCAGGCAATATTCCGCCGCGCTATGATCGAAGGGCACGGAGAAAAGCCCCATTGCTGCGGGACTAGACAATGCTTGAACCACTGCTTGCAATCTAGAGAGAACAGCTACAGCCAGCGGCTGGGCCGTGGCATGTACGCTTGCGCGGCTCCTGTGCCGCTGATGGCTGTCACTCCCAGTCGGGCGGTGTCAAGTTGAGTGAGGGTGGTTCTATTGGGCGCGGGTGATCCAGGGATCGGCCCCCGACAAGGAGCGCGTTCGTCGGGGCCCTAGCATCTGAAGTCTGTGAAAATCGATTGGCGTTCCGAGACCGTTTGTTTCGAAACGTCTGGTTTCGAGCATCGCGGTTTGTCGACTGGTGGTGGTGGTGGGTGGTGGTGGACTGTGACAGTGTTAGTTGGCCCCCTGTCCCTTGCTGGTCTGGACACGCAAGCCCGCCCACTTCCCGAATTAGGATCCCGGGTAGCGCCCCGAAAGGCTGGTCTCCCGCTGGGGCCAGGGGCGGATGAGCCAACCATTTCGAGGAATGTGGCGAGGGCTTTGTCTCTACAATGTCGAATTACTTCTTTTTTTCCATATTGCCTGCATAGCGAAATTGATAGAAAACATCGGACGACGATGGCCGAGTTTTCCCAAAACGGCGTTTTCGGAGTTGTCAAGTTTTGTTAGAGTTCCGGTGCATGATTGTCGTTGCGTTGACTAACAAACGCGCAGTATGGCGAGCGACGGAAGATCCCATGTAGCCTCCTTGATAATGGAGCCAGCAGATGACGTGGACTTTTTTTTCGCCCTTTCTCTGGCGCGCGTCTTTCAGCCCAGTTCTGCAAGTTCTGGCGCAGACTCCTGTGCCTGGCGTCTGTCTATTCTTGGAAGAGGGATGGGAACATGTTCGTCACAACAGTTCAGTCGACTTTGTCCCAATTGGGACGGTTGACGTCCTCGAGTGGAAATGGAGAAGGCTCTGGTGGAGTGCAAGTGATGAAACCGTTAGCTCGGACAAGGCAACGTACACCACAATCAACTTGATTCAAGCTCTCCTGCTGCGTCGATCAACCGAAATGGGGGATAAGAAAAACACGGACATGGTTAGAGGTGAGAGTCCACATGCTGGGCCCAATGGCGGGTTTGCACAGTTTAGCCTCCTGCACAGAAGCATAATCGACGGCACTCATCACACCATCACGGAGAATATTCTGCCATCGATGGATCGACATATCAAAGTTTATCCATCCAATAGTTCCCAGATTTGTGGGTTTCCATTTGATGATGATGGTCAGTACGGTTGCGTGTAGTAGGTGCCAGAACATTCACGATGTATCAGGCTGGAGCTCCGAGAACGGCGTTTTACTTGAATATTACGACATTGTGTATTTTGCTTCTTTTTCCAGAATGCCACCAAGCAGATGATTCTCCGCTTATGAGGCAATATTCAGCGTCTCTCTTGGGATCCCTATTCCGTTCGATCGTCCCTTTCTCATCTCTCCTGCGTATCACCACGTTCCGGGCCATGATATTCCACCACTCTCCCGCGCCATAAACCTGCCAAAAGCTGAAGAAATAAGCTATGTACTATGATACCATGGAATCTTGAAACAAACTAGGCAAGATGAGATGCTAGTGGTGAAGCTATTTTGATCATCCCAGGTTGATGGATGCATCTCCAGGTTGACGTGGACAGGTCGATCTATACCAAACAAACAAGAACAGGTCTGACCGCTTGCCACCCATCGGTACCCCTGACATCAGACCCTTGGGGTGGTACTGCAGCTAGTTGAGCTTGTTATGAGATGAGCAGCAGTTTTGCTTGTTTGTTCACCGTCAATATTGCCAAATGCTCGCTGAAATGATTTCGTTTGCAACTCCTGCTCAATCTCGTCTGGTCCGACGTGAAACCAATATGTTGACAGTAGGAACGTGAAAGACATCTCTAGAAGATACCTTGAGTACCTTCAAGCTGGGAAAGCTCCGCCAGTCCACATCCCACATGGTATTCAAGATGGGCCAGCTCCATTGCGTGTAAGCTCGGCTCCTCGAAGCCGGAGGGAACCCAGCGAACCACAAATCTGGGCCCATCATCATCCCGCTCGAAACAGCGGGGTTTCCCCCTGACGCAGCGCATAAGCGCCCTATAGTATTCCAGCCACAGCAGCGTAACCTTCCCTTAACTCCCCTACCTCTCAGCTGTCAGCGGGTGCTTTTCAGCGGCAGCCCGGCAGGGGAAGCCCAGTAAACGGCCCCCAGGCTTCGATTGGCCACAGCGGCCTCCCCTATCCAACAACACCCCGCCTCAGTTGTCGGACCGGCCCCACACCCCGGAACGGGGCAGCAGCCGCTCCAGTGAATTATTTTTTGATTTTTTTTGCTGCTGAGGCTTTCGGCGCGGCGCAGTCCGCAGCCGCAGCCACCTTTTCCTCCCATCCGCCACATCACGCACGCAAGCTCCCTATCCTCACCCACATAGCCTTTCCTAACCCCCCCTAGCCTTAATACTATCCTACCAACCCGCCGCCCTTCGGACGCTTCCGCCGGGCGTGGCGATGCCTTCTCCGGGCCTCGGAGTCCTCAGCCCGCAGCAGCTCGGATTTGGCGGCTTAGCACTCTACCGCTTCCTTGGACCCGTGGCCGTCACGTCACTGGTGCTGTTTGTCGCCGCACTCATCGTCATCGCCTATCGCCTCGTCTTGCACCCCCTGGCATGCGTGCCCGGACCGAAGATCGCGGCGCTTTCCAACATCTGGTATGCGTACCACGCCCGCAATGGGCGCATGCTGGAGCTGGGCAAGACGCTTCACAGGCGGTATGGCCCTATGGTGAGGGTTGGGCCGAATGAGGTCTGGTTTGACTCAGTTGACGCGTTCAAGCACATCTACAGTGAGTTCCAACTAGCCAGCTTTTGAGCCATAAACGCCCGTTAATTCGTGTGCCGATAAGGAGCTGGAAGTGGCTATGAGAAATCAGAGTTTTATCGTACGTAGTCTCTTCCACTTTTTTCTCCCTCCCTGATTATTATGACTCGACTTACAGCCAGGTGACAGTCTCAACCGCTCTTCAGCGGCCGGACATCACGTTTACCCCTTTCCCAACGTTCACGTCCCCAGAGACGTTGGACCTCCTCTCGGAGCGCAACACTGCTCGATACCGGCTGCAACGTCGACTCATCGGGCCCCTCTACCAGACCAACCACCTCAAGCGCTACGAGCCCGCCCTCGATGCGGTGCTGGCGCGCGTCATCTCCACCCTGCGCGCCCTCGACGGCAAAGAGATCGACTTGAAAGAGTGGATGCACATCATCGCCGTCGAGTGCCTCTCCGCCCTCGTCATCTCGTGGTCGCCCAACTACCTCAGGGACGGCACCGACCACAAGTCCAGCAGCCACGGGTACCAGGGCTGGCGCCGCAAGTCCGTCTTCGGCCTGTTCCCCCTGGCCGTCAAGGCCGAGCTCTTTTCGAAGGCCTTCGGCAGGGCGTTTGCCAACCTGTGGCGCGTGACGTACAGGACGCCCAAGAACTTCAAGCCCTTCTTCACGGGCGTGTACCGCCAGGTGTCCCGCCGCATCACGAACTCCCTCTCCGGCAAGCCTGTGCCCAAGAACGACCGCAAGGATGACTTCCTCACAGACCTGATCCAGCTGCACAAGGACAAGCCGGATTTCTCGGAGCAGTACCTCCGCCGCATGGCCATCACCAACTTCGGCGCCGGCCACGAGACCATGTGCTCCGCCCTGACGTCCATCATGTCCATGATCGGCTCCCACCCGGACGTGCAGCGGCGGGTATCCAACGAAGTCCGCGCCTCGCCCTCAGATCCGAAGAGCTACGACAACGCGGTGCGTCTCGCGTACACCCAGGCCGCCATCAAAGAGGCCCAGCGCCTCTACCCCGTCCTCGGCATGTCGCTGCCCCGAACCGTGCCCCCCGAGGGCTTCACCGCCCACGACCAGTTCTTCCCGGGCGGGACGACAGTCGGATGCAATCCCGTCTCGCTGCACCGCAACACGTCGATCTTTGGGCCTGACGCGGAGGGTTGCAATCCGGATCGCTGGCTGGACGAGGAGAGGGACGTCAGGGGTATGGAGCGGTTTAATCTCACATGGGGCGGGGGCGGAAGGATGTGTCCCGGGCGGCATCTGGCTGAGCTGGTTGTGTACAAGACGATACCGGCTTTGATGGAGCATTTTGACGTCGAGGTGACGATGCCGCCGGAGGAGGAGATAGAGTACTACTTCATGGCTATGCTCACAGGCGTGAGGGCTCGTTTCTTGCCGAAGAAGACGGGGTAATGGCGCCATCTCAGCGCAAGTGCGTTTGGGGTAGACGGACACGGAACTTGGCTGCGCGGATTTGAACGCGGCCGGAAGATGATCAATGAGAATCACGACATAAAAGGCCATCATGAGGGAATCAGGGATAGACAAAAATTAGATTGGCTCTCGCGGGGCCGTACATGAATGATTAAATGAAGGACTTTTGCGTGATGCGTGGATTGTATCGAACTGCCCAGAGTTTTTGAAACTCCCCTCTTTTCCTCGTCCAAGTACACTGTCTAATCCTTCGTTTTGTCCGCCGCCGACAACAGAAACCTCATGTAACCGGCAGCAGCCTCAGCAAGACTACTCCTATACTGCTCGCTGGTCGGGTAGAAAGGACAACCACCCTTCCGGGCGATGGCCCCGGCTTCGGCCCTCGTCCGACCGAACTTGATCCTGAAGGAGAATATTTTGGTAGCCGTTGTGTTGACGATGTGGCGGCTGTACGCCCAGTCCGTGGCCGTTCCGGACGCGCTCAGCTCCAGCCTCAGCATCTTGGCCAGACTCAGAAGCGGATTCTTCACGCTAATCATATGGAACTGTCTTCCGGACACGGCCATCATCTGTCCCTCAATATCGTGCTTTCGCTCGAACACGTGTCTGTGGTCTTCTGGGACCATGTACTCGCCGTAACTGCCTTCATCGCCACGGAGCAAGCCGCGCTTGCCGTCGTAGAGTTTGTTCCGCCAGTTCATGGATGGATTACCGCTCTTCGTGGTGTCAATATCCCATCGGCCCTCGACGCCGGGGGGAGACTGCGGGCCGGCGTTGACAAAGTAGCCGATTTCGGGGTTGTTTTCGATGACCCATCTGACGTTGCGCGACTCTGCTTCGGAGAAGGGTTCTGTTCCGTGGTAGAGCTCGTGGCTTGGCATGTCAGATGCGACTTCCATGGCATCCTTGGAGAAGTAGCGCTTGTAGTCCCAGACGATGTCAAAGTTTCGGTCAACATTGACGCCTAGGCCGTTGCGGTTGTTGCCCCAGCAGTTGTTGTGTCTCTGGTCCCAGACGATACCGTCCGGGTTCACCATTGGGATGGCGGTGAGGCCCTCTCTGACGACGATTTGGACCTGTTCGTGGGAGAATCTTACGCGGCCGTAGGTCAACCCCTTCTTGCTCTTGTGGGCGTGAAGCAGGTCCGAAAGGAAGTATACGAGACTGTCTGGGCCGCCGCGCTCGCGGCCCTGGAAACCGGAGGTGAGAAGAACACCGCGCGGGCGATTGGGATCCAATTGAGAAGTCTTGTTCTCCTTCTTTTGCGTGTCATTCAAATCATTCTTTCGACCATGCGTCGGGGGGATACTGATGACCACCGTGGTAAAGCCCATGACGCTTTTGTACGGGGCGGCCGTCAACGTGACGTTGAAGTGATCTTTCAAGCCGTAAATCGCCGACTCAATTTCTCTGGTGCTGAGGATGGTGTCAAATTGGGAATGCGCAGCGCCCAACATAGCGGGGCCCGCAGGAGAATCGGAGCAGTTGGCGAAGCGATCGATTAGGCTGACCGGGGCGAAGTCTGGTAGAAGTTTAGATGTGGAATTTGAGGCTGCGGCACAGGCTGCCCCGGCCATGCAGAGCATGGAGACGAGTTGGTTGGGCGGCCTCATGATGGGTGACTTTTTGCGGCTGTTTGGTAAGCTACGTATTTTGCAAATCGTTTTCGACGGTTAGTTTAGGGTATCACAAGACTTTTATAGCCCTTCAAGCTTTACACAATGAGAAAACTTGTATAGCTGCAAAGCATATTTTCCCTCCTTCTTTCTTTCAGTTTACCTTGATGTAATTTGGCTGCACATCGCACCGTTATGGCTCAACGTCAAGCCGTACACAAAATCTTCAATGTCTCTGCTGACTTTGAGCCTATGTGGCTCAAATAATTCCAACTCTCATAGCTTAATTCATCATGTGCCCTAGATGTCATACGTGATAGTCGAGAGTTTCAAGAAATTGAGTTGTTCGTAAATCCAACATCAAGAGGGGTATTCTTAATGTCTTATGGTTCCGTGAGGCGTTTAAACGAGTCCAAGTGAATTTCCCAATTTCCCATGCTCAACCTATAAGCCTGTTACCAGAAGTTTCCAGTACTTTTGTGGCTTTCACTGCTGCAAGGCGCAGACGTTATTTTCATCTTTTATCGGGGCTTCTAGCGGCGGCAACTAAACCATGTCTTGAACTTAAAGCAAGCCCACGGGAAATATTGGAACAGAATATCACCGTATGTACGCCATATCAAACATTGGTTTTCCAATTATCTGATGAAGAGGACGAAGATGGCCCAACCTGAAAAAGTATGAATACAAGGCTTTAGCGTTCAACTTAACGTGCTACATAGAGTGTAAAGAACTGCGAGGTGGAATTACAGCCTCAAGCCACTGAATGGTTGATCAACAACTACATGCCCCTAAACTCATCGGTGATAGCTTCACGGTGTAGATTACAGTGTTGTGGAAGGATGATTACTGTATACGTACCTTCGAGTCTGGAGAAATGGTGTCTCCGAAGACCCACTTTGGCCTATTGTGTACCTACACTGTATGGACCCCAGCTAAACCCCACAGAGACTCACCATTCAGACGCATGGAATTCGGTTCGGTGGCACTGGCTTTGGACGGCCTAGCGTAACAATCGTGAATCCACATCCCACCTCGAAGCCAAATTCCCATTTGCAACGTCGCCAGCCCAGCCGAGAGCATCACGAACCAACATCCCCAGCCTCACCACACCTCCCAAAGTCGGCGCCGAAGCCGCACCCGCCCACCATGGTTCTCCAAGATCTCGGCCGCCGCATCAACTCGGCCGTCACAAATCTCACAAGAGAGGCCAACCTCGACGAAAAGGTGCGCGCCCTCCTCCCCCTGCCCCGCTGCCGCCGACGGTCGCTGTCGCATTGCCACCAGCGACCCAGCTAGCTAACCACGTCTCGACACCACAGGCTTTCGATGCAATGCTCAAGGAGATCTGCGCCGCCCTTCTCGAGGCCGATGTCAACGTGCGCCTCGTCGGCCAGCTGCGAAAGTCGATAAAGTCCACCGTAAACTTCAAAGACCTGCCCCCCGCCGTCAACAAGAAGCGCCTCATTCAAAAGTCCGTCTTTGACGAGCTCGTCAAGCTCGTCGACCCCCACGCCGAGCCCTTCAAGCCCAAGAAGGGCAAGTCCAACATCATCATGTTCGTCGGTCTGCAGGGTGCCGGTAAGACGACGACATGTACGAAGCTCGCCCGCCACTACCAGGCCCGCGGCTTCAAGGCCTGCCTGGTGTGCGCCGATACCTTCCGTGCCGGTGCCTTTGACCAACTGAAGCAGAACGCGACCAAGGCCAAGATCCCATACTACGGCTCCCTGACCGAGACGGACCCCGCGGTGGTCGCCCGAGACGGTGTCGAGAAGTTCAAGAAGGAGAAGTTCGAGGTCATCATCGTCGACACGTCAGGTCGCCACAGGCAAGAGGAGGCTCTGTTCCAGGAGATGGTGGACATCCAGACGGCGATCCGGCCCGACGAGACGATCATGGTGCTCGACGCATCCATCGGCCAGCAGGCCGAGTCCCAGGCGAAGGCGTTCAAGGAGGCGGCAGACTTTGGAGCCATCATCATCACAAAGACGGACGGCCATGCCCACGGCGGTGGCGCCATCTCCGCCGTCGCCGCGACACACACGCCCATCGTCTTCATCGGCACGGGCGAGCACATGCTGGACCTCGAGCGCTTCGCGCCGCAGCAGTTCGTGCAGAAGCTGCTCGGTATGGGCGATATGGCGGGCCTCGTGGAGCACGTGCAGAGCCTGAAGCTGGACCAGAAGGACACGATAAAGCACATCACGGAGGGCATCTTCACGGTGCGCGACCTGCGGGACCAGCTGTCCAACATCATGAAGATGGGCCCGCTGTCCAAGATGGCGGGCATGATCCCGGGCATGAGCGGGATGATGCAGGGCATGGACGACGAGGAGGGCAGCGCGAAGCTGAAGCGCATGATCTACATCTGCGACTCGATGACGGACAAGGAGCTCGACTCGGACGGCAAGCTCTTCATCGAGCAGCCGACGCGGATGACGCGCGTGGCCCACGGGTCGGGGACGTCGGTGCGCGAGGTCGAGGACCTGCTCACGCAGCAGCGGATGATGGCCGGCATGGCCAAGAAGATGGGCGGCAACATGAAGAACATGCAGCGCGCGCAGTCGGCGATGGGCGGCGGCAACAAGGCGCAGCAGCTGGCGGCGATGCAGAAGCGGTTGCAGAGCATGGGCGGCGCCGGAGCCGGAGGCGGTATGGGCGGCATGCCGGATATGGGCAGCCTGATGAAGATGCTCGGCGGTGGAGGTGGCGGCGGCGGCGGCATGCCGAACATGCAGCAGATGCAGCAGATGATGCAGCAGATGGGCATGGGCGGCGGTATGCCTGGTATGGGAGGCATGCCCGGCATGGGCGGTGGCCGTGGAGGAAGACGCTAGATTAATACTGAACCCAACACGATGTTCGCGTAAAGTGTCGTTTCTCGTCGAGAGCGACTTGATAAGAGATATGGATGAAGACATGATATTAGAGTCGCCGAGGGCGACGGGGTCATATTCGGAGCTCTCTCGTATTACATAGGACTGGCGTTTGGCGGAGGGGAATACTATCAGACCCATTGCTGTCGACACTGCATCATTTATACTAAGTTTGTCTTGCAAAAACTTCACGACTAGTCGGGTGTCCGTAGCTGGTGACTGGTTTCAGGCTTCCAGGGAGCACCCGTATGCTAACAAACTCCTCAACGACTATTGACCGCAGTCATGGATCCAACGGCAGTCGGTCGTGGCTTTTCTGGGGTTTCCCTGAAGTTTTTGTGCCCTGTGAAAACAACCCCTATGCAAATGCTCTGCCTAGAGCTGAGAAAATAACCCGGCGGTCACGACCAGGAAGTTGAGGGGGACGGAAGAGACACGACGCGTTTGCCCGGATTTCTACGAGCTCCAGTCTCGCGCACGTCATGGAAAAAATTCTCGCTAGCTCGCCATAATCTTGGGCCCTTGGCCTCATCACCCAGCCTGTCATCATCTTCATCATGAGCCCAGTGAAGAACAGAGAGCCCGTTTGCAATCGCATCGTCGCAAGGCAGCGCCCGATCGACGAGGAGTAAGCAAACATGACGTTGAAAAGAGATAACGTGTTACACGTGAACCAGTCCTGAAGCCTTTCGGGAAGTGAGGTGCAATTGGCGTGCGGAGACGGTACGGAGCCGGCCGGACATCCGGCTCGGCGCTGGGCGGGGGATGACGTTGGGTGCAGGACCGGGGACGATGGTGATCATGGGGCGGTGATTGGGCCTGGGGCGGGTTGCGTTGAGATTTGAGACAATGTTCAGGGGGATTCGGGTGGTAGCGACTGCGCATTTGCAACGTACTCGGGCTCTCTCATTGATAATCCCTTCCTTCCAGATTAGAGATGTTGACGAGAAGAACCCGAAAATGTCGTTACGGTAACAAGCAAACCTGCAATCTCTACATCATCGTCTAGTCTCCATCGCCGCGCTTGTAGAGGGCCGAGCGGGCCTGCGCGGATCGGAGAAATTCAAACTCTGTTTTATCAGATGGAAAGACTTATTCCCACTAGGCACCGTGGCCCTCTTCTTGCCGAGGTGCTGTCTGATTTACGTTCTCACGCGTTATGCCTTGAGCGTGTCTAAATCAATAGGCTCGCCGGTGGCATGAAATTGTTACATTTCAGCCCGCATCAAGGCTAGTTCTCCTTCGTTGGCACGAACCGCCGTTAATGCTAGACCTTCCCTACGTTAGCACCTTAGGTAGCTGTACGCGAGGTTATTTTCATTAGCGAGAAGCCGTGCACATGGCGCCGGCTGTAGAGGTCGACCATCGCGGCCGTTGTTGTCATCTAGCCCTTCGGAGTGTCGTGTTTAGGATTCAAATTCTGTGCAAAATCCACAATGCAGGCCTCGTATCGACCTAAATGCAGCGCCAACCAAAGTGACACCAACATCGACATCACCAGTGGAGCAACAAGGCCCACCGACCAAACGCTGCTGCACCTTTCGAGAGCCGCGAGATGTCACAAGACGTGGGCGCGTTGGCTGATCGGCACCACACTGCGAAAAAAGGTGAATCGCAGGCAAAGCCTGGAACGGTTCGGAGCAAAACCTCCCGCCGCCCTGTGCGTGCCGTCGACCATCGGTGCCATCGTCCAATTTCAACAAAATGTTTCGACCGGGGCTTGAGATTCGAGGTATTCGTAGCGCCTCATGGTTTCTCTCGTATGGGCGTGGCTTGCCCTTGTGGCATAATCGAGTCTAGACTTTTCTCGACTGCTGGCCGTCCGGGGTTTTGATTGGCGAAGTCGGATCTGGAGTGCCGTGACAGGGGGGGTTGACGACGGGAACGGGCCCAGGTTGTTGCCAAGGATGCCCACGCGTCTGGGGCGGGATGACGTCGATTGGCATTTTTCAGACGGTTGAGAGGCGCAAGAGTTTGGTTCTCGTCCTGCACCACCACACCATCATGACCGCACCGGTTCACGTACTAGGTGGGCAACTGCAGTCTGCCACAGTTCAGCGCCGACAAGCTACAACGGCGGCAGACCACTAGCCACAATCCGGGGTACTAGTGCGTAACAGAAATCCCAAAAGAAGCAGGGAAAGTGAACCATGTTTCGCTGCGCTACCCGGCTAGGCAAGTCGTCTGTCTCGCCCTTTGGGCCCTTTGGGGAGAAGTGCCTGAAATGAGGTGCGGCTGGAAGTGGTGAATGGGCGAAATGAGTGAAATGACATACGGAAAACCCACTATTGCTGCACGGCAGACGCCTCTGGTGGCCTCTTGTGGCCTCTGCTTGCGTGTGCACTGATTGCCGCTTGCTCTTTCCTTCCCTCGGTCCTCCCTCCAACAAACGGCAGGTGGGCGGCCAGTCCTTCGTACCTGCCCTGGGCTTCATCTCAAATCGACGATGCAGTTGCCCCCAATCGGGACTTCCCTTACGGCTCACCCTTACCAGGACAACCCGACCTAACCATGACGTCAAACAGCCTACGGAGAGATTGCTTGCCTGCCCCTTTGCAAGCTCCCGCCTGCCAGACGACCAGTGCACCACACTTTATTCCTTAAGCTTAAAACTCATGTCTGCCCTCCCTTCGTTTTCGACGTTGTCTCTTCAGCCACCCATCATACATCTCGCCAAGAATTCGTGCAGCAGCTCTTCGAGGGACAAGCACAGCCATCCCGCCTTGGCATTCTCTTGTCAGTCTTAGTCCGACAACACCCATAGGCAGATCATCGCTATCACCAACCAACACCAATACACCACGATGGGTTTCTTTAGCAGACGTCCTCGCGACGCGCCCGCCGACGGCCACCACACCACCGGCCACCATGGTCACGGTGTGCGCTCCGACAAGGGAGAGCCGTTGACCATGTCCCGTCGCCCCAGCTTCGGACAATGGCTCAAGGGAACGCTGCTCGACATTATCACCATGATCTGCATGGGTGCTATCGGCCTCGGTGTAAGTCCTCTATTATCGACACCTTCGTCAGCGACGCGACTTCTAACAATCACCAGATCTACATGGCCCCTCCCGCCCCGAACCGCTCCTTCGCCGTCACCTTCTCCGATGGTGAGGTCGTCTACCCTCAATTCGCCTACCCTATGCGCAACGAAGTTGTCCCCATCTGGCTTGCTGCCTTCCTCGCCTCCGTCATCCCCATCGTCATCATCCTTCTCATGCAGATCCGCATCCGCTCCTTCTGGGATGTCAACAACGCCGTCATCGGTCTGCTCTACTCCCTTATCTGCGCCGCCGTCTTCCAGGTCTTCATCAAGTTCCTCATCGGCGGCCTGCGCCCTCATTTCCTCGAGGCCTGCCAGCCCGATCTGTCCCGCGTCAGCTCTACCCAGGGCGGTATTGCGCGTGCCGGCTACAGCCCCGCTGGCTACGCTAATCTGTACGTCACGAAGGAGGTCTGCACTGGCGACATGAAGGAGATCAACGACTCGCTCGAGAGTTTCCCCTCCGGCCACACCACCGCTGGCTTCGCTGGCTTCGTCTACCTTTACCTCTACCTCAACGCCAAGCTCAAGGTCTTTTCCGACTACCACCCCGCCATGTGGAAGCTCGTCGTTACCTATATCCCCATCCTTGGCGCCGTCCTGATCGGAGGTGCGCTCACTATTGACGAGTTCCACAACTGGTACGACATCTTTGCCGGTGCCGCCATCGGTATCGTCTTCGCCTTTTCCTCCTACCGCATGACTTACGCTGCCGTTTGGGACTTCCGCTTTAACCACATCCCCCTCAACCGCGGCCAGGCCTTCCACTATGGTCTTGACGCTGAGCTGTACGATGCTGTTTTCACCCGCAAGGCTGGCTGGGGCAAGCGCGGCGGTGGCGGTATTCTGCACCGCGATAAGGACGCTCACCACCACGGTGTTGCTACTGGCACCCACGGTTACGACAACGGTGTTGGAGCTCGTAAGCCTGTCGGTTCGGGGTCTAGAGCACCTGACACCATGGTCTAAGCGACCGACCCATGATCATTCCGCACTACGTGTGCTATAATATCCAATGGAAAGGCACGTCGACTGACTGAGTCGGACGTTGTGCCACAGCTCCAACCTCGGTGTTTAGGGAGTTCAAGTTATGAGTAAACGGCCTGTTGCGTATCAAAATACCCCACAGCACACAAGCTTGTATGATAGTCTTAGTGTCTCTGTAATGAAACTGCAAAACAGTGTAAAAATACCTCAATTTTGGTGATTATGCTGATGCACATCTCCAGGGGATGTACCATAAAACCTAGCATAGTAGCTGATAAAAATGACGAAAAGTCTAGAGGCGTGGAACGTTACGAAATCCGAGTTCGCAAGCCGTGATAATATACCTGGTCACGTCTTTCAGAGCGGACCAGTCTTCTTATCGACATCGTATGTCTGCAAGGAAAGATGCTATTGCTGTATGTCTCTGCAAGGCACAGCCCTACGCAAGAAACCGACGGTGATGAGACTGGATGAAATTTGACTTAGTCGAACTGTCTTCTTTTCGACTGGGCCAAGACGTGTTGTGTGAGAATCATTAGAAGTAGTCAAGGAGACGGGAACAGAGAGACCTGGAGATGTAGACGTCCTAATAATAGAAATGCTATAATTTAGAGTCGCAACAGGACTGAGGATGCCAGTAGGAAGATCTCCAATGAGGATTTCCAGATGTCACTGGCGGGGCGAGGGATTAGAGGACGAGATGTGCAAACATCATGCAAGCAAGGCATTCGCACATGATTCTCAAGCGAATGCATGGTCCTAGACCGGAATATTCGCACTTTTCTCCCAAGTACAAGTCACCGCCTCATAGCTGCTTGTGGCTGCGGGGAGCTGGTCAACTAAGGTGTATTTCACCGAGAATGAACGACGAACCAGAGCACCTAATCCTTCATTTAATATGGGAGAATGAGGCTTGTGCTTCCTAGCGCGAGCTGCGACACCTTCAATTAGGCAATGATCTTCATCAGTCAACCACTGTCTCAGTACGACTGCTGTAGGCAACCGCAATATTATTGCCAAGAGCTTAGGCATCCATTCGAGGCAGACTTCCATGGCGGATAATGCGAACACAGCAGCATACACCAGCCTCAAAGACCGGCAGCTTCCCCGCAGCACGGCATTCAATTTACCTCATCTTTCCTCCAGAGCTTTCTTCAATCCCTCACAGGTGAAATTGTAATCATCCTCGAGTCCATTTCGAATCCGTGTACATGAATGGCCGAGCTTATTATCAACGACACTCAATGAGAAGACCAAGGACATGAATACCGCCAACGATACCAACTCTTTAACTTATCGCCGTCGAGAACTCACGTGGAGCCGGAGACTGGCCGGCTCAAAAGTCTAGACGCTGAGACTTACAGCGTACTCTTCTGCAGAGATGGAGCATACTGAAACAGAGCCTATGCACACTTTGAACACTCAAGATGTGGACTACAAGACTCTTCAAGAGTATCTCAGACAGTCGTCCCCCAAATCAGATTTCAGGAGTGAATACGGCGAACAGTTGATGCGCCGGTTCGGCTTTGCGTTCGAAGGATCTCGGAGGGGAAAGCTCGGTGTGACGGTACTGTTGACAGGATGAAAGCTCACAGACAAAGGCTCACATTTCGATGTAGGTCCGAGGGGACAAATGGTGCTTCAGCCTGGGACTACGCCGGCTCACAGAAGAAGACATAGAGCATGTTCTCCAGACTGCATCAGGGTATCTCAAACACCGTGAGAAGACCGAGACGTTCCATGGGCTATTCGGCCAGCCACTCTCAATAGCAGACCCCAAAAGAGATACAGTACCAGCTAATAGCATCAAGCATCATCAATTTATTCGAGGCAAGCGTAAGAGAGATAGGGCCGTGTTCGGGGTTACATACGGAGATCGGCTGGTTACCTTGGATATCGGAACCTCTCCTTTCACAGGATTGACTTTGGATTCTGAGGGTCATAGCCGAGTGGCAAACGGTTTGTTCGGAACCGAAATAGGTTCTGAAGGGCAAACATCCTTGTTCGATGTTAACGACGTGGCGTCTTGTAAGACCGCGAGGAAAGATTTGCCATTCGCGATTAAGGTAAGACAGAAGCCAGCCTTTTACTCGCCGCCATATTTGTGCCTATCGGTATTTGCTAACTCTGCCGCTGAGTTCACCGTCAAACGTCTTCCAAAATATGCCTCCTGGGATAGTTTCTACGACGATTATTCCTCTCTTCGACTGAGGCAATCTCTACAACATCCTCACATTGCTGACATTTTGTCGGCCTTCGTTGAGTCGGAGTTCTCAGGACCTCGTTTGATGATTGCATTTCCGCAGGCCTTGGGGACCCTTGAGCAGCTCCTAGTCGGGACCTTTGACGAAATGGAGCTTGTTTCACTTGGTCGATCATCTTTGTGGAGCCAGTTTGTCGGCCTCTCGAGCGCTCTCGCATACTACCATGAAATCTCTCAAACACTCGTCAACACTCGCGCCTTCGATATATTGGTGTATGTTGACGATACCTCTGGCCAAATGGTACTGAAGTTCACAAACTTTGGAATCATAAGAGTGGAGTCGTTCATGGATAAAGATGGTCGTGTCAAGGGGGACTTTCTTCAGAATCTGCTGGCGGAAGAAGGAGAAACAGCGGTAAAGGCACGGCTTGTGCTATTCCTACAACGACTGTTTTTGAGAGACATCCAGCATCTTTGCAAGATCCTTGTCCAACTGTCAATCTTCATCGTCGACGGTCGGGAAAGAATTCTTCAACTTGGAGACTTCTTTTCCAAGGATTCTGATAACCCGAACGAATTTGTCGACATTGAAGACGAAAATTGTCTGTTATGGGACCCCACCTACCTCACCGAACACCGGAAACAGACGCTGGCGGATATAATACAAGTCTTGAGTCTCAAGAACCAATATGTAGCTCGGATTCGACATGTGTTATTAGACATGCTGGAAGGGAAAGGTGCCAGACTGGACGCTCGGTCCGTCTGCCAGAGTATGGTGAAGGTATGTGCTATAGGCAGTATCGGGATACTGTATATGTTCTTCATGAAATTGGTGAGGATAAGAAGTACGTCATTCATACTAAAAACAAATCGTGCAACCTTAGGGATTAGGAGTTCCGGGTTGCTCTTATCATGACGGAACACGTATGGTCAAATTTCATCCAGGCGGACCAGAACCTCAGATATCGATGTTTGATAGAGTGAGGTGCAAAACCGAGCAATGGATAGGATGTCCGGTTGACTGGTCGCCACTACCACCACTTGTCAGGCCATGCCTTGAGGGAGAGGTCCGAGTTGATTGGAAGGCAAGTTGATACTGGAGCTTGGATTTTGATTCGACGATTAGTTGCTAACGCGTTCTATTGGTTGGAGGTAGTATGGAGGAAAGCATCTGTCGGTGATCCTCTCTCAGGATCAGGCTGAGCGATATAAATCGTATTGTTCGCCCGCCCACATTCAACAACGGCATGACAATGTTGCCAGCTATCACTAGCCACGCACCGGAGGATATCGAAATGGCGTTATCAAGCCATAAACAGTGGCAGCCTCCCAGACCTGGACAGCGACATGCCGTAGCTCCAGGGACAAGTGCAGTAGGTTCGGCAGCAGGTGGCACAAGCACGACTGCACCTGCCCCAGAGGAAGCGGAAGTGTCAAAGGAGATTTATTGGTGCATAGACAAGTTCTTCAGTGAACCGAAGGAGACCATGCGAAGGCCAATTTGCCTGGACCAGGCCTCTACCGATGAGCAATTCTATCGGCAAACAGTTCGAGCTCTCGATCGGACGAGAGAGAACTTACTGACTGGATGGCTCGGGGGATTTGAGTGGGTTCTGAACCGTCCGTCGTGGAAAAGTTGCGTTGGAGTCGATTTCAGAGCGGTTTGTACAAAGTTTCATTCGATGTCATTTTGAAAACCCGTGCTGAAGTCATAAGCGCATGCAAGTTGTGGCCGCGACAAGCCGAGAACATACTTGACTGATGAATACTGGTAGTTCTACATTATTAAGACTGGCCAAGACCAAGTTCTCCTTGGGGAACTATGCCTTCCAAATGATGGGAAAAAGGCAAACGAAACAGAAGAGTATGAACATAGCATCCACCCGCCGGACGATATCCAGAAGAAGCTGGTTGCTGCTCAGATTGTCTCTGGTCTGAGGCACCCTGATTCAGTCAGAGGGCAAGCAGAAATGATATCTATGCTTCCGAAAAAGAAGATTCCCCCAGACTTCAACAAAACAATGAGGACAATGGGTTGGGGCATACATGCAGAAATGGGATTTTCTGCCAAGAAGATACTCTGGTGGCTTTTGTTTTCTTTCATGTTCTTGATACTTTCTGCCGCTCCTTGGCTCATCTGGGTTGACCGTTTCGACCTCCAGAATGCCTTTGTACCGGGAGGAACTATCCTCACCGTCTTGATGACTTGTGTTGCGATTGCACAAGCAGTAGGTTGAGCGAGGTTTGCAATATACGGAGCTAAAAATGGGACTTTAGCCCGATGAGTATGATACCAAGTGAGCAGTACAAGAATGCTGAAGCCGAACCAGAAAGAGGCTGTTGTGGCGTTGTGTAGAGACATGGAAAAACTAAGAAAACTATAGATGTAACCAAAAAGAACTATAGATGTGAATCTAGGTTTGTTCTAACACGCCTATTTTATGCCGTTACCAAAGCAGTGAAGCAATTAAGGTGCGTGAATATTTCATTTCGATCCAGCACACTCTTCCCAGGCAACCTCCCCCACGGCTTGCTCTGTGGTGCGCACAATCACACAACCTCTCCGGGCACTGAAGATGACCATGGCAATTGGTGTGTCTCGTTCCGAAGACCATATGTCCGTCATGGGCCAAATAAACCGGAACATACTCCCTGTTTTGTCCAGGAGGGACGTCGAGGCGCTGATAGCCCAGGGCCGCAAGGTGTTCATTCTCGACAACTTCGTCATTAAGGCAGACGCGTGGATTCCTTACCACCCGGGCGGTGACAAGTCAATCCTTCACATGGTTGGCCGAGATGCCACAGATGAGGCCACGGTGTAGGTCTCCCTCTGGGTTCGCTGTCGCGTACCGGATTCGTGCCCTGGTACCTCTTTGAGCCCACACCTATTGGGTAACATGGAGGTAGTAATCTCTGACGAGCCGTAAACCACAGTCTTCACTCGATCGAGGCAGTTCAACGTATGAGCCGCTACCGTATCGGGTCTATTCAAGGCAGATGGGAGAACTTCATCCCGCCTATTCAGGGTGGCACGTTTCGTGCTCGCTCTGACGGCGACCGGGATGCCTGTCAAGATGTCGATACCGCACTCCCTCCCGCCTCTTTGCACCGCTCGAGTGTACCTGAAAGCGACACTTCCGACGACAGCGGCCCCGCGCGCCGAGAGAGTCGCACCGCAGCCAATACACTCAGTCCACCTACTGTATCGTCCGTCTCTTCCGCCCATGCGGACGGCGATGCCATGGCACACCTCGATTGCGTCACGAAGCAGAAGATCTCCCTCGACCTCGAGACGTACCCTTCTTTGGACCGGGCCAACCAGGACGCCATGGTGGCCGCTTACTGCCGCCTCGACGACCGCTTGAGAGCTCAGGGGTCATATGACTGCAACTACATGGCGTATGTCGTTGAAATCTTCCGATGCTCCATGCTTTTCGCCGCCATGCTGCTTTTCTTGCATTGGGGCTTGTTCGTGGCCAGCGCAGTCTGCATGGGGGCCTTCTGGCATCAGATGTCGTTTGCTGCCCACGACGCTGGCCACATAGGCATCACGCACCGCTTTCACATAGACAGTGTCCTCGGTATCTTCATCGCGGATTTTATGGGCGGTTTGTCCCTCGGCTGGTGGAAGAAGAGTCACAACATCCATCATATCGTCGCTAATTCGCCCGAGCACGACCCAGATGTCGAGTACCTACCCTTCCTGGCTATTTCGCATAGGTTCTTGGCCAGCCTGAGCTCCACCTATTATGATCGGATAATGGGTTACGATGCTGTGGCATGCTTTTGCGTCAGGTTCCAGAAGTACTCATACTACCCACTGCTAGCCCTTGGGCGCTTCAATCTTTATCGTCTTTTATGGGAGTACCTCCTGACGGGCCAGGCCCCTCGAAAAGGGCCGTCATAGTGGCGCAGGTATCTAGAAATCGTCGGTCAAGTCTTCTTCTGGAGCTGATACGGTTACGGCATCGTCTATAAGTCGATTCCTAATAACATGAGCCGGCTCATCTTCGTCATGGTCAGCCATGTAACCGTACTCCCCTTACACGTCCAGATTACCCTTTCGCACTTTGACATGAGTACCGTCGACCTCGGCCCCCAGGAATCATTTCCTCAGAAAATGCTCTGAACCACTTTGGATATCGATTGTCCTAAATGGCTTGACTTCTTCCACGGTGGCTTGCAGTTTCAGGTGATCCACCATCTCTTCCCCCGCATCCCTCGACAAAATCTCCGCCGTGCGCAAAAGTTGGTACAAGAGTTCTGTAACGACATGAGTATCCCATATGCTCTGTACGGTTTCGTGGAGGGAACCGGAAAGGTCATTGGAGCTCTCGGAGAGGTATCAAGGCAGGCAGCCATTTTTGCAAAGTGTCAGAAGGAAGCTGCAAGCCGCGGTTACAACTCTTCGGCACAAGACCACTGATGAGGATGTTGTGTGAGTGCAAGCCCCTCGTATCGAGAGGAACTGTTATTGCGAGTTTTACAACTTGCCTTGCGAGTGCGCAAGTTGTGGGTGTAGCGAGTTTATCATGTATTGGATTACGACTGCAATTTGGGGTTCCTTTGATACCGAATGGACAGGAAATTTTCATAGCCAGACGTACACTCGACCAGACTTAACAAGATCTTTCTTAAGCTAAGGCAAGCTCATGAAGAGTTCTAACATCTCAGGAAACTTTGGAGTTCCCAGTCCCGTGACTGGGTCCCACCCAGGCACCGCAGAGAACCCCTTTGTGTTGCATCCCTCGTTATTGCCGCTTGTAATATCATTGAAAATCTGGGGGTTGGCGTAGAGTGTTGGGTTGATGAAGCCGACGGGTGCTTTCCCAGCCTGCAGCCTGTGCTCGTTGATGATGGTGATCAGAGATGCGAACAACGGGGTTGCGGCGCTAGTACCGCTGATGAGTCCATAGTCGAGATCAACAAAAGTAGCTAGGTTCTGACTGATGGCGGATACACTAGGTGATAATTCACATTAGCTATCGTCCTCAAAATAGGGAGTGCGTTGTCACTTACTCTGGCATGCCTCTTCCGATGCGGTTATAGATACCCCCGTTCGCTCCGACGGGCGAAGAATCGTTGTGTGTAGCATTGTGGAGGGAGCTGAAAGACTTCAGGCCCGGGTCATGCTTGGCGAAATAGTCGTCAATTGCTGCGCTCTGGTAGCTTGGGATCGAGTAGATGATGCTGAAGCCGCCGCCACTGGTGTACGTGTCATCGGTCCCATCTTGGTGGGGGAGATAAGCGGCAACCTCAGGGTCGCTGACAGATGCCCCAGGAGACATCATAGTTCCACCGACGGTCGTGACGTACGGACAGTTACCAGGGAAGTTGGGATTGAATAAAGTGTTGTTCTCACCGAGACATCCATTGGGGAACGGATCCCAGGGACGAGAGGCGACACCGGCATCTCCTGAGGCGACCAAAATGGTGTGGCCCTGCAAAGCCAGTTTCATGAACCCATTGCACTGCCTCTGTTGGTAGTAGAAGGGGAGATCGGCTTCTGACTTGCTGTATGAGATGGAGATCACATTCGTTAGAGTTGAGATACCGCACTGCACCTCGCCCTGATAACCATCGGGGCTCGTGGTGTCGGGATACACATCGTCAAAGTTGTCATCATTTCCCTTTTCGCCAAAGGCACAGTAAGAACAATACGAACCATCGACAGCGTTGAGGAGATTGTTGAACAGGCCTCCCGCACCGCTGATGGTGTAAATCTTGTCGTCTGTCTGGTACAGCGTGACACCTTGAGGATGGAATAGGGGATAGGCGACCTGAAGATCCAGGTCCGACTCTCCATCAGCGAACTTTGGCTCAGCTGGGGCAAGGCCGCCATCGATAGAGACCAGAGTAGGATGCGTGCCGTTGGGAATATTGGGGGTATACTTGGTGAAGAACAAGTTGAGATCTTCCTGCGCGTAGTAATCTCCCGTCTCGTAAATACCCAGGCTATTAGAAGAATGATTAAAAGTGTTGTCGGGAATATTGTAGAGCGCCTTGATGCAGGCCGGAGTGACATTGTCGCTGCATGCAGAGGTATCATTGGAAGCCCGGTCGGCTCCAGCTTGCTGGACAGAGGAAAAGCCTCGTTTTCTCAACTTGGTATTGAGTTGGGGAGTCTTAGGAGCGGCAAGAATGACTCCTGGCTGGATGAAGTCGATGTGACGTTGAATATTCTCCGGAACAGAGTACTCTTCGCAAGCCACCGTCGAGTGGTTTCCAGCTGCTTGATGGTACTCGTAGTATTGAGCGTGGAGCATCCCCTCTGCATCCGCCACGGTGGTGTTGACATGCAGCCATCCCCTGTCCTTGGATAAAACTGAAGTTGCGCCGTTTTCTGAGACCCAGGATTGGACGGCGGTAATTGTTTTGTCAGATGGTGCAAACTTGTCGATGATATCCTGCTGGGTGTAGTGCTTCGCGTATTGGCTCGAAGATGGGTCAGAGACTTCGTAAAGGAGGGTGTCCGCGAGTTCGAGATTCTGCTGTCGCAGCCCGATCCGCAATACAAATCGGCTTGAGGGAGGGAGCCGATATCCTCTGGTCCAGACCTCAGATTGGCCGCTTCGCTTCTCATGGACTTTGTGAAACCTTTGAGAAGCGGGTGCAGCCGCAGCCAAGGACAGCAAGGCTGTCAGTGACAGCAGAGCGAACGACTTCATGATCCCTTCACCAGCGATATCGAAATACACAATGCCTGAAGGTGAAGAGATGTCGCAAGTGACTGACGTCCATGGTCCTTCTTAACTCCCTCGGCTAGATTGAGAGAAGCTTGGATGGAGCACCTCGCGATGCTACCTTCCTCAATGTGCCTAGTGATGATGTTGAGAATACGATCATGATGAACCTCGCCGCATGTTTTCAATACGGGCTTCAACCAAGATTCAGAAAATCCGTCCTGCAGTTGGCACAGCGAGAATGAACGCGAGTGCCGATTACCCGTCCGTACGCGATGTCAGATGTTATAGATGGCAAGTTCGTAGGAATCGATCTTCTTCGTTCGTTTGACCTGCCTGTTTCGAACTCCGGCTTGAACATTTAGCCCGTGTCGCTGTTGACCCAACAGAATACGAGCCCCAGCAGGATACGAACTGTGTATGCCCTATCGCCCATTGGTGGTTCAAGTAGAATGGAGAACCTTGATTGAATGCCACCCCTGACAGACGTGCCGAACTACCGAGGTGGTAATTTATTTGTTACCAAGATTGGATCCGGTTCTGTTCCTAGCCTCCCGTCTTTTATCACATCGGCTCATGATAACTGGAAATCTTTTCTTTGATAACATTAAGTCAGCTAATCTACTGCTGCGACCACTGTCATGCATCGTCCCAAAGTTACAGACGACTGGGCATTCTCGCAGCTCCATCCAAGCGGATGACAGTGCCATTGAGCATTGAATTATCAATAACGTGCTCGACCAAGCTAGCAAACTCCTCCGGTTCTCCGGCCCTAGCGGGGAACTCCAACGAATTTTCCAGACTCTCTTTGGCCTTTTGTGGCATACTTGCCGCCATGCCAGTGTCGAATAACCCAGGCGCGATGCACACGGCTCTTATGCCCCAACATGAGAGATCACGAGCCAGCGGCAAGGTCATGGAGGCTATGGCGCCCTTGGCCGCTCCGTACGCTGTCTGGCCTTCTTGTCCATCGAATGCGGCTGCCGAAGAAACTGTGATCAGTACGCCCCTCTCACCTGTGGCATTTGGCGATTGAGTGGCGATATAGGGAACGAATTGTCTAATTAGGTCGACTGTGCCGATCAGGTTGATGTCAATGACCTTGGAGAACTGATCGAGTAACATGGAGGTTCCATTCTTCGAGATGATCTACGAGACTTGTTGGTTAGCTTCGTTATCGATGTACCGTGTCCAAGAGCGTTGGCCTACCTTTGAGGGCCCCAGAAATCCAGCACAACTAACAACGCCAGCGATGACTGAGCCAGTTGCCTTATTCCAAGCAACTATCTTGTTGACAGCTGCAGTGATCTCTTGAGTCTTTGAAACATCTGCATTGAAGTACTGAACGGGAGACGATCCCTCCTTGGGCTTATCTGGCAACGCCAAGTCTATGACTGCCACATTGCCACCAAGTTGCGAAAGCCTTTCTACAGTACCTTTGCCTAGGCCAGAAAGACTAGGAACTGGTGAGCCCTAGATTGAATCCCAATCAAAACTGAATCATCTTACCCTCCTGTAACAACGAACGTCTTCTGCTGATATTTCATTGGGCAGAATTGGGGAAATTGCAGCTGTCCAGTCAGTATCAGCTTATGGTACCTAAAGATGGCAAGAGATGTTTTTTAGGGATCTCAAACTAGCATAATATTGTTGTCAGATTTCCCGAAAAAAATCGGAGATTTGGGGATTATTCAAGCGGGCATCTAGTTCCGACTTGGCGGGCTATCGCGTCTCGGGTATCGCGTATCGCCTGTCGCGATCGGCGTAGGCTGCAGACTGGATTCGGGGGGTTACCCGCATATCCGACAAAGGCCAGATGCCTGTTCGAGGACCGTCTCAATTCATTTTGTATTGATTACCGCCGATAAATATGGATAAAAATTGTAGTGAAGACTGCCTAAAGGTTATGTGTAGAGTAGTCTTGAGATCACCTGCAACCGCTGTCAATGTTGGCACCAACGACAATGGCCAACATCGAGACAGACAGAGCTGGAATGGCTGCCATGGCAAAGGTAGCCAGGAGCGGAGGCTCCATCATACATGGTTCGGACCAACCGGGAATCATCAACAAGACATTCGGCAATCTCATACGTGAACAAGCTCGGAAAAGGCCTGACGCATTGCTGGTGGCTTCTCACCATCAGCGCAAGAGTCTCACATACGCCCAGGCGAACGACAGAAGCGACCGTCTTGCACAGGGGCTGGCTTCACTTGGTGTCCAACGTGGGGACCGCGTGGCCATACTCATGGGCAACGAGATTGAGTATGTGGAAATCTTCTTCGCCTGCACCAAGCTCGGAGCTTTGGTGACCCTAGTCAACTATGCGTACACTGAGCAGGAGCTTCACTCAGTCATGTCATCTTGCAGAGTCTCAGTCCTTGTCATGGTCCCCGGTTTCGATAGGTACGACTACAGGCCATGGATACGCAACTTAAAAGCCGGAGTTCCGTCCCTGGAAACCATCATTGTGGCACACTCGAACGGAGAGTTTGGCGATGTATCCCTGGACTACGAAGAGGTTGTCAGAAGCGGCATGAAAGACGTTGTTGATCTACTTGCAATCCAAGATACCTTGGACGGCAGGGACATGATGAACCTCCAGTTCACCAGCGGTTCTACGGGCCTTCCCAAAGCCGCTGCCCTGACTCATCAAGGGATCTACAACACGGGAAGATTCATTGGAGATACCATGTATCTAAAGGCGTCGGACAGAGTGTGTCTTCCAGTTCCCTTCTTTCACAGCTTCGGGCTTATTATCGGTCTGGCCACTGTGGCGGCTCATGGAGCCTCAATAATTCTTCCCGACAACCATTTCAACATCGAGGCGACTCTGGCCTGTATTCCAACATATCAATGCACTGGGCTGTACGGAGTCACTACCATGTTCGTGGCGGAGATGGCCCATCCCAACTTCAGCAGATACAATTTTGACAGTCTACGATTCGCAATACTTGCAGGTTCAGCTGTCCCCGAAGCGCTCATGAGGCACGTGTGGTCCGCTTTTGGCATCACCCAAACACACACAAACTGGGGCATGACTGAAGCTTCATCCATTGTCACAATGACGCGGGATACGGATACAATCCCTCAACGCACTATCACGTCAGGACGACTCTTCCCCGGATTCTCCGCACGTATCGCCGATCCTTCGACCGGAAGAACTGTACCGTGGGGAGAGCGAGGAGAGATTCTGCTCCGCGGATACGGCGTTCAGACATGCTACTATGGGAATGATGCGATGACTGGAAAGGCACATAAAATATCAGATGAGGACGGGCTGGAGTGGTTTCATACCGGAGATGAAGGGTATTTGGACGAGGAGGGATTCTTCGTGATCACGGGCCGCATCAAGGATATGATCATTCGCGGCGGAGAAAACATCGCGCCGCTAGAGATCGAAGAACGCCTGGTAGCTCATCCAGCTATATCTCAAGCAGCTGTTATTGGCGTACCAGATGAGAAATATGGGGAGCAAATCTGTGCCTTTGTTGAGCCATCTTCCGACAGCAGCAGTGGCAGCAGGCCAATGGATAGAGAACTACAGACCTGGGTAGCAGAGACGCTGGCGAGGTTTAAACAACCAAAGTACATAATATGGCTCGGCTCGCACGCAGACTTTTGCGTTTGGCCCAAGACGGCGAGCGGAAAACTGAGGAAGCCGGACTTGCGGCTCCTTGCTCCTGGGATTTTGGCAACAAAAGGGGGCGAGAATGCTTTGCCTAGGGCCAAACTTTGAGGCCAATCTAGATCAGACGCAAATTAATTTGTCCAAATCGTGTGGGGAATGATCAGGCAATGAGAAAAAGCAGTTTCAGCAAGTGCAGACAACTCGGGTCCGCCAACGCTCACCCCGCAAACTCAGCGTTATCCCCGTGGGGTAAATATCTCCTTGGCTGCATGCGGATCATTAGCTCATCAATGAGGAGACAGGCATAGCATCCAGGATCGCCTGCTGTGCCCTCACCCAACTTCCCCGCTTCACAAAAAGAGGGAAAGTCCTTTCGTGTTCAAAGCATGTCAACATGCCGTCTCAAGGAGGCGTAAGGCGACGAAAAACAACAGGCCTCGGAAGATCTGGACCCCGTTCTCGAAATGGATGCCAGACTTGCAAACTACGACGGGTGCGATGCGATGAAAACAGACCAATTTGTGGACACTGCGATCGCCTGCAAATGGAGTGTGTTTTCGTAGCACAGCAGCGGCAGTCACAGAGACATTCCACAATCCAAAGAGAAGATATCCCCTCTCTCGAACGCACTAAGTCTACGTCACCAGATCTATCCCACTCCGACGCATGCGAGACCCTTTTAGAAGAGCCCCGAGAAGCCCAGGTGCATGCGTCCTCAGTCACGTTGAATGGCGCAATGAAAAATCTGCCGTCTATGGAGTTGACAAGTTTGGACTCCTTGATAGTCCCGGGCGATACCTGGGGCAGCAACGAATTGGCATGGAACAACGATAATCCCATGTCATTTTACGACTACGTACCTATGCCAGATCCCTCTTTCTCGTTCACGTCTCTCACCTTCGCCGGTTCCCCGCATAGGCTTGATTCAAGCCACAGTTTGGATGCAGTTCAAGGCACATCGCGAAGCCGGACGAGCCAACCTGATCGCGAATGGAATGACCGGCTATCCCCCCTTTCTGTTCTGGACAACCTGCGGAACCAAGACAGTGGAGACATGGTCACTCGTAACGAATACGATGGACGGGAAACCCAGCTTGGCGACATACATAGAGAGCGACCTATGCTTCCTGTTTCACCGCCGCTGTTGTCATCAGATATTCAAAAAGCATTGTTAAAGCAGTTCGAAAGCGAATTACGCCCTCCAGCATCACTCGTTGGCATCGACCCCTTTGGCTGGAGAAGAATCAAGCGTTATGTCATACAGAAGGTCAAGGAAGGCAATGAACATGTTAAACACGCCCTGTTCGCTCTCAGTATGATCACTTTCGACTTTGGCCACGCAAAAGGTTCAGCTCAGGCAGTTGGAACTTCGGAAAGTCTGTCATGGCAATTGCAAGAAACAGCTCGTGTTTCGATGGAAATCGCTCTTCGATCGGAAGGCTGGGAAGATAAACACAGCAATTCGCTTCTTGTAACCTTGTTCCTTCTTGCTTGGTTTGAGGTGAGTGTAAAAAAATGTTTACACCAACTAGTTACGGTTTCGGTAACAATCTCTAATGCTTATCAGATTACTAGTGACAATGCGGATAACGCCCGGCCCTCTTTTCCCTCCAATCTGGCGGAAGACATCATCGTGAAAGGTCGAAATTGGAACTCGGGGTCGACCCACGTATTTCAATGGCTTACGCTTCTTGATTCGAAAATGTCGCATATGGGGGGCCGCCATCTCTTGACCGAAGGTGCCCACAGAGTGGCTTTGCAACCAAGACCTACAAAGCCTCCTGATGAAGACGTTGATGATGAGGACGGCGAGATGTCTGTAGAGAGCTGGGAGCCTTCTTCTCACGACGGCGCAAGAGTCAATGGGTACCCAAAGACTTCCCAGAATCGTCTAGCTTATCTGCTGTCGTCACAACCACCACTGTCACCGTCGCCAAGGGTCATCAGGGCGGATATTTTCAACATCATCTTGCAACCCGCGCTTGAGTTTCACATAAAGTCACAAGCATACTCCAGACGCATCGGATGTCACGATCGCCATCACAGAATACGTGAGACACCTGAGGATGAGTATGAGGTCATTACCGCCTGCAGAGGTTATGAAGAAGAGCTGCAGGAACTGTGGAAGCACAGGCCAGGAATATTAAATCTCTGTGCACACCAACTGAAGCAGTTTGTGAGCGAAAGCATTGCCAAGAGGCTGGAGCAACTTTTCAGCGTCTACATCGCAACCTTCTGGGCACATTTTCTCTACATTCACCGAGTTGCATTCTGGTCCCTGAAGCATACGGCCATTGCAAGGAAAGCCGTGAAACAGACGGGAGACATGCTCCGTCGCAGCGTCGGGCAGGCAGCAACAGATGTTGCATTTGATGCAGACGTCCCCCGCCAGTCAGATAATGTGATACATCCAGGGCTTATGTGGACTTGTTATCTTTTTGGTTGCGAAGTGGCAGACCCTATGCAGCAAGATTGGACTGTCCGTCAGCTCAGGGCGCTGGGAGAGCTACAGCCAATTTGCGAGACAGACTCCAGTGACGAGGATGCCGGCAGACTTCAGTCTCCGCGTCTGGACAGAAAGGGTGCACAGAATGCCCTCAAAGTGTCCGAGTTACTCAGAGCTCTTGTTGACAGACAGAAAAGCACCGGTGCTCGTGTGGATGGGAAATACTTGAGTCAAGAGATCTTTGGGTGCCACTTCTACATCATATAGGTTTGCACAAGAACCGTTACGTTGAGGTTTGTAGAGTAGCGGTTGACTAGTCAATGGGAAAATCTCATTTTGCCATTTTCAATGTACGCGGACCTCACAATCGGTCTTGACTGATAGATAGAGGTTCCATGGTTCCGCGAACGTCAGAAATGAAGGGAGAAAATTAGGAGAAGAGAGAAAGATGCACGTCACAGATCACTGAAAATAACACGAATAATTCGAGGCAAATATTAGCCTGGGCTGGTCAACTGCCGATATGCAACGGTCGATAGCATTGCCGCTTTCGGTAACTTGAACCCCTCGAACCCCTCATACCCCTCGTCGTGTATCGGCTCTCGCATCAGCTTTCCCGACAGAACAAGCCCCATCAAAGACCACCTATGATAGACTGCATACTCTTGCGGCATCTCCTTGCACAATGAATAATGTCTGCGGGTTGAAAATTATCATTACTCGCCTCATACATTAGAATCAATTCACACAAAAATTGTGTTTTGATGCATGCCTGTCTGAGGTCAAATCGATATTATCTGCTCATCCAAATAGTGAACGTTCCAATCGAAGTCTCTTGGAAAACGCCACTATGGCCAACAAGATACGGACCGGAAAGAATGAAGAGAAAGATGTGGAGATGCTGGAAGATGTCGAAACTCCTCGTTCACCGAGAGCTCTCTCTTCGGACAAAGACATGGAGAGAAGGTGGGCATCTCATGAAGGACTGGTTGCGATACGATGACTGATAAACATGGATCAGGATTGTGCGCAAAATTGATATTCGGCTGATGCCATTTACGGCACTGATTTACCTACTGTGTTACTTGGATAGATCGAACATAGGTTGGTCACGACTCACCCTTCACCCATGGCCGCAAGACAAGGACTAACACATGCCTATGTTTGTGATATCATCAAGGCAATGCAAAGATCCTCAATTCTTCCACTGGAGGCTCTCTTCTCGATTCGACTGGTATGACCAACTACCAGTACACAATTGCCCTCATGGTCTTCCTTGTCTCCTACACGGTGTTCGAGGCTCCAAGCAACCTGGCGCTGAAGGTGTTTTCACCAAACAAGTAGGTTCGAATGGAACACCAGACATAAAACTCTGCAGGGTGTTTATGGCTGACACGACTATCATTCGTACAGATGGCTAGGCTTCCTCATCATCGGATTTGGCAGCTTTTGTACCGGCATCGGTGGCGCCAACAGCTTTGCCTCCGTCACGGTTCTCCGATTCTTTCTCGGAGCGTTCGAATCAGGGGTGTTTGCTGGAATGATCTTCTACATGAGCTTCTGGTACAGACCCGAGGAACGTGCCTTTCGCATAGCCATTTTCCTCGGAAGTGCCACCCTTGCCGGTGCTTTCGGAGGGTATGTCTCGCGAGACCAGATTGTTCTATGACTCGAGCTGACGCTGTTTCAAGGGTTATTGCGTATGGGGTGGGTCACATGAACGGTTTACGCGGATTGGAAGGTTGGAGATGGCTGTTCATTGTCGAAGGTGTTCCATCGGGTAGGTTTCTAAAGCTCTATTGGTTACGATTAGATTGGGTGCTAACCTTGGTGGTCCTTTTAGTGGTGATGGGTGTCGCAGTTTTCCTCTTCATGCCGAGTTATCCGGAGAGCGCCAAATGGCTTTCAAACGAAGAGAAGAGTTTCCAGATTCAGCGGCTAGGAGAAAACAGTTCGAAAGGGTAAGCCAAAATGTTCATGGGAATGACTTCTGGGCTGTCACTGACGTGCATCCCGAAGCAATGCTAAGTTGAATTGGCCTGACGCCAAAGAAACTCTTAAGGACCTACGACTATGGGTACACTACTTTACCTATCTCTGTCTGGGTGTAGCTGTGTCTTCACTGTCACTTTTTGCCCCCACCATCGTCTCCGGACTTGGGTATAAAGATTTGCAAGCTCAACTCTTTACAGTCCCTCCCTATGCTATAGCGTATGTTTTCACCCTTGCTTTTGGAGTCTTATCCGATCGCAAGAAGTCACGAGGGATTGTTGCAGGGAGTATGTTAGGCATGAGCGCAATTTCTTTCCTCATTCAAGGTACGCTTCTTGATCATAAGACTTCCTTCCATATCAAGTCTCCTTTTCTTCTGTTGTTCGTCGTCGGGCGACTATGATGTACTAGTTTAGACAACTTCATAAAATGCTGACTCGGTCTAGCAACTCTGCCAGGCGAAAGCTACGCGACAAGATATGCATTTCTGTGCATCAGCACGGCTGGAACCTTCGCAGGACTGCCGTCTCTTTGCGCTTGGGTGTCCGACAATGTGCGGAACACAACGGCTGGCTCGTTAGCGTCCGGACTTAATATTGCATTCACGGGGCCAGGTCAGATCATAGGAGTCTGGATATATCGCGCCCAGGACAAACCGTTTTACCGGTTGGGACATGCCATTAATGCCGCGTTTGTGCTAGCTGGAGCACTGCTTTCATTCGGGCTGTCATGGCATTACATGCGTCTCAACAGGAAGCTTGTGGGAACTAACGCTACGAAGTGGGTTCCTTGAATTCAACTAGGCACTATTTATTTTGGTCGTCCAAGGCCTTTTGAAGAAACTGTCACGTATCTTGCATATTGTGCATTAATTAGATTTGAAGCTAATTTGCTGGCGGGCCTATGTCCGGTGGCATACAATAGAACCAGTCTAATGATGCCAAGTATTGGCGTATGATAAGTACAATGGCTCTGAAATTAGTTCATGATCATTCAAAGCAGTTTCTCGGCTCATTCGTCTCCCTCTCGTGCCTCTTCGGGTGTCTCCCGAGGACAAGTTGCCAAAACTACAACAGTCCCTAGTCTACGTATCCAATGCATTTGGCTTTTGTATGCCAATCCCGTGCTATGGCACCTAATCTAATTCTTTTGAAAATGAAAGTTCCCATAATTCTGGTGGATCAGGCGCAGGCCCGGCTGCCTGACATTTGTCGTCGCGTGTCGTGTATCGGGTGTCGCGTCATATTGCACAGGTGCTGAACCCCGCTCTCTCGCCTTCCGGTATTTCTGTGATGAACGATACCGAGTTTTTATTGGTCTAAAACTGTCAAAAATGATATTTTGCATTCGGAAATACCTTGACAGTGTCGGCTATTGCTTTCCAAGTCAACCAGTTGTCGGGTGTTATAGCGTCAGTTTCACTCATGGGTACATTTTAAATCTCGTCTATCATGATCTGTAAATCTCCCTCCTGTTTGCCCTATTTTCATGAACTCATTTACGTTCGTTAGACCTGAGTTTAACATTGCCCTTTTCAAACATCTGCTAGGTCGTCATTACATACTTTTGGATCTCCACTTCGGCAGTATCTCACCATGACAACTCCGGCATTCGTTGTTGGTGTCGGGATGACAACATTCAACTCCCCTAAGAAATCTGCTTCTATTGCGACAAACCCTGACTCAGACTATTTTGACCTCGGGGTTGAGGCAGCTGTGAAGGCTCTCCTTGACGCTGGAATCAACTACGACCAGGTGGACCAAGGAATCGGCTGCTATGTCTTTGGGGACTCTACCTGCGCTCAGAGAGTTTTCTACGGCCTTGGGATGACCGGAATACCAATTTTCAATGTCAGCAACTACTGCAGCTCTGGCAGCACAGGATTGTGGTTGGCTAATCAAGCCATTATGTCGGGAACGGCTGATTGTGTTCTTGTCGTTGGGTTTGACAAGATGTACCCTGGGCCACTACCACAAGTCTTTGAAGACAGGACCAATCCTTTATCCCGAATCCTGGATCTTTCGAAGACGCAGATTCCGGAACAAGACCGTGGAAAGCCGTCTCCTGGATGGACGCCGCAACTCTACGCCAATGCCCAAGCCGAATACCTGCAGATGTATGCACCATTTGGAGCAGAAAAGAGAGACTTTGCAAACATTACCTCCATAAACCGGTCACACGGGGTGAGGAACCCATACAGTCAGTTGTCTAAAGAAGTCACTACAGAAGACGTATTGGCCAGTCCTACTGTTTCTGGAGACATCACTCGATTACAGTGCTGCCCGTCGTCAGTAAGTTCTCTCGCCCGATCTTATGCATCCTCCCAACCGACGGAATGGCTCTATTAACAGACTATGCGACAGACTGGAGCGGCCGCGGCTGTCATTGTATCGGAAAGATTCTTAAAGACCCACCCCTTTTTGAAGTCGGGTGCGGTACAGGTTGCGGGGCAGGCACTCGTCACAGATGCTTCAAGTTTGTATGAATCTGCTAGTGCTATCGAGCTGATAGGATCAGACATGACGCGGAAGGCTGCAGCCCAGGCATACGAACAAGCCGGGATAACAGCGGAGGACGCCACTGTGATAGAGCTTCATGATTGCTTCACCACGAATGAGATGTGCGCTTTGGAGGGGTTGGGACTTGCGGACGAAGGAATGGGCTGGAAGCTGGTCAGAGATGGTGGAATTACCTACAATTCAGATGGTCGTCCGTCTCCAAGTGGGAAACAGTGGATTGTTAACCCCAGTGGCGGACTGATTTCGAAGGGCCATCCACTTGGTGCGACAGGCTTGGCCCAGTGCGCCGAACTCGGTATGTATTGAAACGAAGTTGATGAGGGTCTGAATAGCTTACTAACACCTCCAAAACAAAAGTCTGGCATTTGCGTGGATGGGCTGCCTCGCGATCAGTGCCTGGTACGAAATACTGCGTTCAACATAACATGGGATTGGGTGGTGCTACTGTGGTCACTATCTACAAGCGTTTCGATAATCAAGTAGCCCCCAGACTGAACGACATCAAGCCAGAAGATGACGGACGGGGGCGTCTCGGCTACAATCCTGCTGAAGTAGCTCGCTCAATACGTCGCGTGGACTGGGAAAGTGTCAGGTCTCGAAACAAAGGCCACTCTGCATGGGCAACATCTCTTCTTCCATGGAATCAAAATCCCGGGGCCTACGAGAACAGGGCAAAATTATGAGAAGTTTGCCACCCATGGTCGGGGTGTGCAAAGCACTACGAGTGACTAGTGAGTTTAGGGATTACGGACTCAGATGGATATGTAGCAATAGTGTCTTCTACAGCCTGCAGAAACATGTGAGTGATAAGGTTCCCGTTGTAGAGAGATCAAAACACCAGTGGGTCGCTACCGTTGTGAATGCTCATGGAGAAAACTGATGCATGTAGGTACTGATTCTACCGATTCATCTTGCTCTGGCAATGTCTGGTATTTAAATTAAAGAAAATGGAAGGACAAAACGAAAACATCCCCATGAGATATGCTATCACAGACCAGGAAGATTGTACTGGAATAAGAATATATCATTATGAAACTTTATGACCCTGCATCCAATGAGGCCTAGGCGAGTAACCCAGGCGCACATTCACATCAAGAATGCAACTCAAATGCCGCCAAGTTGGTTAGTTAACCACTAAGATTCGGCCTTTTTCTCTTCCGTCGTCTTGCGTGCAGCGTCCTTCAAATCCTTGTCGTCAGGTCGGCTCAACTCTACCTGTGGCATCAGGAAGAATGCAACAAAAAATGCCACCGAAGCAAGCCCAGCCATGACGAGGAATATGATGCGGAATGCTTTTCGATAACCTGGCAGCAGGACAGCCCTTGCCTGATCTGCGTCGGCTTGAGACATTTCTGACAGGACATGCTGGGGATTGGCAAGAAGTCTTCTGGCTTCATCATCTGCCAGACCAAGACCAGCGATGCTTGCTGACAAGATATTGTTACTAATTTGTGTCATTAGCCATCAGGCAAGCAAGAGGACAGCCATCAAAATAGAGATACTTACATGAGTGTACCCGAGATTGCCAAACCAATCGTGCTTCCAAGGTTTCTGATAAAACTAAAAACAATGTGAGTATGCAACATCATTCGATTCATAATGCATCATGACTCACTTGCGGAACGAGGTTACTACGGCCATGTCTCTGCGGCTAACACCTGCTTGGATCGCAATCAAGGCGCTGTCGGAAATTTCAGCGAAGCCCAGGGTACGACACATCGGAAAAGACTTACGGCTGAAGAGTATTGCCAACACCAGCTCCAATGAGTAAGGAGTACCCTACTTGCTTGCCAACACTAGAGTTTTCATCCAAGGTAGACATGAGACCGACGCCTACAGCCCACATCACCCAGCCAAGGAGGATGCATTCCCTGTATCGACCGACCTTATGAACAACGAGACCAGACAGTGTGCTGAACAAGGTTTGTGTCAGAGTGACGGGAAGCAGCATAGCGCCAGCTTTGGTTGCTGAGTAGTTGTACGCCAGTTGATAGAAGGCTGGGATGTAGTAGACCTGCACAACGAAGTTCCAGCCGTTGATAGCCATGGTAATACAGGCGCCGTTGACGATCTTAGACTTGAAAATATGCACTAAAGCTAGTCAGCGAAGATATTTCACGACGAAGGACAGTCAAAACCTACAAGGAACGAGTGGGAACTTGGCCCCCTTCCACTGCCACATCACAAAAGCAACGCAGACGACGAAGCCAACAACAATTGTGGCTATGACATGCGCTGAGTTCCATGGGTACTCGCCGCCACCCCATGTCAGACCAAGCATCAGAACTGAAGTGCCAGCCAAAGCTAAGCCACTGCCGACGAAGTCCACTGCCTTGAGCTTCCTGGATTCGCACGGACCTGAGCAACTCTTCACGGCAACAGACAAAAAAGCGGACGTGGTGAAGAACTTACATTTTCCAATCGCCTTCCACCTTTCTCAGTGGCATAAAGAAGACAACACAGACAGTGCACAGCAGGGTCAGCGGCATGTTGAGACGGAATATCCATCTCCAGGAGTCTCGTGACTGCGAAGCTAAAGCGCCGCCGATAACAGGACCAATACCGTTGGCAATCGCCACAACTGCTCCCTGGCGAGGTTGTCAGCAAGACACAATATCTTTGCGAAAGGTTTTGTTGCTCACCAGAATTCCTTGATACTTTCCTCGTTCTCTCAGGGGAACCACATCACTGACAATCATCTGTGCCACGGTCATGAGCCCACCGCCGCCAATACCGGTCCAAGCTCGAAATACGATGAGCTGCGTGCCGGTCGCTGCAACGGAAGAGGCTAGAGATCCAGTGAAGAATATCGCAAGACCAATCAATAAGATAAATTTGCGAGACCAAATGTCAGACAATCGGCCATACAACAGTTGACCTGTAGTCGACGTTCTAATCTTGGAATTAGCGATTGATGACCCCTTCGTACGATAGAGGCTCACATGAAATAGCCACTTGCAATCCAAGCGGTCTGGTTGCTAGAGTTGAGAGCATTGCCGATGATGTTCAAACTGGCGGCCAATGTTGTCTGGTCCATGAGAGCCACCAGATCAACGGTGGCACAAGCCAGGAAGATCTAAGCGTCGCAAAGCCATCAGCATAGTTCTCACGTCTTTTCTTCACTCAACTTACCGTAATGATTGTCCTTGACCGCACATAATTCGTCTGCTCATTAAAGACATGAACGGTGCTCTTCTCTTCGTCAGACTGATTCAGCGTCTTGCTACCATTGTCCGAGTTGGCTTGTTCCATCGCCGAATTCCTCGGGTCGTCTGAAGCGAGGACTCCGCTCGGCTGTTCTTCCTTCATGATGAGGGATATTTTTGGCGACAAACTTGGAAGCTGATCATTCAAAGCATGAGCCGAAGAATATTTCGCATGCAGCGGCTGGAATCAAAGCAAAAGAGCACAGGAAATTGAAGTAGGAAAACACGGCCGGGATCGGTGCCAAACATCGGAGACCGAACGCTGGCCATCCGGGTAATCGGCCAAATAAGCATTCTCGCTACTGCTTGACGTTCTAGGGCCATTGAGAGGACAGAGACCCTTGTTTCCTGCCCTTAGACTGCCGGCCGCCAAGTCTGAACTATTGTTGAATCCTACGATCGTCATCGCGGTAAGTGGAGGCAACCCCCGGTCTAGAGGGTCTGATGCGCTGGGCAATTGACAGGGATTAGGACGGAAACAAGAACCCTTGCGGGTTGCTCCCGTGAAACAAGCTCAACTGGGGAACCTCCCGAAAAACCAGCTCAAACTCTCTCTCTTAGAGCGTTCAACTACAGGGCTTTTATATAACATCGTCGAATCAGCCGACTCCAAAAATGCCCCTCGCGGCTACGCGGCATCTTTGCGATAATTTGCGTCTGAAGCTATGAATTGCGCACGACACTCGACGTTGCAACCTTCTCATAATAGATCACCAGGAAAAAATTGGCGACGCGGCCCCCCCTGGCTGACCGACATGAGCGTTGCATGGTGCCATCGAGACGCCGCAGGCTCGCAGCCGACCTTGATGAGCGCTGCGTCGATCAATCGTCTTCAACGTCGCGTTTCGTGATGTCGACACGCTTAGGGCTTGGTGCTAGTTTCGGGATCACAAGCCAATCATGCTCAGAATGGACGCAATCCCCAGGCCCTAAAGAAGGACGGAGAAGCCCGCCCAGATACTAGCGCAAGTAATCGGTTCCCCAGCCTGCCGTAACGGGCGTCATTTGACACGTTTCGAGACTCCATCGTCAGAGTCATGTCGATTTCACGCATGTTTATCCCATGTCAAAGTGAGAACATTTACGGCAAATGTAACCCCATGGAGGGGTTTCCCCGATTCTCTTGTTCATCCGGTGTCGATGTGACTTCAGCTCGTGCGTCAGCCTACTTTGTGCGCCCTAGTGCGTACCAAGAATGGTGAATCTCTGCAGCAGTTGATCTTGCAGATATAAATCTCCTTGTGCCAGACTTCCGTTATCAGGTTCCCTCAACCAGATACCCGGGCAGGATCAATAACTTTATTCTTACTACTCCAAACGACTTGAGAGTATGTCTTTAATCATGGCAGAGGTCAACCATCTTAACGTTTATAAAGGTCCTGACGCCGTCAAGGACTATTTCAACCCGGATATTGCTCCTCCTCTACCTCTTGTCGAGATCCCCGATTGTCTCAACCCATACCGCAGCGATGGAGTCCGAATTTACGCCAAGATGATGTCGATGCATCCCGCCAACAACGTCAAGGCTATGCCAGCACTGAACCTGCTCCAAAAGGGTGTTGTGCCTGGCAAGACCGAGACGGTGGTTGAGTATAGTTCCGGATCGACGGTCATCTCGATGTCGTTGATTTCAAGAGTCTACTACGGAAACTCGGATGTTAGAGCATACCTCAGCAACAAGACAAGTCAGGCGAAACTGAGGTTGATGCAATTCTTCGGACTGGATATGTAAGTCACGAACCGCTTTCCCTTAATTACGCACTTCCATCTCTTCGAGGAGGGATCACCAAAGACCAGCTTAGCTAACTCGGTGCCTTTCCCAGCACTTTGTTCGGCGGCCCATCACAACCCGAACCTGCAGACCCCAGAGGCGGTATTCGAGCGGCGAAGGATATCGGCGAGAAGTCAGAAACGGCCATGAACCCGAACCAATATGAGAACGACGATGTGAGTGGTCAAAGGATGGCTTGCTCAGTTCACGACTGACGAATTTCGTAGAACTGGAAGTCACATATCCGTTGGACCGGTCCTCAAATCCTCAGACAGCTGCCTGAAATCAACCTTATCTGCGCCGGCATGGGAACTTCTGGTTGGCCAAACCTTTGAATACGAAACCACACTTCGAACTGACATCCAACTTCCAGGAACCATGACCGGTCTCGGAACGTACTTCAAGGACAACAAGCCTTCTGTGTATCGTCTTGGTGTTTGCACAGCTGCTGGCGACCGTGTGCCGGGCCCGCGCTCATACGCACTTCTCCAGCCCGTGGAATTCCCGTGGAGAGCTGCTGTCGACCACATCGAGCACGTTGGATCGCATGACTCCTACTCATACTCTCTTAACCTCACTAGGGAGGGCATCGTCTGCGGCCCTTCTTCTGGGTTCAACCTCAAGGGGCTCTTCCAGTTCCTCGACCAGCGCAAGGCTGCCGGCACGTTGAGCGAGCTTGCCGGCGAGAATGGCGAGATTCACTGCGTCTTCGTATGCTGCGACCTTCCATACCAGTACATCGACGAGTATTTCGCCAAGCTAGGCCCTGAGCATTTCCCAACGATCCACAACGAGGTGAATACCCAAATTCGCAAGATTGGCGAGCCTCACGGAGTCCACATTGCTGACAGTCACTCAGAATCTCCAAAAGGTGGACCTTCACCGGTATGATGAGGCATGGGAGAAGGAGCCTGCGGAGGCGTTCATGCACATTCCCGAAAGCGTAATCCCGAACGAGCTCAGCGAGAAGCTGCCGAGCACGCCTCGATATGTGGATACGAGCAGCGCGTCCCTCATCCCGAGGTCCCCCAACACCGTCATCGTTGACTTGAGGCGCCAAGAGGATTATCAGACACATCACATTCCCGGGTCCGAAAATGTTCCCGTTGTGGAGTCAAAGGACTGGGAGCCCTTTTCGGACGCAAAGATTCTTGAAACCCTGTGGCTTAAACTGGAAGCAACATTCGAACCGACAAGCGAGATTGGAAAGAAGATGGAGCAGCATCGCTCAAAGCCGATATTGCTCCTCTGCTACAACGGAAACAACGCGCGGGTTGCCGCCAGTGTTTTGAGAGCGAAGGGCTTCGAGGCAGACTGCGTCCGTGGAGGCTTCATTTCGTTGGATAACTTGCAACAGAACCAGGCCGTTGAGCCTCCGACATTGACTAAGACCAATGGGCACGTCCACGTTCAAGAATTGGTGGCGGGCGAGAAGCCTTACCTGAGGCTAGCATGAGAGCGCTGAAAAATGAATGGGGAAAAAGAACACGATGAGGTAGAAAAAATACCCAATTGCATGTGAACGTTTTGCTAAATTATTTCCTTTATGGTAATGGTGAGATCATCACTTGTTCGTGTAACCGTTATCAAGTATGCGCGGTGAAACGATTGAAGTCTTCGAGAGTCTGCTCAAGGACGTTATATCTCAGTACGGGCAGAATTTACTGTCCTTAAAACCCCTCGTTGTGGGTTATCGTACGAAGCCAAGTCTTTTAGCGTGAGTCATCCGCATGAGGCTAAACGTTGTCGCCCGAGACCCTTGGCGACGTCTCCGCGCTTCCGTCTGGAATGGTGGCTTCAAGAGAATGGTGGCAGGTCTCGGGCTGAGCTTTCAGCTAACCTCCTAGGCAGGGTGTTCTGGAATGGAGGCTAGACTCTAGACTTTCATCAGAGCAAACAGGTTCTCGCCTGGCGTTCAAGCTGCAAGTAAGGCTACCAAGGGGGGAGGCGCTGGAATCGTTGATTCAATCTCTCACAGCCTATAATCCTTCCCACGCGCCATGATGCCATCCACCGCCCGACATTCTTGATTCCCCGATGGTGCGGAGAACAGCTCCGGCTAGCTACTCAACATGTCTATACGAGACTGGCCGTCAGGAGTGGCAAACGCGATGTTGCAGAGAACATTCCGAGTGACATTCGGGCTGAAATCCTCGTCATGGAAACATCGGGCCATGGCAATAACGCGTCTTCCGCGTCAATGTCTGTGTTTATTTCGAGAACGCCTTGCGGCTACTTGCGTGATTCCCTAGTTCCCGCGCGGAGCGAGCTAGCCACGAGGTGTTTTCAACTCCACAAGAGAGCAAGATCGTCAGATCGTGAGACAAGGGAGCAGTCCGGGTGGGACCCGCTTCCCCGGCCGCGCTCCGCTACCTCACCAGCCACCCACACCGGCCGGATGTCGCCGACCCGCATGCCGTGCATGCCCCTTCATCGCAGATGGTTAAGGCTGCGGAGGAAAATCCAAAATTTTAGGAAGCAGGAACCCAAGTGAATGCGTCGGCGGCTGGCTAGGGATATGCTGTCAGGTTCCCTGATCTACAGGGGGACCTCCGTAGATCCTCCGTGAAAGAACCACCAGGACCGTTGAAAACTTGCTTTTTGACTGCCACATTTTCGGTGCAACGTCTGTCTTACATCCTTCTGTTCTGGAGAAGCGACAGCTCGTGGCTCTGAGTAACGCGCTCAACATTTGCTAGTCGTTTCATCCCACAGGTTTGGAATGTGACGATGTAAGACCAAGTGACTGAGGCGAGACTCTCACAGCTGAACCGAATAGCCTCCCCCAACTACGTGTGAATTGGAGGCTCAGAAAGAAGACGAGAGTTCAACACCGTTTCATTTTTCTATATAAACTGCCTTCGTGGCCCTCTGATCAGTTTCTAAGTAGCTCTTCATCACAACGACCACAGTCATTCACTACCCTAGCTTCAGACCCCAACACCCAAGCGTCACTCGCTCTTCGCTACAATGAAGTACCAAGTCTACCTCGCAGCTGCTGCGGCAGCCTTTGGCGCCGCCGATGCCCAGTGTAATGCAGTAAGTCCACAAACTCAACGATAGAACTCATGTCGTCAGCTTTTCGTCAGCTGGTAAAACTAACTCAACTGATAGAACAACTGTGCTCGAGCCGTTACGGGAACCCGTCTTGGTCCCCAGACTCAAGCTTCCCGCAGGGCCGACTGCTCATCCTTCCAGAGGACTACTATCACCCGCTTTGAGACGACCACCTTCGTCACTGTCACCTCTTCCGCCACTTTTGACGTTACTCGCACATTCGCCCCTTCCACCGTGACCGTCACCACCACCGTCCCGCCAATTATCATCGATCCTTCTTTCTCCATCGGCCTCCCTGAGCCTCCTGTCGTCACCAGCTTCTCGGGCCCTGACCGCCGTGACCTTGAGGGCCGTCAACTGGTTTCCTCGGCCATCTTCCCCCCTGTCCCGTTCTACGCTTCTGCATGCAGCGGTGCGTCTGCTTACCGCTCTGCTTGCTCTTGCTGGGGTATCACTGCCAGCTTCGTCACCAACAGCTTCCCGGGCACCACGACTATCACCATCACCTCGCTTGATATCGACACTATCTCCGTCATTGGAACTGGTGTGACGACCACTACTGTCCGCATCACATCTACCCCAACCAGCTTCGTCTTGCCCTCGTCTACGTCGACTGATGACGACGTTTCCGAGACCGTGGAGCCAACTTCCTCTGAGACTGAGGGCCCCTCTTCTACCGATGCCGAGCCCTCCGTCACCTCTACAGATGAGCCATCGTCTACCGAGACTGATGAGCCTTCCGCCACCGAGACTGACGAGCCCTCTGCGACTTCAACTGACGAGCCGTCCGCTACCGAGACCGAGGAACCCTCAGCTACCGAGACTGACGAGCCTTCTGCTACTTCCAGCGACGAGCCTTCCGCCACTGAGACCGATGAGCCTTCTGCTACCTCCACAGATGAGCCCTCGGCTACTGAGACGGACGAACCCTCTGCCACCGAGACCGATGAGCCCTCGGCCACTGAGACTGATGGACCTTCCGCCACCGAGACTGACGAGCCGGTTCCCTCCACCACCGATGTCTTCCCCACCAGCGTCCTCCCGGACCCCACGACCTTCGCCACCAGCCTTCTTCCCGTGACCTCTGATGAAGCCACTCCTACGGTAGGCGAGACCTCGATTGAGATCTCGCTAGAGACCTCGATCACCGGCCCCACGCTGACCATCCTCCCCTAATCTAGTCCTCTGACGTTGAGCCCTCCTCCACCGCCGGCCCTGATATCTGCACAACCTTCGGATCCAGATTCCCGTACTCTCCTTCCACGCTCTTGACCTTCTGCTCTTGCAGCTACAGCAACCCCACCTGTGCCGAGGGCACCAGCCAGAACCAGCGCACGCTTCCCCTCATCCTCAGCATCGAGATCTGCGCCAACTCCTGCGACCTCTTCGCCAACTGCGTCGCCTTCTCTTACAACGCAGTCACCCTGGAGTGCCGTCTCCTCGACGCCGACGGCTTCGGAACCACCACCGGATCCAGCGATTGGGTCCTGGTCGACCGTACCAGCGGATCTTGCAGCAGGGACACGTGCGAGCCCGGCACGGCCTCCCCCTCGCCTTCGGCTACGCCCTCGACGCTCCCTTAAGCTCCTGACTATGAGCCGACATCATGTTCAGCCTATTCGGCTTTTTCACACCCACACTCGTTAACCAAAAGCTGCTTTCTACATCGCTAGATATTTGACTTAGTTGGGGTCTGGGTCTGCAATACATGTCGTCGTTGTCTAAATCATCTCTCTTCAAGTGACTGTCGTGAATGATGAAAGTACCTTCATGATTATGGTGCACTTGCCTTTTGAATGAAAATGCACCATCATGTCTATCGTACAGAACCATTAGTTGAAAATCTCGACTACATATCGATTACCCGGGACAGTCTTGTTCCAAGTGTCAATGTCAACGGCAACTGGCTGCCCAGGTTCCATCTCCGCCTCAAGCAGCATTGGTCGCAACACCTCGAACACCGCATCGGCAACTTTCTTTGCACCACATACATAGACGCGTGCTCCACTCTTCCACATTTCTGAAAGTTGGTCCTTGAAGTTTGGCAGCTGATCAACGACGTATTTGTGTGGTGCCCCTCTTGCCCGACTGAAAGCGCGAACGACTGTTACCACGCCTTCGTTCTCAAAATCGTCCAACTCATCACGATACATGTCATCCAGTTCCGGTCCACGGCAGCCAAAGAACAGGATCGCCGGCGCCAAGGGAGCTCCTTCCCGCAGTGCAATTGCGCGGTTCTGGATAAACCCCCTGAAAGGGGCGAGACCTGTGCCTGCTGCTATCATGATCACCGATGTCGAGGCCTGGCATCGAAGTTCGGGGAGACAGAAGTTGACTGTCGGAGGCAGCAAAGTGATTTGCACAGCATCCCCTTGACTCAAAGATGCAAGATAGTTTGATGCAACGCCCTTCTCCTCAACGGTGTAAGTCAGCGTCGCAAAGCCAGACTTCCAGGAAGGCGCAGACGAGAAAGAGTAGGTTCTAGGGCGCATCTGCGGCAACATGGAGAGAAACAACGTGAGTGAAAGCTTGATGTCGGGAAAGGTCATGAGTAGGTCGACGATGGTAAGACACTTGTCGCGGATGTCGGAAGTCTTACTCGACAGGGTCCGCAATGTAGCGCGAGTCTCCTCTTTCTCAGCTACCTCTGCCAAGATTTCGATGCTTCTTGGCGTTGCTGTGCGTGTGAGTTCGAGGTGGCTGGCAAAGAGATCCCAGGCTGTGATGGGCTTGTTGAGAGGCAGGCTGGATGAACGGCCCGATCGAGATGTGATCGTCAGTAGAGTGTCTCCGGTAATTTTGAACCTGGACAGAACTTTCTGAACAAGCTGTGGGTCATTCTGGGGCAAAACCTGAAGATGACCGCCGGCTTGGTAGATGACCCCTTCTGGCAGTCTGAGTTCAAGATGTCGCTTTTGAGGGACACCTTTCGCTGACAACATGCGAGATTCTTCGACAAATGCTGGTATGAAGCCTCTGCGTACTGTGGGTTGGAATCCATTTCCAAGTTTGACCTCAATATCGACATCGGGGCTTTCCCGATCCACAATGCGCCCATGATTGTCTAGCAGTGCTGGCCAAAGGTGGTTATCGAGCCAGCTTTCGAGCTCAGAGAAGACATCACAGGTCGCAGTATCTGCGGTGCCCAGAGTGGCCAGTCTCTGAGCTCCAGCCGCATCCAACATTGCATCCAGCGCCATTGGCACTTTGAAAAGTGTAGCAGGCCAGTCTCTGTGACCTGAAGGGATGTTCATTAGCACGCGCCACAACATAGCATCATGAGACTTCGCTTACCACAACCAAAGACGGCGAACCGGACGCCTTTCAAGTCGCCAGCTTGAAGACTCTGGGTACAAGAAACAAACTTAGTCGCATCCCGCGATGGCAGTCCGTTGTAAGACGCGGTGATCATGATGACTGGGCCATCCGAAGGTAGACTTCCCGCAGCATCGTTCATGGACATCGACTTGGGGGTAAAGCCTCTTCTGGATGCTTCCATGACGAGACGCTGTGCCATTGCTTCACAGGTGCCTGTATCAGATCCGTACAAGACTGTCATCGGGCCTTTTTGAGACAAGACGTGTTGCATAGCCTGTCTTGAGGGCTCTTCGACACCACTCGAGCGAGCCCTTAGGCTTTTTAAGAAGTCAGTCGGCCTCTTGTCGTCTCTCAAGCCGACTCGAACCTTGAACCCGGCTGGCTTGATCGTAAGAAGATGCTTGACCTTGAGCTTGTATCCAGGATCATCCTTCTTGATGTCGAAGTTGCGCAAAAGCATCGCGATAACCTGCAGAAGCCGTGTGTGAGCACCCGTGCCTTTCTCTACATATTTGTTGTGGCTTTACTCACTAGTTGCGCCTCCTGCCAAGCGAACGCTCTCCCAATGCAACCTCGCATGCCATTACCAAACGGCTTCCAGGCATGTTTTGGAATACTGTCGAGGTTCCTTATCCTGTCTGGTTTGAATTCTTCTGCATCTGCACCCCAAACTGCAGGATCTCTGTGAAGGGTATGCAACAGCACACATAAGGCCTCGCCAGGCTTGACGAGATACTGTCCCCCGATGATCTCATCCTTGAATGGGGTGACATAATACCCAGGCGCAGTCGGCATCAATCTCAATGTCTCCCGGAAGACTGAATCGAGGAAAGGAAGCTGTTGCAGATGCTGGACGTTGATGGGCCCATCTCCAATAACTCGGTCGACTTCCTCACGAGCCTTCCGCATTTCCTCTGGGTGCTCCACAAGATAGTAGATGGAGAAGGACAGGAGACCTGACGTAGTCTCGTGACCTGCGACCAGAAAGGTAATGATGTTGTGAACAATGGCCTCTTCACTCAAGGAATCCCCGGTCTCGGGATCGCGACCATTGAGCATGGCGTTAAGCAAGTCATTGCTCTGATCTTTGGTGGGTGACTGACGGCGCTGCGCGATGATCTCGCGGCATGTGCTTTGCATCTGCTCAATGTTCTGCCTGAATCTGGACATTGCCCGTGGTCGAAGTAGACTGACAAAGTCAGGGAGGACAGCTTGCAGGTCGGCTTCTCCAAGGACGGCAATCATGCTCTCGACAAATGGATGTGTCTTCTTGTCCAGGTAGAAACTGTTGAACCGGTAGTCCATAGAGCACAGCGCGATGGTGTCCAGAGTCAGGCGAGTGAAATCATCAGCGACTTCGATGGGCACCGAAGGACCAAGACGAGCCCTGTAGTTGGTGAGCTAAATGCTGGTGGGCATAGGAAAGACTGAATGGCTCACCACTTCAAGCAAAGCTGTTCAGAGAGATCATTCATTTCATCAAACATACTCCTGATCTTCAAAGGACCAAAGACTGGCATCAAAATCCTGTGAGCGACACCCCAGGTGTGATTGTTGTGCTGTGCAGTGAAGAGACCATCGCCAGCGGCTGCTCGCATAGTCTCAACACCGCTCGTGACGAGCTTGCAGAAACGGGTCTCATCGGAGACTTCCTCTACCAGTTCGCGGCTTGAGACGGTGATTTCTCTTTTACCAGCAAAGGTCAAGGAGAAGATGGGACCTATTAACAAAAGTCAGCCATCTTTTTAGTCAAGACTGCAGGGCTAAGAGCGGACACGGCCAAATACGGTGCCCACTTACCATGCTTTGCCACGAGACTAATCAAGGAATCCAATGGACTGACGAGGTCGATGTCCAAGATATTCCCCAGAACCGGCAATGCTAATTGTCCAGAGTCAGCATTCTAGAGAGATGCCGAGGGATAAGCAACACCAACGTCGCGGCCCTGGTATGGGGAAGATTGTGTCGGGAAAGTTCTTCTTGGTGCTGGACTTGATGCTTTGTTCTTCTTCCATCGTGTTTGGTTGTAGGGAATAGAGGTCCGTCAGAGGAGAAGGTAAGCTGCATCAACGCTTCGAATGTCCTAAAGCAGAAAGACACGCAAGACTTGGTGAGCTGCACAAGAAGAATGGACAGGCAAGTGCGCTGCCTGAACATTGATGAATCGCCGCGGGCTTCAACGAAAAGTCGAAGCTGAGCAGTCATCCCACGTGGCTGCCGCTATCCAGAGGGAAACTCCAGTATTTTCTCGTGATAATTCCCTCATATCCTAACTGCGTCACTTGACCAGCAAGATTCAATGAAAGAAAACCTCTCACCGCTACCTTGCCGATGCCGAAGCGAGGAACGATTGTAAGTTTTACGATGCGTATGATGAGGCTCCACGGTGCCGAGTCGAGATATCCCAGATTGCTGAAGGTTTCATTAGATCATTCGCAGAACTCGACGATACGACCTCGGTGGACTTCGCAAGCCAAAACTGAGTCCGAATCCAGATCTTATGCCGTGATGATAATGGAAACTGGGTGGTTGGTTGCGCGCGTCTGGGGATCCATCAACACGTGCGGCTTTTGTGTGAGGGATACAGAGCTGCATTGCATGTTTACACATAATATCCACCAAACACAAACGAGGAAGGTGGCTGTGCCGTCAAAGATCAGAATAGCTTGGGGGGAAGAAAGGTATCGGTTTGAGGGGTTTTGCCATGTGACAGGTACACTCCCATCATCGTGAACAGCCTTGTTTACATCCCAGAGGCCTCCAGAGACACAATTAGCGTAGCCTACATCCTCAGAGTGGGAAGGGCACATGAGATTAATACCGCATTGCATATGTGCACAACGTCCTTGCCTTAACCCCAGACATGTGAGTTGAAGGACGAATGGGAGCAGTCCGGGGAGACTAACATGGTCCCAAAAAAAGCTTGGTCCATTGCGGGAAGCGCCCGTACGAATCCCAACCCCAACCCACTAACTCCTGAGCCGCCAAGACAAATCCCTCATACAAAACCTCCGCAGATGCTCCCGTTGTACTTGTCTAAATCTCCAGAGCTCATGATACTTTCACTCGAACAAATATTTCCCGTCCAACGCTCAACTCCCGCGCAAAACAGCCTTTTTCTTTAACGGACAACCGCACTATCCCCCGTCGAGTCATGCCGTGCGGGCGCAACGCTGTCGCAGTTTCAATGACAGATCTTTGAAAATGTGTCTGAAATCGCTCACGAGGATCCAGTGCAGCAGGCACACTGCTGCATGCGTTCAGTGAAGAGAGAGGAAGCAATGGAAAAAATCACGGAGATTACACAATGGAGCATGGTCTGGATGAGGCGGCTGAACGGGTGATACTCTGTAGACTGGAGGGTCTCGTGCGGGCGCTTACACGTTCCCATGCTGGTGGTCCTCGTGCTCACTCCCTCGTCCCATCAGGTTCACCGCCAAGACAACGAGTTGCGATGGGTTGGCCAAGACTGCGGAGTCTAGGATGCAAGTCATCTCGCGATGATTAGAAAAGTCGCCCTGCTTCCATGAGGTCATTCCCAGCTACCCAAGTCAACTCTCTCATTCTATCCAACACCCAGATCTGCCTCCTATTCTCCCCCTTTTCCAACTTTACCCCTTGCCACTTGCTTGCCTCTTACCAGGGCTGAGTCTTCCTCGCTTGTTGAACTGATATGGGAAACGACAAAGCTGTCACCGTCAACGTAACCACCGTGGCTGGGGACGCAGAACGCCGAAGGACGTTCTCGACCCTGTCAACAAGCACCACCTCGAGCCTCGTCTCCGTCAAGTCGCGCCGTCCACCTCACGTGGGGAGCACTGAGAAAGTGCGCGAGCTCGTCCGCCTCGCTCTTACCCGTCTCCGCGTTCTTCTCAGCGAACGCAACGGCACTCGGAAGCCTATCTCCCAGAAGGGCCTCTTCGCTTACAACTACGTCGAGCCTCTCTTCAACTGGTGGGGTGCCAACTACCGAGTCCTCCTCACCCAGTGTCTTGGTCGCGTTGAAGCTCGTGACGCATTCGGATCCGCGACGAAGTTGGTGAATGGCGCCTCCCACAACTATGCCGGCTTCTACAAGGCCACCGCCGAAGCCGAGAGGCTGCAGCGTTTGTGCCTCGAGATGCTCCCAGTCTCTGAGAGCGATGCAGTTCCCTTCCTCAGAGACGAGACACACCAGGCTATTGCCAAGTTTCTTGGTGCCGACTTCTGCTTCACCACGAGCACGGGCTACGGCTCAAATTACATCGCCCTTCCGGCGCTGGTCGACTGCGCTACCGTCGTCATTATGGACGAGAACTGCCACAACTCCATGTTCACTGGTGTGTTTCTTGGGATCTGCCCCAATCTTCGCAAGTTCAAGCACAACAATATGGACCACTTGGAGACGCTGTTGAGCGGGTGTATTGATGCGACGGACAACATCATTGTGGCGATCGAGGGCCTCTACAGGTTTGTACACCTCAACAGCTTCGCTGCGAATAGGCCACTGACTTTAACGATGGCAGCATGGAAGCCGATGTGCCACCTTTGGACGAGATACACCGCCTGAAGAAGGAATATGGCTTCACATTATACTGCGACGAGGCGCATTCTTTCTTGTCACTCGGCAAGACCGGCCGAGGGTGTTTGGAGTACTGGAACGACTACCATCCGGAGAACCCCTTACCTTGGGACCTCATCGACATACGCACTGGCACCCTTTCCAAGGCTGTAGGGGGTATTGGAGGCATAATCGTTGGAAAGGGCCAATTCCAGGAAAGTGTTAGAGAACGCATAGAGAACCTCGACGAACAGGAAAATGCCTCCCTGCCCAGTTCCACCATGGCGCAGACTCTCTGGGTTCTCGGACAGCCTGCCCGAATCAGCCGCAGTCTGCAGCGTTTGGCCAACATCTCTCGCTTCTGCCGGGAGGAACTGGAACGCTTCGGCATCTTTGTTTATGGCGACATTGGCACACCTGTTCTTCCGGTTTACACCGGCAGGCCCAGCGTCTCAGCCAAGCTATCATATGCTCTCCGCTGCGCAGGTCTCCTCGCCACGCCGGTATGCACACCGGCCGTCCCCTTTTGGGAAAGCAGAGTCCGCATCAACCTCTCGGCAGATTTCACCGATGAAGAAGTCAACCGCCTCGTCGAGGCTGTCATTCGTGCAGCCGCCAGCGTCGGTATCTGCAGATCCCCGAGCTCAGTTCGGTTTCTCTTCCAGACCGACGAAGAATCTTTCACGGTTGAGGAGGACCCCGAGGAGGCAGAAAGGTCCTATGACTGGGTGCGCGGTTTGATCAAGATGGACGCGACGATGGGTCCAACGAGCCAGCAGAGACAGCTGTTCGACACCACATGTGGCCCAAGGATTCTTGAGATAGGTCACAAATCCCGCGTGCAGTACGGCATCGGTGCCGGAGGCGCGCGATGGATCTGCGGGACCTTTCCTCCTCACCTTGCGGTTGAGAAACTCATCGCCACAGCAACTGGCATGCAGGCGGGCCTGACCTACGCGGATGCCTCCATTGGACTCGCATCTACCATCGCCGCACTATCACGACCGTTATTGGGTTACACGAAACACTACCTGCTGTTCGAAAGGGGCGCAAGCCAATTTGTTCGCGACGGCATTATGATGGCACCAAAGAAGGATGCACCCACTCTGCTCAGCTACATCGACTTATTCCAGCTCGTGCAGCAAGTCAGAAAGCTTTCGCGCAGCAACCAGAGACTATGTCTCACAGTTTACGTTCGCGTCGGCGAAGACTCGGCTCATCACTTGCTTTCAAACGTTCTTGAGGAGATCGCGACCATCACTGGTCCAGAGTCCTCCATGACCATTCTTCTTCACTGCACCTCTCATTACCTGAACCCAAGGGAGCTCATCTCGTTCCCTTGCAGGTCTAACATCCATGTTCTTGTGTGTGGTTCTTTCAATCGCATCTTTGGTCTGCCGGCGGGTTTCCTTACTGGCCCAGAGAGTCTCATCAGGGAGTTGAGGTATACGAGTAGGGGGTACATGTTTACCACCTCACCACCCCCATTCGTGATGGATATGCTGCGTGCTGCGTTAGAGTGGAACTTGTCGACCGATTAAGTACTATTTAGGCATTTTAAGCGTATCCTTACCTTTTATCGTCTTGCAGATTCGGCGTTGAGGCTCTTGTGATGTTAAATAGTTAATCAACTGAGCAAGTGCAATTCCAACACTCATGGCCGTTCATGGATCATCGTTTCCAAATGGTTGCAATGATATTGGCGGCTGCAGCTGAGCAGACAACGAACCAATTTCATATGGGCCGAGAACATGTTAGCTTCTATTAAGCTCCATTAAGCGAGTCCCGCACGAGATTGAAGAATCTTTCCCTCTACTATAGACCTCCTCTGGCCAAGCCACACAACGACTATCTCAATGAAGAAGTCCACTGCAAGTTTCTTCCTCGGATCCGAAGCTATCTGGAAGCGGCACATGGCTGCCCTGTGGCAAACATACGATTCCGGGTCTGTTTCCCGCTCTGCACGCGAACTGAACAATTTAACGCCTCATGGCATCGAGAACGATGCTAACTTAGTCTTTCTCCGCGATGAGCTTATGTCGTTAATAGAGTTTGGGAAGATGCGGAGGTTCCAGACCTCCATTCAGCCATTTTCGCCGCTTGCGGAGCACGGCACATGGCTAGTCAATTATTCATCTTTTCCGAATACCCATTCCCCATCGTAAAGGGATTGCATTTAGAAAAATGCCATTGAACCGGATGCCACGTTCTCGGATGTCTCAGCGCCACGCCTCATCCAGGCCAGCTGAAGCTTAACTACGGATTTCAATTGCGGCGGCACGCTACATCCGGATGCGATTCCCGAGCCTGTCTTCAAGATAGTTTAAATATCAGCAAGAATCTCACGATGCAAGAACTCATTCACCAGGCCACAGCACCATCTTTTCGAAGCAAACAGCTCAATATCATGCATATCTCCATCTCCCTCATTGCCCCGGCGCTCTTGCGGCTTGCCGCAGCGGCATCATGCCCTGCTTCAGGATCTCCAACCTATCCCGAGGCCACTGACAAGAACACCGCCTTGATCCCTTTTGTCAATACACTTCCCCTGATAGACGCAACCCCACTGCTCGACTTCAACGTTGCCGCTGAAGTGGACTCGGCAATCAAGACGCTCTCATTCCCCTCGACTGGCATGGACACTGGTTCCACCGGGATCATGATCGGCGCCGGCCGGTTCAGCATCAATAAGGACTCCAAGTTCAACATGACCAACCCCGGAACGGAGTACCTCTCTTCCAGCCAGAGGCTGTGGGAGGGATACTGGGTCGAAGCCGACATCACATTCCCCGTCACGCCTGATACACGACGCGCGCTAAGCAAAGACGTCGTCGCAAGGGTGCCTATCATGATCGTGACCAAGGCTAGCATATGCACAACATGGAAGGCGAACGGCGGCAAATGCACAGATGCACAGAAGACGAACATTGAGGAGTACCCGAAGGACATCACCGCGAGCGGTGCCTATGTGGGTGTCGGCTTCGGGCGATCTAGCGACGAACAGCCTCAGGCCCTGCCTGATAAGGTTGCCTTGATCAACATTGTTTCCATCGGCGGTCAGACGGTCGAAGACATGCACCAGGGATACATCCTCACCGAGAAGGGCGTTGAGGTCGGCCTGACGAGTGCCAACACTGAAGGCTTCTGCACCACTAAGCTCGGCCTCATGACTTCCAACAAACCAAGGGACTGGACCCCGCCCAATGCGGCTATCAGCGTCAACAGCACGTCTTACGACCACGGCACCGCTCTCTTGGACACCGGCATCCCGCAGTCATACGTGCGCGTAAGCCAGGAGATGTACAAGAACACAAGAACCATCAGGTCAAAGTACATGCCGAAGCACCCCAGAGTCCTGGTGAAGGGAACCCGGGTGCTTGTCGCCATCCCCGACGAGAAGAATCCGATTGCTATCTACGACGTCACTTCTCAGGGTGCTGGCGCGCCCCAGGCTGGGACAATGCAGCCAGCGGGTTTCGTCAGGGAGAACTACACTATCCCGTCAAGCCCGTTCATCAACACTGGAAGGATGATCTACAGCAAGTTTGATGCCATGCTTGACGCTGACTGTGGCTGGTTCGGAATGGCTGAGCGTTCGGTCAGCACCAAGAAGATGAAGAAGAGGGCAGCATGCCCTGCACCTGCATCGGGGGCTAAATGATCGTTGAGGAAATGGATACTGGAAATCATGGGATTTTGGAGCGACAGGAAATGCATAAGGGGCTAAAAAAAGTGGTTGTAGAAGTTATCGTAGTTAGTATGAGAACAGAACCAAGAGAGAATGAATTCATCAATGATATTGCAAGTTGATTCGGTGGAGGTCAACCATGCTTCACGTTGGACATCTCGTTCTGTTGACTTTTGTCGGGCCGTAGTTGAGACCATCGTTGTCTTTCACCACTTCAGGTTCCTCCTTGAGAGCAAAATGCCACTATTACCTCGCATACTAATGTACTCGAAATCAATCCTTTCTTCTCACTGTGAGGACTTCACGGAGACCGGACACTCCCGTCACACCCGGACCCACATATCCGGCGCCGACGCCCGGATTCAGCAGGAGTTTAGGCGGTGTATGCAGCAAAGCAACGTCCGGCCGGCGTGGTTGCCGAGAGCGGTTCGTCTGACCGACGGAAAACCCACCGCCAAGGGTTCATCGTTTCTGATCTCTGAAACACTCGGAAAAACTCCACATCATCGCTTTCGAATCAAATTTCCGGCGGACCCTCTCTCGCGAAAGACATGCTTAAGACTCCAAGTGCCGCGGCTTAATTTTAGAGGGCGGTTAGCGAAGTGTCAAAAGGTCATTTTTGTGATCGTTCTGTTGCTGTGGTCGTACGATCGCCGTCGAGTGATCGTACTCTTTCGCGAAGTGTGTTGGATAGTCTCCTTGAGAGCAACCTTCTTCTTTCTCTTCAGACTTGGTAACTTCCGCCTCCAGAGTCCGCCTCTTTATCCGATCATCGTGCTGCTTATTTTGGGAAACACAGCCTGGGAATACGTGTACACAGACATCAGGACCCCTCTCGTAGCAATGCAACGTAGCGGTCGATTGACGAGCCTCCAGAACCGAATGCAACAGCATTCTACCTGCAAACATCGCCTGTGAACATTTCTTGATTCTGCCGTCCTTCATCTCAAAAAAGAATAAAAATCGGAAGAATGGGCGACGGGAATCTAGATCTTGTGCGGTCGGACGTTCCCAAGACAGCGGTTGCTGGAGCGTAATTAACCCAGCCTGCCAACGGCGGCAACGAGCTCATTAATCTCCCGCGGTTGGCGTCCCAGGAACGGTTTTGGAGCAGGGGTGGTGTGCGTCCCCGGCGATGGACCGGGGTCTTTTGTCGTGCGGCGGCGCTCTGCTCTCTCTTTCTCCCAAACAGAAATGGACCGATTGTGTGTGCTTGTGTGTGTGGCCGAGCCGCGAGAGTTACCACTGCACGGATCACGGCGAGGCATTCTAGGCGCGAAGGTGACACACGTCGATGAAGCGGCAAGGCTGATTTAAGTTCAACACTGCCATTCTTCCATTCTTCTAGACTTTGGGACCACGCGGCCGTGTGCCTGTCTTAGTGGTTTGATGTCGTGTCAACTATTGCTTCTCGCTCGCGAAGGGTGCCCGGCGGCAGTTTTCCTTGGTAGCTGAGTCCTGAGCCCTGACTGAGTCAAGACCACGAGGGAAATGCGCGCGCCGAAACGGTTTAAGCGACATAGGGTATCCGGTCCGCCGGATTGGGAAGAGTCAAGGCAGAAAAATGTCCGTTCCCTTGGCGCTATCTCGCAACGTATCCGAAATGAGACGTAGCGAGAGTGAAGATGCCCAGAAAGAGAAGAGGACGAAGCGCGGTTCTCACGGTTTTCAGGGGGGGCTGGGAACTGAGATGATACCGTGTAAGCGACGGTTCAAACCACACCGCAAACACGGTGCTCACTGCTCTGCAACAACAGCAACTCCCGAGTCCCAGTAATCCTCCGACTTCATCGCCCTCTAGCAAATCCTCGGGAGATGTTATTTTGGGGCCAAACACCGCGCATGGAAAGCCTTTGAGCTGCCGCCTGAGCCCACGCGGAGCCGCGTCAGTCGGCTACTGTGCGATTTTCAGGGGCAACGGGCCACCTGCTGGCACCATTTTACTTCCGAGAGGGGAGCCAGGGGAGAGTTGGGAAGGATGACCCCTACACGCACTGTGTCTCAGTTGACACTCGCTCTCTTCTCAGGTAGAGGCGGCGTCTCACTCACCCTCCATTATTGTCTCTCTGTCGTGTTGCGGTTTCCTCCATCGGTATCCGTATATGCTTTCGCTATCGATTTCGGGCTGAGTGTTCACTGATAGCTGCTGCTCTTATGGCTGTCGGCCGAAAGTCTAATGTATTACAGGCCTGCCAGATCCGAACAACTCGAGATGCGTGTTGTAGTGGACGTAAAGCACAGAAGAGAGGTCATCCTCGACTGAACCGGACGAGGCTTATACCCTCCCAGCCTCTTCCAACTCGTCGGGACCCTGTGGATCGTGAGCTGAAACGGCCTCACCGCTCGAGGCCGCTGTCAGTCGTAGGCATAAACCATCACTTGCCGCGCAAAATATCCCGACGAAGGGCAGTCCCGGGCGGGCCAAGCGGCTTCATGCTGGCGGTGCCTGCGCTCATCCAGCCCTAACTGGATCCGAACCCGTCGGGAGGTCTCCGCGGGATATCTTCACTCATCACGGTCAAGATGGGACATTTCAGAGAAAGTCCATCCGTCCGGCCTGAACTCTGTTTCCACTGACATGATTCATCGCTACTGAGGAATCACGTCAACGAGAGCTGGGGTCTAAGCAGATCTGCACCACCAACCGGCGATGCTCATATCCCGTGATGCTCATCTCTGTTCTCTGCCAACTTTCATCCTGCAAGCGCGGTAAAAGAAATGTCTTGTTGATAATCAAAAGACCTCCAGAACCAACACCCAATCGCACCCTCGCAGCCGCGCCGCATCACGGCAGCCCAAACATGGCACCACAGTCACATAGATGCAACCAAAGAGCGGCACATCAACCCTCCACATCCCTTCACCAACCACGCTCCTGTGATTCAATCCCCCTCCCCCCCCTCCATGACCTTGGGAGCCGATCCATGATCCATCCCGCTTGGCCTGGACCACCAACCAACCCGTCCACCCCTTCTCAGCCGCGGCCAAATTTGGTCACGCCCACCAACCATCGCACGGGATCCTCTCCCGAGAAACCTGGGGACCCGCAGCGAAGCATGAACAAGGATCCCGCTGGCCTGTCTCCCGTCACAGCCAACCGAACCATCCTCCCCACCGCTGGCCCCTGGCCGCAGGTCAATCCACATCGCGGGCCCCCTCCCCTGGAACAATGGAGAGAAAGAGAGAGAGAGTGAGAGGCGAAGAGGATGTGTGGCTTCGGTATATCTACGAGGCAGACCCGCCATGCGACCACCCCCTCCTCCGAGGTCGTTTCGATCTTGTTCCCCCTTCTCGTCCTTTTCGGAGCCGGTCCATTACTTTCTCTAAAACCCAACTTTTCGATTCTTGACGAAACAATTTATCTGAACGAGATACGAAAAAAGAACCATGACGAGCTAGCATCGTCTTTTCCAGGCGAAAAATTAAAAAAGGAAAAAAAGGAAGAAACCAGAAAAACGTACCGATTCTTACGAAACGAAACGAGAGCAAGAGAGAGCCACTGGTGGCGGACGGAGACGATCACAATTCCATTCATTCACTCATTCACTTCTCATCAACAACGACTTTCATTCAGCAAAACACAACCGACGACTTCACAAACTCGGACCTTTTCGAGCCAGACACAGCCAAGCCATGGCATCAAACTGAATATTCAAACTACTTTACAGTCTTTTCATTCATTTATACATACTTTTATTGCACAAAATGCCTCCGACTGGCGCCTTTGCCCTCCTCGCCCTCCGCGCTACCGAAAACGCCGCCGCCGCCGCCTTCACATCACACACCAACTCAACCGACCAATTACTCAACACCACCGCAGGAGGAGGAACAGGAGGAGAACCGGGTCACCGCGAGTGGAATGGCGGCTCCGTCGTGCCAGTTGCCGTCATCTCGGCTGTGCTTTCGACCGCCTTCGTGGCCATGCGCTTCTACACCCGCATCTACATCCTGCGCTCAGTCAAGTGGGAGGACTGGTTCATCCTCATGTCCCTCCTCTTCGCCATCGCCACGAGCGGGGGTATGATAGCACGTACGTTCAGCATCCCACCTCAAACCCATGAGCCCTTCAACTAACAAGAAGAACAGAACTCAACTACGGCCTGGGCCACCATCTACGCTCCGTCGGCGCCTCATTCCCCGTCTACATCCAAACAGGCATCCTCACGAACCTCTTCTACTCCATCTCCCTAACCCTCACCAAAATCTCCATCCTGCTCCTCTACATCCGCATCCTCACCTACGACCTCGTCCGCCTGCTCGGCAAGGTCCTCCTCGGCCTCGTCATCCTCACCCACACCTGGATCATCGCCTCCATCCTCACGACCTGCATCCCCCTCTCCGCCGCTTGGTCCTACGACCCCGCCAACCCGCCCATCTACTGCCACCCCGTCCCCGTCTTCTGGCTCAACGCCGTCCTCCACATCCTCACCGACTTCATGATCTTCATGCTGCCCCTGCCCGTCATCTCCAGCATGAGCCTGCCCCGCAAGCAAAAGACAGGCCTCTACTTCGTCTTCTGCCTCGCCTTCCTCGTCTGCGCCATCTCCACCCTCCGCCTCGTCGCCGTCTTCCACACCGACGAGTCCAACGCCCAGGTCGCAGACGTCACCTGGTCCGCCGTCCGCGTCGCCAACTGGACCTCCCTCGAGGTCCACATCGCCATCGTCACCGCCTGCCTGACCACCCTCAAGCCTCTCCTCAACGCCCTCTTCCCGAACCACGCCTGCGGCGCCCCCGTCAACGACAGCCCGCTGCCGCTCAAGACGGCCAGCCCCGCCGAGGAGGCTCGCCGCCGCAAGGACTTTGAGGAGAACTTCTCCACGGGTGATGTTGATGGATACAGGCGCCCACTGACCATCGGCACCAAGTCGAACAGGCCAAAGGTCAGGCGGGACACGTTTGCGAGCCTCGTCGCGGACCGCAAGAGCACTCTGGAGCACCTGGAAGTCGCGACGCCGACGTCGGCAACGAAGTTGTCTGATAAGGAGGGCGAGGAGTTCAAGCTGCCCGAGGTCCAGCCGCCGTCGCCTTTCGGGAGGTTCTCGAGCTGGACGCGGGGTTCGAGGTTGCAGATCCCGGGCGTAACGAGAGGTGCCAGTGTGAAGCACGAACGCTTCGGGTCAACAGCAACAACAAGAGGGAGGCACGAGCGGTTCCCGTCGAACGTCACCTGGGCGTCGACTCACCGACGGTATGAGTCTATTGACGAAGAGGTGCCACAGGTACCCGGGAGGAGGCTGATTTAAGGCGGGAGTTTTGTACGATGGACGAGGCGTTGAGTGCTTTTGAGCGAACATGTATACCAAGCGAGTTTATGAGAGGCCATTGAGCCCTGGTTTGGAATTCAGCGCGGAATGCGCCATCATGTATATATAGCATCACAGTCGACGACGTTGAAGGGACGAAAAGGTGGCAAGGGTAGCATGCTGTTGTATACCCCTTCGGCGCGACACGCGGCTGTTTGTAGTAGTACGAATAATGACATTTTCTTGCGTCATCCTCAATCCCAGGATCGCTTGCGAATTTCCATGCATCCGTACACCGATTTGGTTTATAACAATCTGATATCTTGCAAAAGACCTGTCAGCATCACTGAGAATGCAGGCTAGAGCGAGGATATGCTCACCTGCTTCGAAATAAAGCCCCCTTCCTCCACGTCTCTAGGCCAGACGACCCTTTCGTCTGCCTTTTTGATTTTCATGACCCGTCAAAATGACGAAGCCTCATCTGGTATCATTCTTTTTGCTTAAGAAATGAGATCGGCCACGTTCATGGGCATCTCATCAATCTGGGTAGAGTAGTACACTGCAGTCGTTAGCATCCATGTACAACTTAGGGCTCGGGCAATACTGACACTCAATGTCTCTCAAGATGCGCACATCCTCGCTAGTAACGAAGTTGATAGCGACACCCTTCCTTCCAAAGCGACCACTCCTACCAATGCGGTGGATGTAGTTCTCACGGTTGCTCGGCAAATCATAGTTGATCACCAAGCTGACCTGCTGCACATCGATACCGCGGGCCCACACATCCGTGGAGATCAACACACGGCTGTTGCCCTGACGGAAGTCCTGCATAATGCTGTCGCGCTCCTTCTGCGGCATGTCACCGTGCATACTGCTGACCGTAAAGTTGGCCTCGCGCATCTTATCCGTCAGCCAATCGACCTTTCTGCGCGTGTTGCAGAAAATGACGGCCTGCGTGATGGTGAGCGTGTCGTAGAGATCGCACAGCGTATCGAACTTCCAGTCCTCCTTCTCGACCGCGATGAAGTACTGCTTCAGGCCCTCGAGGGTCAACTCGTCACGCTTGACGAGGATGCGCACAGGGTCGGTCATGAACTTGGTCGTCATGTCGAGCACGTCGTACGGCAGCGTGGCGGAGACGACGACGACCTGCGTCGCAGGGGGCAGGTAGCGGTACACGTCGTAGATCTGCTCGCGGAAACCTCTGTTGAGCAGCTCGTCCGCCTCGTCGAGGACCAGCATTTTGATGTGGCGGGTGCGCAGGTGTCTGCGGCGGATCATGTCGGCGACGCGGCCGGGGGTACCGGAGACAATGTGCTGGCCGTAGTCGAGCTTGCGGATATCCTCGCCGACGTTGGTGCCGCCAATGCAGGCGTGGCACTGGACGTTCATGTAGTCGCCGAGGGCCATGACGACGGACTGGATCTGGGTCGCGAGTTCGCGGGTCGGGGAGAGGACAAGGGCTTGGGTCTCGCGGACGGCCGTGTCGATGACTTGCAGCATGGAAATGGAGAAGGTCGCGGTCTTACCCGTGCCGGACTGGGCCTGGGCGATGGTGTCGCGACCCTTGCAAACCTGGACGATGGCGCGGGACTGGACGGCGGACGGGGACTCGTAGCCGTAGGCGTAGATGCCGCGTAGGAGGTTCTCTACGGGATTATCGTTAGAAAATGATGCAATTGCTCGTGGTGATGGGGAGCCTTACCCTTCAGCGACATGGACTCGAAGGTCGGGTGGACAGTGACTTCCTTGGAGGTGGAGAACTCCATCCTCTCGTCCGCCTTACGGTCGATTCCGCTACCGCCTTCAGCCATGATGATCTCTGTTGTATTTTCGGGGAGGTGTTAAGTGGTTGTTGTTGCGACGTCGAAGTCGAGGGTCGTGATGTACAGGTGCAGACAAGGCGAAGCCGAGGGCGAAATTTTAGAGGGGCGCGCCAAAAGCTTCAGCGCGCTCTGCTGCAGGCTGCGAGTCGCAAACCAGACGACAGCTGTCTCGGGCCGGAACATCCTGCTGCCGGCCTGTCAAAATGACCAGACGCAGCGCAAGGCACCCCGTTAACACAGTGCATCTAGCGCTTTTCCTACCAAAATTGGGGAGCTAAAGCAGGCCTTATTCAGTGGAACCGACAACACCAGGCACGCCGCGCCAGCCTTCCGCCGCGATTTTTCCAGAAGCTGCGAAAGCCGCGCCAAACACTCGACCTCGACAATCACCTACCTACACAACTCTCCTCACTCTCCCTCGCCCGTCCACGCCGCGCGTCGCCGACAAAAACCCCCCTTCGGACCGCGAAAATGGTCGGCATCCTTGAAGAACAGCGCTACATCCACGAGGACCTCGAGCGCCTCGAGCAGGGCATCGCAGACCGCATCGCGGACGAGCCGAAACACATCCGCGACCGCCTCAACCGCGACCACGAGGTCTCGCAGCTGCTCGACCAGATCCAGGCGCAGTCCGCCAAGCTGCTCGACATCTACGCCGACGCCGGCGGCCAGCGCTCCCGCGAGATCCAGAGCATCGGCACCGGCGACCCGTTCGAGGAGTTCTACGCCCAGATCAAGGACGTCCGCGAGCACCATGCAAAGTACCCCAACGAGCAGGCCGAGAACTCGGAGCTGCGCTACCGCATGAAGAAGGAGGGCGACGGCGAGATGATGCCCTACATCATCGACCGCATCTTCACCGGCGAGGAGGGCTTCGGCCGCTTCTTCGACCTGCACACCTGCCACGAGAGCTACCTCAACCTGCACAACGTCAAGCGCCTGTCGTACCTGCAGTACCTCGAGGTGTTTGACAACTTCGCCCCCGGCTACGGTGGGCTGAAGCGCAGCGAGAAGCTGACGGACCAGTACTTCAAGTACGTCGGCGAGCTGGCGGGGTATCTCGAGTCCTTCATGCGGCGCACGCGGCCGCTCGAGAACCTGGACAAGGTCTTCCACGGCTTCGACAACGATTTCGAGACGGCGTGGGAGAAGGACGAGGTGCAGGGCTGGCAGGACGACGCCGCTGCCGCCGCCGCGAGGGAGAAGAGCAGCGCGGAGGCGGTCTGGTGCGAGGACTGCGAGAAGGAGTTCAAGAACGAGAACGTGTACAGGTCGCATCTCACGGGGCGGAAACACATCAAGGCCGCCGAGACGCGGAAAGTACGGCAGGAGGAGGACGGCGGCGACGCCGCAGCAACATCAACAAACGGCGGCGGCGTCAGGGTGTCCGCGACGAGGTTGAAGGAACGCGCCGTCGCGGAGCGCGAGTACCGCGTCAAGCGCCTCGCGGCCGCCATGTCCACGGAGCGCGGCGACACCCGGGTCAACGTGGAGCGGAAGCAGGGCATGACGGAGCGCGAGCGCCAGCAGGAGCTTGAGAGCTACCTCAGCCTGTCCTCGGCACCGCCCGGCGGCGGCGGCCAGGTCGCGGGGGGCGACGACGAAGAAGGCGATGAGGACGGCGAGGACGGCGAGGAGAAGATCTACAACCCGCTCAAGCTGCCGCTCGCGTGGGACGGCAAGCCGATCCCGTTCTGGCTGTACCGCCTGCACGGGCTGGGCGTCGAGTTTCCCTGCGAGATCTGCGGCAACTTCGTGTACATGGGCCGGCGGGCGTTCGACAAGCACTTCAACGAGGCGCGGCACGTCCACGGCCTCAAGTGCCTCGGCATCACCAACACGGCCCTGTTCCGCGACATCACGAGCATCGACGAGGCGACGAACCTCAACGACAAGATCCAGCGCGAGACAAAGAAGACCAAGGTCGACGAGGGCAGCATCGTCCAGATGGAGGACGCGGAGGGCAACGTCATGCCCGAGAAGGTGTATTACGACTTGCAGAAGCAGGGTCTGCTGTAAAGGGCCTGGTTCTAATCACGGTGAGAGCGGTCATGGGAAGAGCGGCGCACAAGGCGAAGAAGCAAACTGTCTGCCTGGGCGATGCCCTGAGCTGCAGGTACACACGGAATCTGTAAATGTAGTAGACACAGCCGACATGGCTTATCGTTTTCGAAAAAGCATGAGATTGCACTGTAGAAGGTATAGTGGAGTCAAAAAGGGATACCATTTCATCAATACTCGTTCCTCGTTCGTCCCACAATCTGCCTGTTGTTTGGCGGCGTAGATCAGTCCGAACCACAATCAAACTCGACAAGCATTTACCATCGACAACGTACCCAGCTGAACGCATTGCGACGACGCGATTCAGCCGGACCCGTAGATACAGCAAATTCCCACAAAAATCGGTTTCTGGCTGTCCGATTCATACATGCACCCTTCTGATGGAGAGAAATCTCTTCAAAAGGTTGCTTTGATAACCAAAAAAAAACTCATCAATGTGGCAAAACTCAGAAACATGCGCTCTCCACCGCTGATGTCATACCAAAACCCCGACGTCAAAGCCCCCCTTTCACTAGTTTACAACACGGGGTTTTCACATGAAGGTCGGTTGAATGCAATCAAGTCCTGCGACGTCAGATGGAAGAAGCTCCTCTAAAAGTTTAGGCTTATTGATCACAGTCGATATGGACCAGGGAACAGAATGATGTAGTAAATCGCGCCATTTTTTTGATATGGCTGCATCCGGTCGGCTTTTCTCGCCAATCTCGGTTTTGTCTATGTTCTAGTTTCTATGTACAGTACCGCCGGGGCTTCTTTTTTGTTGTCTTGATCCTGTACCAAGCCGAAAACACGCCCAAATGACTTTTGGTTGTAGTCTTTTTTCTGTTTCCCTGTATCCCAGTTGAAAGCAATCGCAAGTGCCCAAATGCAGGGCTCGCTATATGAATCACATAAAACCCGACCATTTGTTCCCCAAAACAAATGGAATGTTCCGTGGCCCTGTCGCCATTTTTTCTTCCGCATTAGGTATCTCTATGGTGTAATCATCCCCTGTGGTAAAAAGGCTGTCTTTTGTGACGCCATCAAGTAGTCGCTTGCTTTATCCGTTTTGATTGGATCTTCTTAATCCCGTAGGATCTCATTCGTAATCGTAAAAGGAAAGGTTGATGAGAGGTTTCTTAGTCCTCGAAGAGGCCAGACATCTCCTCCAGAAGCTGGTCGGCGGTGGGGCGCTCAGCAGCGTCCATGCGCATGATGCGGTTGATGAAGTGCGACGCGGTGCGGTAGTCAAGGGGCTCAACCTTGCGGCCGACGGTGAGAGCCTTTGCAGCCATGGCCTTGCCGGGACGGGCACGCTCGAGGTAGGTCTCGGGGATGGCACCGAAGCGGCGGGATTGCTGGCGGAGGACCTCGAAGATGTAGCTGCGGTCATGGTAAGATGCGTTGGTCGGGCGGAAGGGGTTGTAGTCTCCGCCGTGGAGCAGCGCAATCATCATCGATCCAAAAGCCCAGATGTCGCTGGCAGTGCCCCAGGGAACCTCCATCAACACCTCGGGGCTGGTCCAGATGGGAGCACCGATCAGGAAACCCTTGCGCGCAACATCGGAGTCGACGGAGTAGGAAGCGCCAAGGTCGCCGATCTGGACGTCGGAGAAGCGAAGGTCCGGGTCGGCTTCGGATTCGGAGGCGTAGTTGACGAGGATGTTGTCGGGCTTGATGTCGGTGTGGACGTAGCCATCCTTGTGGAGGGTGGACAGGCCGCGGAGGACAGCGCGGGCGACGAAACGGATCTCGCGGTTCGTGAGAGGCTTCTTGACGGTTGCCTTCAGAAGAGTGTCGTCCATGTGGCGGAGTACAATCATGGGTGCGTCTTGCTGGATTTCGTCGATAACCGGGCGGAGGAAGGGGTTGCCCTGGAATTTGCGAAGGACATTGTGCTCGTTCTGGGCACCGGAGATGCCTTGAACGCCCTTAACGATGGACTTGTTGCCCAGGGGGTTTCTGATGAGAGTTAGCTAGGGAAAGACACAATGATATTTCGCAGCTGACTTACGTAGCAATCCAGACACCTTCGCGGATCTTCTTCTGAATGGTGTACCTGCTGGCGTTTCCGAGCAAGATTTGGCCAATCTCGAGGGACGGGGTCCCGAAGGCGGCGAGACCTCTGGGAATCATTTTCGGGTATGTGTGTGAGAAAAGTCGTCGGTGTTTGAGAGTTGCGGGGGTTCGGAGTATCTGGTGTTCGTAGTTCGTGATATTTCACTTCCTTATGTGACAGCTTCGAGTGGCTGTCTGAGAAGGACCAGGTCGATAATGGTCATTAGGTATATACCGGATCCGATTCGTAATGGAGAAAGGTCTAGCACGCGATTCCGGTCATCTAAAGGAACCTTGTCGAAATAAACCCTCGAATAAAGGCAGGTCTATTAAAAAGACGGAGTCGTCGAAGAGATTGAAGAGTCGAAAAGGTTGAGGTGAGTTGGATGTCTGAGCAGAGTAGCAGAGCTGGAGCAAGTTGAGTCGGAGGAGCAACGCTTCTTTAACGGGCAGCCGGGTACTTTCCTGCGGTACCTGAGCGACCTAAGGGCAGGGCGACGTGCAGGGGTGGCGGAGGCGTGGGTGTGGATGCGGTGTGGGTGGGGAGTGGACGCGGGAGTGAGTGGATGGGGGTCCTTTTAGCGTCAGCGGAAGGCAAAGTGAATTTCTGGGAACGGTACGTACCTTCCAGGGCGCTGAAATTGGAACACAAACACCACACACCAGCAAGGTAGAACAGCCAGCAATTGCAAAAGACAATGGGAGAAGCCCCAGCACCTGGAGGGCAAGCCTTAGCGTTCGTGGGATTGGCAATGGAAGGTTGTGTGGCACCCAGAGCAGCAGTCCAGAGTCAGACTTGTCTCCCCTGATTGCAGCGGGACTGGCAAGCCGGACGCCGGAGTTAATTAATGAGTGGTAGCATACACCGGCCGCTGCAGTGAATATGGCGGCGCCTTGCCTGACCGAACACCTCGCTGCCCTGAGAATAGACGTCTCCCGCCTGTCGCGATGAGTGCCGGCTGGGCGCGGCTTGGCTGGCACTCAGCACTGGCTTCTTCTAGATAGCTTTGGACCATGGACCAGCCATCGTCTTTGGGTATCAGCACTGGCATTGGCACTGGCCGTGACCATCGCCCGGAATAGTAGCTGGCAGCAGTTCAGCGAAAGAACCAGCGGCTGCCACGGGGCGTGCGCGACCGTCAGCGGTGAGGCAAATGAGTTCGCTCCGTTTAGTTTCAGTGGACTTGGGGGGGACACCAGTCATCCGGGTCCAGAATAATCAACAGCCCCCTCCGCTAGGAAAAAAAAAAAAGATTTTTCTTCTAGTGCTCGTGTCGGACGGCACCCATGCCAAGGTACGTGCATGGTTCTACTGCATAGTAGTGATCGGACTGTGTGATGGAGGGTGGCCTATCGGTCTATCGCCGTGGCATTGGCCGTCGACAGCGGTCTAGATCGTCCTGCTGCCCGGCGGAAACACTTGCAACGCACAGTGTCGAGCTGTTCGCAAACAGCAGACGGTAAGCCATTGTTGGAAGGTCTGGAGCTGCTTCACCTTGGAAGAGGAGTCAAGACGAGTCCAACGAGCACTGATCTGCAAGGATGAACCACAGCGGGAGAAGCTTGCCGTAGGGGTCCCCTCCTCCTTTTCCAGGTACGCGCCCGCGCCCACCTCTTCAAGCTCTGCTCCAACCTGGACACCCTCTCACCACACGAGGACACCATCAGCGGCCACGGGTTGATAAGGTGTGACTCCGTCAGCCGCCCTGGTTGGCTGGCACGTCGCTGTCACCGACAGACCGGACTGCTTCCGTTACCCTGAATGCCTGTTGTGCCGGGGGCTGGACGTGTTCGGTGCATACCCGGATTTTGCGACTCGTTCTGCTGTTGCATTCGCTGCACCACCATCTGCATCTGAAATGCCCGGGAGGGTGGTGTGCTTCTTTCGTCGGCTCCGGCTCCTATCTGCCAGACTGCCATTCCAGCTGCAGGCTGGGTTCCGTGATCTTTAGGTCCAGATAAGGTGACTGGTCAAACGACGACAAAAGGAGGCTCTGGTGGACGGCAACTCGCGAATCGTGTTCCGGGAGCCGGCCACGTCCACAGCGGCCACAGTCATCCGCCACGGCTTGCATAGTTGGTAAGCCATGCTCCGCAAGCGTTACGCCAGTCAGTTGAGGAGGCTTTTTGGGGCGCTTTGCTGGGGGAACAGGCCAAAGGATGTGCTCGTTTGGCTGGTGCTTGATCTCCTTCGGGATTAGGAATAGAACAGCAAGCTCAGCTTGGCAGCATCTGCGTTCGCTTCTGCAGCTGCACTTGCACTCGCAATCTGCATGCCAGGGGCCCTGGTGTGTCCACAGCAGCATTGTCCACAGCGGTGTCCACATCGTCCAGTGTCTCAAACTCGGTCAAGAAAACCCCAGACTCAGAGTCAATCAAGCGTGGGGGGGCCGGCGTCGGAGGCGAACAATGGCGACATGGCTTGTAGGTCAGCTCCAGAGTCGGAATGCTGCCTCCACGGCACACCTCATTGATCGGCAAGCGAGAAGCAATACGCAGCGAGAATGCCACTTGAGAGTGACAATCGCCCGTGCTCCAATCATTTGCGGAGGACTGGAGAGGATCGCATGCGGGTGAAGGTGGTTCTGTAGGGCAGTAGTGTAGGCCAAAAAATGATGTGCGCTGGGACACCATGATGCAGCTCCAGTGCCTATCGACAAGTTTGAGTCTGTTCCCTGGGATCTGATCTCTGGGGCTGGCAGAAGAGAAAGAGGGGTCAAGAGTTGCACAGTCTGTCCTCTTGGTGCTCGCTGTTCTTCCAAGCTGACCTCTCGCTTCGGTCTGGTCGGGTCTCTCCAGTCCGTGTCTCTGGAAGCCTCGATCGGTGCGACCGGCGGTGGTGGTGGTGGTTGGTATGCGTAGTAAGTGCGGTCGGGCACTGTAGCCGGCCACAACTGCGTAAGTACCAGATCATCAGGGCAATGAACAGCCTGTTTCTATTTTGTGAAGACGAGTGAGGCACTGCACTGACGCCATGCTGGTGGTGCTGGGTAGGACGGCTTTCCATGCTTGGTAATAATGGACAGGATGGTGTGATCTGAATTCATCATCTTGATTCCTGAGAGGCGGCCCCGTGCCCTGCCTGACCTGATGAAGCTGAAGTGAATCTGATGCTGATGCTGATGCTGACCTGACGCTGAGCCTGGTATGTCGGCTGGGCTCTCGACTCGTCTCGATGAGCTTCGTTCGATCACTTGGGCACTCTGTCTGTGGCATGCCATTATTGGATACTCGTCAGGTGTCTGTCTGGCGCGAGTCTCGTGCGTAATTTTGTTTAACAACAGACGGCAAGGGGGTCGCTGATGTGAAACCGGCATCGCGGGGTGCATCCGCTTGGAGGTTGGACAAGAGCTTGAAGCTTGCACGTCCGGCTGGTGTTGCTTGGCCGTGTTGCTTCCATTTGCTGCTTTTGGGGGACAATTGCTGGCGACTGACTGCAGACGGGATGGTATGCTGTTCAGTCGGTGTGTCGGCGGTGTGCCAGCCAATTGGCAAGTGACGGGGTGGTGTTGCGGCGTGGGAGCTTCCCTTGCCGTGACCCCCGTGCCCCCCCAAGGTTTGCTCATCACGGGACGAAGTGTTGCAACATGGGAATTTTAAAATAAAATCATAAAAACATGGGGGAAATGGATGGGGCGGGGAATTCGGGGAAGACGAGGAACCCAGCCGGACCACGATGCCAACCCACGGGCAGTGGACACACCTGCCAACGGGAAGGCGTGCCTTGGCCATGCGGCAGGCGGTAGCGGTCCTACCTTACTTGCCTAGCAGGTGCCTGCCCGTAAGGAAGGAAGGAAGGGAGGGGGGTGGCTCTTTCTTACTCTAGCTGCTGTTTCTTGTTCCTGCCCATTGCTGCTGCTGCTGCTGCACTCCTGCCCTCAGACTGATCCAGCCTCCAGGCCAGGCTGGTCCTTCCTTCTGTCTCTCACTCTCTTTCCCCCAGTGACTCTTTCCGTGGGTCGTGGCTTCCTCCCAAATTCTGCCCTTGCCCAAAATTGACCACCTGAACTGCCACAGCCCCCCGAAAAAGAACTAGCGCCGTTCAACTCCCGACAGATGGTTCTATTTTGGATCCAATAGAAAACAAGGCCGTCACAAAACATTCCAACGGCAGCATTGCATTCCCTTCCCCGATTTTCCTCCCCTCCGACATTTCTCCCCCAAGAATTGCTTGTTTCCCCTATTTCGGTTTCTTTTCCCCTTTGATTCATCCTCATCTCACCCCCACGACAGCACCGAGGTCCCCTGCTTCGCCTCCTCTGTCATCCAGCGTGCCAGTCACTGTGTCTCGCTGCCACCCCGGCCTGCAGCTGCATCGTCTTACCCCAAGCTCGAGATTCATCAAGACTCGGATGCGCACCTGACCATTGTCAATTTGTCGGTCCCCCTGCCCGAGTGCGACCCCGACGCCAGGGAATCCGAAAATCCAATTCCATCCCATTCCCCGGGGGCAGCTCTAGCTCTAGCTACCCGAGTCTCCGACGCCGACATCGCTAAGGCATTCGTACCTGCGGTGCTGCAGCACCTCTTTCCTTCTCCCACCGGACTGGCAGCTGCAACCGCAGTCGCAAACCGGCTTTCACACCGCTCACCGCTCACCTTCGCTGTCACCTTACCTCCCTCACCTTACCGTCACCTGGTCATCGGCTTCATCTTCCCCGTCGTCAGGCCCTGTTCGCCTGACCGCGAGCCACAAACAACACCACCAAGACCGACACGAGCACCACCGCCGTCGCTATTCACACCTCCTATGCTAGCACCAGCATAGGTAGCTCATCATCTGCATTACTTCCTCACCGGTCCCCGACCACGCCGACACACGCCCAAAACCGCGGCCACGTACGCTCCTCCAACTTACAGCTTACAGCCCGGAGTCTAGGCCCAGGCCTGTCCACTGCACAAGCGCAAGCACAACTCACTCATCCTCCCTCCAAAACACGTCGCACAATGTCCTGAGTCCTGACTCCGTCCCGTCTCCCCTGCCGAGTCATGCCCGTTCAGTCCAAGCCCATCCCCGCCCTTTACACGGTGTATATCCTCCGTTCCACCGTACGCCACGCGTCTCTCTACATTGGCTC